CAACAAGTTAAGGTAACACACAGGGGTCAAATGATGGTATAAGGCAGGGGGAAGCACAAAAGATCCCGATGGGTCGACGTGCAACGGTTTAGCTGACCCCATACGGGAATCAAAGATAAGACTAGATTTCCGAATATATTTAAAAATTTTAATTTTTTTAATTTAATTAGTTTATTCCTTTCTACAGAATTGTAACTTCTAATTGCCGATATTACATAGAGAGTAAGATTTAAATTAAATGTCGCAATATCAATATTGATACAAAAGGAGTGGGCGGATCAGAGGGGAAATTTTGTATTTACTCATATCTCGTTAGCAGCTCAAAGATTTGGATACTTGTAAAATATTGTTTTTAAGTATAAACGAATTTCTGTAGATCTTTAAAGCTCCTTTGGAAAACAAGTACGTGAACGAATCAAGTTTTCTTATTATATGTTCAGTATTAGGTTTTTGTCAGTTTCTTCGTACGCGTGGATTTCAGAGGTAGGAAGGCAAATGAAATAGACTTCTAGATGGAGTATCAAGATGAAATATGTATAAGATATATCAAGATAAGATATATAAGATAAAAAAATATATTAAGATAAGATATATACTCTTTGTCTTTTTCTCAATGTCCTCTACCCAAAGGTTGTCTGGAAGAGATTGCTTAGCGATAAGGCCGCCTTTTGTATCACTTCTCATTAATATTTACAGTATTTGTTATTTCTCTTTTTACTTGGTGCAATAAAGTGTAAATAAATATATAAAATATATATAAGATAGTATCAAGATGAAATATATATAAGTTAGACCTTAGACTTAATAGTGAAAATTTTATCCAATTTAGCGCAATTGTTTCTGCGTAATGCTAGAATGAAACACACACAGAGTGAAAATTTACAAAAAAATTTACTCTCATATTCTCACTCTTTGTATTAATTTTTCTTAAATATCTCCCATGTACAGACATCGTCTATTTACGCTTTTTATATTTGTGAGATTATTGGTCCTCTCGATTCGGTTCAAAGACGAACTATGAGAATAGTCTACGATCCCGAGCGTATCGAGCGCTTTAGTCTAAGGCGAAAGTTTGTTTCCATCTGTGAGTTCTACCGCTTGTATAATAGATTGTGTTATGAGGAATTGTTTGAAATGATACCCATAGCCACTTTTTATCGTCGATAGGAAATTCATCCTTACACACTTGAACCTCACACACCGCGGTTTCAAAGAAATTTTCACCCGCGAACGCTCAGGCTGTAAAATTAGCTCAGTGTAGAGATTTTCCCTAGGGACTACAGTATCGGTTCTTCAACAAGGATGTATTAAGGTTTCTTCAGAGTCAGCAACGCGCACATGACACCCCTAATGTTGCAGGTGTCCAGGGGTTACGGTAACCGTTTACCATCAGACGGGCCAGTAAACATATTCCGATCAGTCGGAACTTCGTCACTGTGACCAGGATATGTTTACTGACCAAAGAAAAATGCAGCCTATATCTTTTTCCATCTTATATAATGCGTGTAGGGGGGAAAGGGATTGTTAGTAATGGGGACTAAAAATCTCATTGCTAGTAATCTCATCTAATGTAACCCAACCAGGTCGGCCTCTACGCGGTTCCCCCTGGAAACTATCATGGTTAATTCCTGATGAATTCATCATAATGGGCTAACTGTTTTCATTGTCATCGATCACCCTTCAGTAGTGCTCCGCCAGCGTATCCCGTTAGCGCAGGCCGGGCTACCATTCCATTTTCACCCACCAAAAAAAACATACTGTGTCGGCTTATGGTGGCTACCTTGCTTTGCCATTTTTAACCGACTTCAAAAAAAGAGGATTATCTATGTTCCATTGTTCAAGTTCTAACGTGTCGTATCTACATGAAATTGTACCGATCTCAATGAACTAACAGAACAATTAATACAGTTAGTGTAGATATTAATTAGAAATTCACACAATACTGTCGCGTCCATTGTTCTGGATTGACAATGAACGTTTGACATTAATGTCGGCATCGCAGCGATTTCAATAAATAGAAATATAATAAAAATATATCTTTATAATATAAATAGATAGAGCATCGAGACTCCAAAGCGGGTCAACTTTTAATTAGCTAATTATCAAATTAGCTGTTTTGTTTTTTATCAGTGTTCTATATACTTACGCACACAATGTATCTTGATATATTTATTCACTCACTAATTACAAAATTAAAATGTTATTTATATACAATTACTTCAATAACTTTATGTTAATTAAAAAAAAAAAACTAATTATTAAAATAACAAAATTGTTAACATTTAAAAAATTGAACGCTAAAACGCAATAAAAACCAATAAAAGCTTGAGAATGTGAAGGAAATCGTATTGATATGGAGAAAAGAATTTTTGACATTTGGGTAGAAATGTAAAGCTCGTATCTGGCAACACTGATATTTTTTTCTTCTGATTCACGCGAACGAAACTGCATAATAGTTTTTTGTTATACAACTTAGAATGGCAAACAAGCTGACAGCCCACCTGAAGGCAAATGGTAACCGTCGCCTATAAATATGAGCAATATACCATGGACATAACAGAGTATACTGTTTCGTCCATGGTACCCCCATGCGTTGCCATTCCTGAGGACTCAGGTGTTATTCCTCTGTACCCTGTAAATTCACGCTATATCCCAACCTTCAAACCGAAACACAGCCATGCAAACACAACTGTTTTACGGTTGAAACACGAATGGGACAGAGGTGCCCAAGCAAACCACTTTTGTACCAAGTTTCCCTCTGGTAAATATTAGTAATACTGTTAGTAAAACACCATCCGTAAAATAGCACCCGTTACTGTTCACTGCTGAACATAAGTCTCCCTCAAAAGGTGAGTTTGCCAATGGTTGCCACGTTTGACAACCGCACTGAGGCTTTGGTGATGTTTTAAGAGATACGCTGCTGTTGCTATCATACCTCGACCGTTAAGTTCCCTCAGTCGTCTCTTACGACATCCAAGCGAAAGGAAGAGGTAGCTCCATCTATGCTGGGACCATATAGAAAAAATATTTAAAATTTTTAAATAAAGAATTTAAATACGATCCAGATAAACGGAAAGACATGTAAACGAAGTAAGTCTTTTACTTGTTTATTGTAATTATAGTAAGTACAAGTTTAACCCTAAGGTTAAATATCCTATTAGTAAACAAACTGTTTAAGTGTTTGTGTCATTGTTTGCAAATGCAGCAGGTAGTAACTTGCTGTTTGTGAAATTAATGCATAGTTTAAATGTTATTTAATAATATATATTACATATACAGGGTGAAGTCTAAAACGTTTCTTTACTGACTTTTGTTAGCGACTTCTTCTTGGCTTGGCATGTGGTCCTGGATTGGATTAGTTCTCCCCTTTCTTACCCCGTGGGTGTCGTAAGAGGCGACTAAGGAAAGGCAAGGGATGGGCAGCAGCGTCCTCTTAAAACATCATTAAACCAGAGGGAGACTTTGTACAAAAGTCGATTGCTTGGGTCTATCTATCTATCGGTAAATGCGCTATCGGTATACATTGGTGGGGCACCAGTAAGGTATAAATGGTGAGTATGAAAAGTTAGGTCAGTTAGTTCATAGACGACAAATTGAATAATAGATTTGTCACGATGATTTCCAGGGTGAAGCGTGTGATGGTCGATCTCGTAGGGTATATTGAGCCTAATTGCTGTTGCCAATCTACCTGCCAAGCGTGGCAACTACTCACAAAACTCCCCTTGTGGTGAAGGCTTATGTTCAGCAGTGGACTGCAATGATAAAAGAATCATGAAACCATAGTCGTCAGGAATGGCAAGAGGGATATAATAGGTATCACAGTATACTCTCTGTGATGGTTCTGTTCATGTCCAAAACAATGGCTTACTTGCTAATTTAACCACTTTCCATGAGGTGGGCCGTCAGCTTGTTTGTCATTCTAAATACCATAAAAAATTAATCAAATAATCAAAGGTCGAAAAACGATAAAAAAAAAATTATATGGGATACTTTGAATACAAGGCGCGTCCAATATTATTATGGGAGATTTAAGACGTTTTATGGTTTTACGACTTTTGGGAACGACATCGTAACCTTCAAGAAAAGAGCAAGGCCGGCAGCACACTTGCAATACGGCGTTACTCATGGGTGGCGGTAATCATTTACCATTATGGGAGCGGCATGTTCGTTTAACCACCGTCTTATATAATAAAATATATGTATATATAAGTATTATTATAACAATTACACAGATAGTAAAGTTTATGCCTTAACAGCTTACCAAAGTGGCGTATAGTTTCCGGCACATAATTTAAAGCTCTGACTTAACAGGATTAGACGAGATCCAAAACAAGTTATAAGCCTAAGGAATCAGAGTTAGTAATCTATACATAACTACATGCTGAGGATATGCGAATAGTTTAGTAATCTTACTTACATATATATATATATAAATATTATATATAAATATATAAATGCAGCAAGCCTCATAGGTACCTCCTAGGTAGTTGGTAGTGATCCCAAATAAATTTTTTACCTTTAATTCACGTTTTAAGCCCTTGTTATATGTAATTGTATAAAATAAAGTGTATTTCTAGTCAAAGATAAAATGATATGATGTTTTTTATATAAAAACTAGCTGCCCCACTCGGCTTTGCCTGGGTATTTTAATCTTTCTTTCATACAAACCTTCTTCTGACAATTACAAACACAACAAAAAAAATATTAGTAAAATAGGTGAAGCCGTTTTGAAGTTTTTTTTTTTTAATACAACGAAAGTGGCAAGCAAGCATACAGCCTGTCTGATGGTAAACGGTTACTGTAGCCTATGGACGCTTGCAACACTAGAGGTGTCACACACGCGTTGCCGATCCTGAGGTGATGTGCTTTCATACATTCGTCAATTAATTTTATATTGTATGGATTTAACAGCCTGTAAATGAAACTTACAAAGGGCTACATTGTAGTCGATATATAAATAAACCTACACTCCTAGATCCCTAAGACATAGTGGTGTTTACAGGACGGCTATTGTCTTATTTAAATTCTGCAAGAAGATTTAAATACAAAAATGTAAGTTATTTGTGCTCTTTAGCCGATTACAAAATAAGAGGGTCACGTTTTTCGGGTATATCGAAGAGGCTTAGACTGTGCCTCTCATTATTTTTTCAATAGATAATGTGCCTCTATATAAACGCTTTGCTATATCCAACTCTTTTGTTTTTGTGTTTTTTTTTTTTATTAATGGTTTGTATGATTTTATTCTTGTGTGCGTGACGATTGCTGTTATATATTGTTGTAGTAACTAAGTGGACGAATATATATATATATATATATATATATATTTTAACTATTTTTTAAGAAACAATAAATATTTATTTATCATCTATTTTTAAAAATGTAATCTATGCCCTTCATCCCATTAGTACATTATCAAATTTTATAGTGATCGATTGCTTGGGTAACAAACAAACAGACTCTGTCCCATTCGTGTTTCATACCGTGTTATTGAATAAACTGTTATAAAAAATGCTATAAATTCTTTCTTTTATTCTATTCTTTTAAATATCCTTTCATCCCTTAACATATCTCCACCTGTAATCAATTGGTTTAACTCTTATCTTGAAGGTCGACTGCAGTGTGATATGGCAGATTGGTGTTTACTGGGTACATCTCCTCTTCTTTTCTCTGCATTTATCAATGCTATAACTCATGTAATTTTTTCTTCAGACCATCTCTACGCAGACGATTTGAATGGCATATCTGAAGCAATTGATGGAATTTTCAGGCTTAAAATATCGGAATGGGCGAAACAGTATACTCGAAAATTATGTCCATGGTAGTCATCGTAATTATAAAATGATCATGATGCTTTGGCGACTATGAAAACTTGTACCACTTTACATCAGGTGGGCTGTCATTGCTTACCATTTGCCACTGTTATTTTTTCTGAAGTTGATATAAAAAAAACATAGAGAGATACAGAATATATATATATATATATATATATATATATATATATATATATATATATATATATATATATATATATATATATACTATCTTCGTGAACGTTTTGATTTTCTGCAATGACGTGTCCTCGTCGAAATCTCTTATTCATCTACTCATCTACGGAAAACGTAGATGAAATAGGTATTCTTCCCATATCTTTATTTTAAATATTTTTGAAGAAACAATAAATATATTTATTTATCATATTTTTTTAGGTAAAAAGTAGTATATGTGTTCATCCCATTAGTACATTATATATATTTTATAGTGTGTCGGTTGAGCTATATAATATAATCTAAGGCGTTAAGAGGCTATTTAACAAACAAACAGACTCACTTTCACATTCATAATATTAACAGAAGAATATCATCCGATCCTGCTTTTGAATAAACTTTTATAAAAAAATGCTAAAAAAAAAAAAAAAATAAATTTTAACAATATGCAGATGGCATCAACAATCGGTGAAAAGCAGCTAAGCTCAGGATACCGGCTATCGCACCCGCCTGCTGGTGAGGAAGTCTGCATCACCGGCATATCCGGATGCTTCCCGGACTCTGATTCCGTCATGCATCTACAGGAGAACTTATTCAATAAGGTAAATTGTTATGACTTGATATGACACACAATGCCATCTAGTTCCGAACTAAGTAAACTTTGTGTCATTGATACTGATGGACATTAAATAACAAAGTATATACTTAAATTTAATTTATTAGGCTGTGTGGTCCTGGCATAGAATTTCCAAAGAGGGTTGACGTCAGGCAGGCGACCGGTCGTAAAACTATAAGCCAAATCTTTTTGTAATATGGACAAAAAACATATTACGCCGACCCCGAATAATAATTGGGATAAGGGTAGGAAGCTGGATGGTGGTCCCAGCATAGAATAGGCCACCTCTTCCTTTCCCGTGGGTGTCGTAAGAGGCGACTAAGGGAGGTTGAGGAATGGGCAGCAGCGTTCCTATTAAAACATCTCCAAAACCTAACTGCGGTTGCCAATCCGCCTGCCAAGCGTCGCAACTAGTGGCAAAACACCCTAAGGGATTGTTAGTAATGGAGACTGAGAATCCCACTGCTAGCAATATACCCAACCAGGTCGACCTCCTCGCGGTTCCCCCTGGAAACTATCATGGTTAGTTCTTGATGAATTCATCATGATGGGCTAACTGGCCTGTTTTCATTCTCATCGATCACCCTTCACTGGTGCTCCGCCAGCGTATCCCGTTAGCGCAGGCGGAGTTACCATACCATTTTCACCCATAAAAAAAAAAAAACACCCTAAGGGCGAGGCTTATGATCAGCAGTGGACAGATAAAGGCTGATATGATAATGATATGTAAATCCTTTGTATTTGTAATCATCATAGATTATATAGATAGAGTATCAAGTGTCAAAAACAGTTTTACATCTAGTCAGCTAAATAGACATTTGGCTGACTCAATTTTAACAATTATTTTAAATATAATAATTATAATGGAGTCAGCCAAATTGGAACGGATCAAAGTTATCAGTCAAGATAAACTTTATTACAAATCTTTATGAACTGTTTACCCATGTATGGCCTTCCATAGCTAGGGGACATTGTGGGGTAATTTCCTACTTTAAAAGGCCCAATGCCTTACCTTACAATGGAAGGTCCCAAGAAAATTAGACAGATTCGCTTTTTCAAAGTCACTTAATTATGGCTTCAGCCTTACCAAAAATTTCTTAAACTTCCACATTAAACTTGGGTCTAGCTGTTATATTGGTTTTTTTATTCATTCTTTTCATTCAAAGATTGATGGACGTGGAAGAAGCGAAAGAGGTTTGTTTGTATCGAAGCATTTGGCGTTCCATTGCTTCTGCCTACCCTAATGGGAGACAGGCGTGACAGATGTAGATATGTATTCTTTTCGATTAGCATTCCTTTTCGCATTCACTCTCATTCTGGCCTTATCATCTTTCATACAGTCCATCCAAGTCCTTTTAGGTTTTCCTCTGCCCTTATAAAAAAAAAATTATATATAAAAATAAAAAAAAAATATCAATTCAGTCTTCTTCTTTTCGTTAATGGCAATCGGTCGTTATTTTTACGACCATTTCTGCCAGTGTTATGTATAAGAGGCTCGTACTGGAGATAGAAATTATATCTAAACCACTGGTCTAACTTTGGACTTTTTGGTATAAAGCTGAAAAAGACAACACAATATGAGTTAGTAATAAATATCAATACAAAACTCTTAAATATATATTTCCTATGAACATATAAAATAAATACATAATATAGAATTTATAGTTTGATATTATTGTTTTTGGTAAAATTTACATATAATGCATAAAATATTGGTGTTTTCAGTAAAAGAAATATTTATAAGATTATTTAGGTTAGTAGGCTGGGGAGTTTGTTCTTTGACAAGTTGTGGGTATAATGGGCTTGAACTATTTACGTGACAGGACAGGCAAAAAAATATGGTTTACATCACCACCTTCTTGACCACATTCACAAATAGAGTTTTTTTTTAATGGATGATAATGGAATGGTGACCCCACCCGCGCTATCGGTATACACCGGCGGGGCACCAGTGAAGGATGATAGGTGAGGATGAAGTAGGTCAGTTAGCCCATCGTGACGAATCCAACAAGTATTGTTCACGATGGTTTCCAGGGGGAACCACGTGGAGGTCGACCTAATAAGGCCCCCCTCACAAACAGAGTTATCTCTAATTCTAAGTTTGTGTAAAAATACTGAATGACATTCAGTATTTCACTTCATTTCATATGAATTAATTTAATAATATATTAAGATGTGCTACATCATATATAAGTGTACAATTTACTATTAAAATTTTTGATTCTTCTCCACGCCATAAAGGTTTATGTAAATCCAATTCATTATTCTAATATGAACGTCGCGACGCTATTTCAAAGTCACGTCGTACTCGACAATCTCCAAGCGTGCGTTTTTTCCCGCGCATTTTTTTCATTACCATAATCTACGTACGTATTTTGGGTGTATATGTGAAGTGATATTGTATTGCAAAATATGATTATATGACGAACTAGCCGTTTCCCGCAGCGTTGCCCTATGTAGTTCTCGTAGTATCTTTCCCATTGGAACTGTTCATGAATCCGGTCTACCAGAGCGAGACTTTGTACAAAAGTCGATTGCTTGGGTACCTCTGTCCCATTCGTGTTTCAACCGTGAAGCAGTTGTGTTTGCATGGCTGTGTTTCGGTTTGAAGGGTGGGATATGGCGTGAATTTACAGGGTACAGAGGAATAACACCTGAGTTCTCAGGAATGGCAACGCATGGGGGGTATCATGGGCGAAACAGTATAGTCTGTTATGTCCAGGGTACTGCTCATATCTATAGGCGACGATTACCACTTTCCATTAGTTTGTTTGCCATTCTAAGTTAAATAAAAAAAACCTTCTTAATACAGAGAATACTAAACTATCCTATATAAAATTACCCACTCGAGGGATATCAGTAGGTAGGTACGTACCGAAAGTGTTATTCTGAAATAATTTCATTTATAATCCTTTTAAATTATAGTTATATACTGTAACTAAAACTGTAAACGTTCTCATAATTTAAATCAGCTTTTTCTCTTAATGACTTACTCAGCTTTTCAATTTATATGTAATATTTACGCTTTACCAATATTAACTGATTTATACTAACTCCACTAACTAATTAATTAGTTATGAACTTAAGCAAGAATATAAGTAATCTTTGTTATATAATAAAATTGTATTTACGCAATGTCTATACTTATGAGATAATAATAATTAAATTAATAGGGGAAAGGGATTGTTAGTAATGGAGACTGAGAATCCCATTGCTAGCAATATACCCAACCAGGTCGACCTCCTCGCGGTTCTTCCTGGAAACTATTATGGTTAATTCCTGATGAATACATCATGATGGGCTAACTGGCCTGTTTCCATTCTCATCTATCACCCTTCACTGGTGCTCCGCCAGTGTATCCCGTTAGCGCAGGCGGGGTTACCATACCGTTTTCATCAAAAAAAAAAAAAAAAAACAAATAATTAATAAATACACATTACAAATATGATCACAATCATCAGGTGGATCTGATTACTGATGACAACCGTCGATGGGAACACGATCACCCCGAAATCCCTCAACGTACTGGGAAGATCAACAATGTGAACAAGTTCGACGCCTCCTTCTTTGGGGTCCACTACAAGCAAGTTCACACCATGGATCCCATGAGCAGGATCCTATTGGAGAAAACTTACGAAGCTATTTATGATGCTGGTAAATTTACATTATATCTATCATCACATTATATAAGACGTTCATTTCATTTTCATAATCATTTCTGCCATTATCCCCGTCCACTGCTGGATATGTCTTTCCCTATAGACCGCCGTAAGGAACGATCCAGAGCCACCTGCATCCACTGACTCCCTGCAATGCATTTCGGGTCGTCACTCTATTTAATTTTGGTCGTCCTACGCTGTGTTTGCCCATACGAGGTGAGTGAGTAGCGACTCAAGAACCTTTATTCCCTATCGATTGTCTGTTCTTCGAGCTATGTGACCAGCCCATTGCCACTTCAGCTTGCTTATCCTTCGGCCTATGTCGGTTACTTTGGTTTTTTTTGCGGATATCTTCGTTTCGGATTGTATCACGCAAAGAAACTCTGAGCATAGCCGTATCTATAGCCCGCTGAGTAATTTAAAGGTTTTGCAGTCGTGTAGGACCATGTTTCGATTCTATAAATCATCTGTTCAATTATTTACAAATAATTTTATTCTTGATTATGCTCAAGATAATTTAATATTTTGTCAGGTATAAATCCAAATGACTTGCGAAATACTAAGACAGGAGTTTTCATTGGTAGCTGTTTTTCTGAATCTGAAAAGACTTGGTTCTACGAGAAGATGCACGTTAACAATTACGGCGTTATTGGGTACGTTTCTATTTATTGACACATATTAGCTGACTCGGCAAACGTTGTTATACCATATTCATTATTTTGAGAACTATACATGAAAATTTATCCTACTACAATTATTATATTCGAATGCTATCTTGTAACCCTATTGCCGCATATAAAAATCGCGATTAAAAAACAGGAGTTGATCGTAAAAGCGTGAAAATTTGAATTTATATGTATTTTTCAATGCTAAGTTATTATAAAATAAAAATAAAAAAAGTTGTCAAAAAAATAAAAATAAAATATTTAGAGGTGGGTCACCCTTATCATTGAGAGGTATAAAAAATAGATGTTGGCCGATTCTCAGACCTACCCGATATGCACACAAAATTTTATAAAAATCGGTAAAGCCGTTTCGGAGGAGTTTGGTAACAAACACCGTGACACGAGAATTTTATATATAAGATATATAAGAGTTTGGATAATTTATTTTAAAGAAATCTTCAAAGTTATCTTTTATTTATAAATTTATATATATTTATTTTGTCCATATTCTATTCTGTATTTATCAATACATACATTTTTTTGAAATTTCTGTTCATTTTATTATGAATTCTTGTACTAGTTGTAAAATTACTACTAGTTAAACTTGTTGCTATTGTAGTATATTTAGAAATAGATACTTTTTATTGTTTCCTTCATATCATTACATTAGCAAACTTATTATAAATACAAACAATATCTTATATATAAAATTCTCGTGTCACGGTGTTTGTTACCAAACTCCTCCGAAATGGCTTTACCGATTTTTATGAAATTTTGTGTGCATATTGGGTAGGTCTGAGAATCGGCCAACATCTATTTTTCATACCCCTCAATGATAAGGGTGACCCTCCCCAAATTTTTTTTTTAACAAATTTTTTCATTTTTATTTTATTATGATTTGAAAAATTCACACAACTTTAAATTTTCATCGTTTTACAATCAACCCATGTCTTTTCATCGCGATTTTTATATTTCGCAATAAGTGGTAAAACAACGTTTACGGGGTCAGCTAGTTATAATATAATAGCTAAATTTTATTTACGGTTTATAAGGTGACGGTGTAAGAATAAAATGTGTTATTACTCCTTTTGTGATAGTGAATGAAAGTAACCTTGTTCCCGCAGATGCTGTCGTGCTATGTTAGCAAACCGCATCTCGTACTGGCTTGGATTGACCGGTCCGTCGTACACCTTGGACACGGCCTGTTCAAGTACACTGTACGCTCTTGAGCACGCCTTCAAAGCAATCCGTGAAGGGTATTGCGACTCTGCCATTGTAGGCGGGGCTAATTTGTGCATTCATCCTTTTGTATCACTGCAGTTTTTCAGGTATATTTAACGACTAGTTTTTAAGTTTGGAGTTATATAGAAAACTGACTCTTATGGGATTTTCATAGTTCCAGTTAATGTTACTGAAAGAATATTATAAATAGATGGGAGAAATGTATGGTAGTGATTCTATTGACGGTACTTACTTCTAGGTTAAGCCTAAGCTTAATTAGTTTAATTCGCGGTTTAGGCGCCAAACGGTTAGCACTAGATTCATAGTCTGCATTACTAACAATCTCTTTCCCCCAGTACGTACCCAGTTTTACTGTAGAAGGAACATTATCAGTATTTTTTTTTATATAATTTTTTTACGCTTGATGTAAAAAATGTTGCAGAGAGTCAATGATTTTATATCGACTTGTTATTTTTTTGCAGTTTGAGGCTGTACTTTGTGACTAAATATGAAGATTCAGAAGACAGCTGATATATTGAAGTGATGATTATAATAAAGTATCCTCTCTATTTCTTGCTGTTACAGATTAGGTGTATTATCAGTCGATGGTGTTTGCAAGAGTTTTGACAATAAAGCAAATGGTTACGCTCGCTCAGAGACTATCGCTGTTTGTTATCTACAGAAAGCAAAGGACTCAAGAAGGTAAAATGTTATTTATTTATATCTTTATTGCATAAACAATAACATATAAACAATTCAAGTGAAATACATATAAAATATATACATAAAGGTACAAACGGCGGACTTATTGCTAGGCCAATCTCTTACAGACAACCTTTGGTTAATAACAATTAATTCATAAGGACCTCTTTGAAATTGCTAAAAAGTGAAAAATTTTGGTATTGAGATTTAGCTACATAAATTGTTAATATCGTGTTATAAATATTTCCTCTTCGGAAATCAAAATTTTAGGAAGATATGAAGGGTTTGGATCTTTATTCTTTTTGTACACCTTGTAAAGGATTATATTACAGAAGATAATCATGTAAAATTTACAAATTTCTGTAAAATTAATTATTTTTATTACTATTATTATTATTCATTATATTGCAAAAATTGGTGAGCTGCGATATTATTTTTTTTAGAGTATATGCCCAAGTGGTCCATACGAAGACGAACTGTGATGGTTACAAGGAGCAAGGCATTACCTATCCATCTGGGCAAATCCAAAAGTTGCTCCTCAGCGAGTTTTATGAGGATTGTGGTGTAGCGCCTTCCAGTTTGGATTTCGTTGAAGCTCACGGGACAGGTACGTTAATTTTATGTGACTTTCACTCCAATATTTATAGATATTGCAGTAAAAATCCATTAATTCAAATCTACAGGTACTCAGATCGGTGATCCTGAAGAGTTGATAGCCATTGATGAGATCTTCTGCACCGGCCGATCTGAGCCGCTCATGATTGGCTCAGTCAAGTCTAATTTGGGACACACCGAACCTTCTTCAGGTCTTTGTTCGATTGCTAAGGTATTTTCCTTTTTTTGTGTATTTGCATGATTCTACCTATGGACTCTACACAGTCTTCGCTAAAACGGTCAATAGTGTAATAGAATAAGGTAATGTAGGTTGTCTTTGACACACTCATTATTAATGAATAATTTGTCAAAATTTTAGATTACTTTTAGTCTTAAAAATGTAATTTTGAATAACGATTATAGAACCAAAATAAACATTGAAACAGGATTTTAAGATTTTAATGCCGAGCTTGCATGATTGGGCTTTAGTTTAAAGAGTGAGTTATGCCAGTGAAATTATAGGATATGGAGGCATAACACCATGTATTCTGTGATGCTATTCATGTCTGTAGCCGACAGTTATCGCTTCCCACCAGTAGAACTATATTGGCTTCTTCGCCATTCTAAGTATAAAAAAATATTATGCACCATAACTTCGATGTATTACATTTTAGATGTGTATAGCATATACCACTGGATTGATTCCACCAAATCTGCATTACGAAACACCCCGACAAGGTATCGCTGCATTATCTGAAGGTCGCCTCCAGGTCGTAACTGAGAAGCAACCCTGGAACAGGGGACTGAGTGGTATTAGTAGTTTCGGCTTCGGTGGCGCGAATGCTCATGTACTCTTGAAAAATATAGCTTCTGAAAAGGTAAACAATGTAAACATTATGCTAATAGTTACAATTAAAAAGTTAAAAAAAGTATTATAGGCATTAGAAATTGGTAACATAAATGATTAATAATTTAATAAAAACACACAGAATGTATCACTGAATATATGCCAGTGTAATAATTTCTGCTCTTGATTAAGAGCAGAATGTTATTAAGTTAATTGTAGCTTATATACTTTATGACAAAAAAAAAAAATAGAGAATATGATAGAATCCATAAAAATGTTTTTTTGGCACCAATTTTTGAGTAAAAACTGATGTTTTTACTTTTATCATTTTGTCTGCTTTTTACAAATCAAATCAAATGAAATATTTATTTATTTAATTGTATGATTTCTTACATTTACTTTTAATAGCAAGTCTTCTAGGTATATTTGTTGTAGAAGACATTATTTTACTTTACCCAGGTCAATAATAGTCTTCCGGCTGATGCATTGCCCCGCCTAGTTTGTGTCTCTGGTCGCACTAAGTCAGCTGTAGCCAAGATTTTTAATGATTTGGAGTCCAGGACAGTAGATGTTGAACAAGTGAGATTGTTTCATGCTATACATGATAAAAATATTGAAGGACATCTTTTTAGAGGATTTACATTGTTGGGTAATATAATTTTTCAATATAATATTAATAAAGCATGGATTACCTAATTGGAATACTATTAAAAAATTATAAATAGTACAACGGCAATTAATTTAGAATTTTATTCAATAGTTTTATTGCAGTTGCACAAAAAAATTATGCAAATGCTGGAGTTAGTTAAGAGGGCTTGATTTGGGTTTGAAATAAAATATTAAAAAAAAATAGTTATAATGTTTAATTTGAAACTTAATCACAAAAAATATTTGCTATTTTATATTCGGTAACTAACTTATTAGTTGATGATACAATTAAAGGACAACATAACACTACTTTAATCCCGAGGATGTAGTAAGGAATGAGTAATGAAATGCAGCATAAAACTTTCTTCTTAAGATAAACGTCTTTTCTGTATAGAAGACATTTATGCTTAGCATCTTGGTTCGAATACAAATGGGATCGTGTGATCTTGGTATGGGATCGTGTGATCTTGGTATGGAATGGGCCACCCCTTCTTTTCCGGTGGGTGTTGTAAGAGGTGACTAAGATAACTTAATGGTCGAGAGCAGTTCTTTTAAAATACTACTAACTAACTGCCAACCCGTCTGCCAAGCGTAGCAACTATTGCCAAAACCCCCCAATGAGGGAAGGCTTAAGTTCAACAGTGGAAAATTAACCGCTGATATGGTGATGATTAGGGTTTTAAAAATATGTTGTACGAGTAGTAACTAAAAGTACCTAAGCCAAATAATAATTGAATTTTAATCTTTAGGATCAACGCCGACCAAAAGCATATCAATAGCCCGTGATATTAACTATTTCTCTGGAGTCCGTCGACCAATTTGGTTTATATATTCCGGCATTGGATCACAGTGGCCCACCACTGCTATGCAACTTATTAAAATCCCGGTCTTCGCTGCTGCTATTAAGAGGTATAATTACTTTGTCAATATTCCAACGAATTAACTAACTAGTGATGGTGAATTTGAAACAGAAAAACTTATAATTAAGTTTCGAAATGTGATTTTTTGAGTTTTTCACAGTAACTAATAATCAGAAGATCAATTTAATTTATGATAAGTTCAAAACTAATTTGTAATGTTTTAAATTCATTCAAGTTATCACTTGATCTTGTTTTGATAATCTTTTCTTTTAATAATGCGTTTAAATAAATAATATCTCACTATTATTTTTGTTATTTCATATAGATGCCATAAAATATTAAAGCCGAAAGGGATAAACTTGATCAAAATAATTACGGAATCCAATCCCAAGATTTATAATAACGTACTGAACTCCTTGATTGGCATTGTAGCAATTCAGATCGGTCTTACTGATGTTTTAAAAACTGTAGGCATTTTGCCTGATTATATCATTGGTAAGTGTGATTTTTTCAACTTAATGAAACTATAGCTAAGTAAATAAAAGTGTAATGAAGCGAATACTTGATTCGACCATAAGATAGTCTTCTGAAGTACCAATAGTGCAGACATTGAAGGAGGGTGGGATATGGCGTGAATTTACAGAGTACAGAGGAATAACACTCGAGTCCTCAGGAATGGAAACGCATGGGGGGTATCATGGGCGAAACAGTATACTCTGTTATGCCCATAGTACTGCTCATGTCTATAGGCGACGGTTACCACTTTCCATCAGGTGGGCCGTCAGCTTGTTTGCCATTCTAACTTGTATAAAAAGAAAATTGTTCTATATGATGCCCATGGCTATTCATTCATTCATTGAAAAGCTCGCCATCGACAGGAGTTCACCCTATACCTAAGAGTTTAGACGATCGCAAACAGCGCGTTTTCAGAGATGTTTCCTCTCACGAACGCTTAAGTTATGGAATGAGGCCCCTGTCGAGGGTTTTCCAACAGCTACTACAAGCATGGGGTTCTTCAAAAGTTTTAAAGAGGTTTCTTCAAGGTCAGCAATGCGTCCATAATGCCTCTGGTATTGCAGGTGTTTATAGGCTACGGTCACTGCTTACCGTCACGTGGCTCGTATGTTTGTTTATCACCTCAGTGGTATAAAAAATAAAATAAAAAATGAGTTAACAGATTGAATGTTTCGATTTATTTCTGACTTTATTTAGAGAGCATTTTTGTAATCATTTTAACAAAATGTGTCTATCTTTTAATTTAGTTCTTATTAATAGTTTGCAAATAAATTTTGTTTTAACATCATTACTTATTATATTCTTCTCAAAATGTTCAGGACATGGTTTTGGCGAGTTGGGTTGCGCATACGCAGACGGTTGCTTAACAACTGATCAGACGATCTTAGCTGCGTATAGCCAGGGGCTGGCACTTACCGAAACTAAGCTCCTCAAAGGATGTATGGCTACTGTTGGCCTTGGTTACGATCAGGTAAATGAATGTTACAATGCTATTCTAAGTATTTTTCCTAAGTCAAGTCAATTATTCATGACAAGTTTTGATTAATTTAAGACTAGTTGGCACTATGTGATATCATCGTCATCATCTTAGCTATTATTTGTCCACTGTTGAACATAGTCTCTCCCCATAAACTACCATAGAGAACGGTCCTGAGCCTCCTGCATCCACTGACTCCTTGCAATGCATTTGAGGTGGTCACTCCATTTAGTGGGTGGTTGTCCTACACTGTGTTTGCCCAACTGGGTCTTCACTCATTAACTTTTCTTCCCCATTTGTTTTCGGTTCTTCGAATTATATGGCCAGCTTACTGCCACTTTGGCTTGCTTATTCTATGAGATATGTATGGAATTATTTATGTATTCGATTTTCTTTTTTTTTGCAAAAGTTCTTATTTATTAAATTAAACATTTATATTTGCTAGTTAGGGATTAAATAATAGTAATGTGCTATAAATAATCGTACTGTAGAAATTATCTTTAAATTTATTAATACAGGTTTAGTTCCTGATAGATCTTTACGTGCTAGACGTCATACGTCCTCATTAATATTATAAATGTGAAAGTGAGTTTGTGTGTTTGTTTGTTTAGGGTCTTAACTAATCATTATGAAATTTGGTATACATGAATGTATAGAATGGAGAAGGATATAGGCTACTTTTTATCCTGGATAGTTAACATTTTTTATTTACAAAGATGAAATTGCGGGTTAATGTTATAACATTACCTATAGGTACTGAAACTAAACAAAATATTACAAATCCAGAAGCACAATTGTACTCCGCAAAATTACTTTTTTTCTGATTTTACTTAATTCTTAAATGATTTACTGGTATATGATACAGATTAAGTCGATGTGTCCACCCGAAATAGAAGTGGCTTGTCGCGACAGCCCCAGCTCTAGTACCTTATCGGGCCCAGCTGATATCATGAAGAGCTTCATTACAAAGTTGTCTGCTCAAGGAATATCCGTCGAAGAAGTTCCGTGCTCCAATGTAGCTTTCCATTCGCGTTACGTCGCTGAAGCTGGTAACATATTGCTTTGTATTTTCTTTTTAGTAAAAATTTTAAATTTGTTAAATTTGTAAAGTCAGATATTTTTGGCAAATCTTTAACAGTTTGTTGTCGCCATTTTTCATTTTACACTGTCGTATTATCAATACGTAGTCTATATTTGTATATCAATGTGGCATCATCGTCATTATATCAGCCCATAACTGTCCACTGCTGAACATAAGTTGTTCTCATAAGGAGAGTTTTTCCGGTAGTTGCTACGCTTGACAGGCGAGTTGGCAACCGCAGATAGGCTTTTAGTGATGTTGATAATGAATCAATATTTATCATCGTTAGTATTATATTAGTAATTAAGTGCCCCCTGCAGAACAAAGGTTACTGCACTGCAGAATGCAAAAAGCCTAACTGCGGTTGACACCCGCAGTTAGGCTTTTGAGATATTTTAGGAGGAATGCTGCTGCCTATCCCTCGATCATTTAGTTCCTTTAATTGCTTCTTACGATACTCCCCATCCCAGGATAGGAAGGTTTGGCCTATTCTATGTCGGGCTCACACAGTAAAGGGATAAAATATTGGTCTTATTCTATTTATATCAGTTGAACCTAAATCAAAACCCATTAAAGAAATATAAATATGAGTCAAAGTACAAAAAGTAACCGACAACGTTTAAACTTTTCACTACTTGATATCTAAAGAATTTCTTAAAAAAGTACTAATAAATCCGATTTTATCTGTGCATTTCAGGTCCCAAAATTCAAAAGTATCTCAAAGAAGTCATCCCATCACCAAAATCCCGTTCTCATCGCTGGATATCCACATCAGTTCCTCAAAGCCAGTGGAAGAATCCCAATGTGGAGCTGTCTTCTGCTGAATATCACACGCATAGTCTTTTAGTACGGTTTTATTTATTCTTTGTTAATACATTCTTTCCATATTAAGATTTGAGGAATTAAAAAATAATTTTTGATTTTTTTTTGATGGGTGAAAATGGAATAGCAACCCCGCCTGTGCTAACGGAATATGCTGGCGGAGCACCAGTGAAGGGTGATAGATGAGAATGAAAACAGGCCAGTTAGCCCATCATGATGAATTCATCAGGAATTAACTATGATAGTTTCCAGGGGGAACCGCGAGGAGGTCGACCTGGTTGGGTATATTAGGTAGCAATGGGATTCTTAGTCTCCATTACTAACAATCCCTTTCCCTCCAATTTTTAAGTGTTGGCAGTCACACACATACTAGCGGAAGCAGAATTAAACAAAATATAATCATCTTTCTATCCTTATCCCAACTATTATTTGAGGTCGGTGTAATATGTTTTTTATCCATATTACAAAACGATTTGGCAATTCTTTTTGGGAATGCATTTGTTAATGGTTTCCGCCACCTACAGTATGGAGGAATGTATTGAGGAAAAAAGGAAGGAAATGTTGGAGAAGCGTAAAGGAAATTGGCAAATAAAAGGAATAAGGGACTTATGTGGGAAAGGAAGGAGGGGGAGGGTTCAAAAAACAATTCTAATCAAATAACTAGTGATTAGGATTTCCGCAAGGTATGTAGTACCTACTTTAGTAAAATATATAAACAGTAATTAAGTATTTTGTTTTATACAGAGCCTAGTTCTTTTTGAAGAGAACTGTCAACTAATTCAAGACAATGCTATCACTATCGAAGTGGCTCTACATGGATCTCTTCATACTGTTCTAAGACAATCTCTTAAGAAGAACATTACTGACATAGCTCTAACTCGAAAGAGCGATGAAGATAATGTGCAGGGACTGCTTATAGCGCTCGGAAGGTGACTTACATACTTTAATTTATATAAAGAATTTAAAAAAGTAAAAAAAAAATCTATTTAAATGCCATAGATTAAGAATTATAATATAATATAAATGCCATAGATACTGATTTCACATTTGGCTGAATTTTTTTTAAATAAAAACAAGGTGCGCTTTTTTTAATTAGCACATACGGCACACCACATTAACAATTGATTTTCGTACAAAATTACATATTTTAAACATAAGTAAACACGTTTTTTGGTTTGTAGTCCTGGCATAGAATAGGCCACCCCTTTCTTCCCCGTGGGTGTCCTAAGAGGCGACTAAGGGCGGATGAGAATGAGGGATGGGCAGCAACGTTCTTCTTAAAATATCTCCAAAGTCTAACTGCGGTTGCCAATCCGCGTGCCAAGTGTGGCAACTACTGGCAAAACACCCCAATAGGGAGAGGCCTATATTCAGAAGTTTCAATTAAAGGCGGATATGATGATAATGACGAAACACGTTTCTCCCCTTTTTTGGGGATGAAGTGCCTTTAGAACCGATACGGTATAAAAATATTTCTTTTTATTATTAGTTAATATGTTAATTAGACAATAAAATACATTGAACTTAATTTGTGTTTTTTTTGCAGACTGTACAATTTGGGACTAAACCCGCAGCTCGCTAACGTCTATCCCCATGTGTCCTTCCCCGTATCGCAGGGCACACCTTACCTGGCACATTTAGTGGAATGGGAGCATAATGAAGATTGGTCTGTACCAAATTTATATTAATACATATAATATTTGTACCTCCAAGTTTTTTTATACCACAAAGTTGGCACAAGCATACAGCCCGTCTAATGGTAAACGGTCACTGTAGCCTATGGACGTCTGCAACACCAGGGGTGTCACGTGCGCGTTGCCGACTCCGAAGAAACTTTAATATATCCTCTTTGAAGAATTCCATACTGTAGTCTTTAGGTAAGTAAACAAAGTATATCGTGATGCAGGCAGCTTTTTTTGTATGGCTGATTCAGTTTCAAAGCCCATCTGCGGTTGCCAATACGGTTGCTAAAAATGGCAACTACTAGCAAAACTCTTCCAAGGACAGGTCTATGTTCACCAGTGGACAGTTATCGACTGATATGATGATGTGTTCCGGTTTGAAGAGTGGTGTAGAGAAATTATCAAGTATATGCATAACATTAGTTCACAATGAAAATTTTAGAAATGTTCAAATAGGAAAGTTGGAAAACACGGGTATAAACAGTATAAGAGAGAACAAATAAATTAAATTAAAATTTTATTTCTAGGTTCGTGGCTTCGTACAATACTGAGGAGAAAATAACGATAGGGGAACGTGATGTTAACGTGTCTGTCGCCGGTGAAGAAAATGAATATTTATCAGGCCATGTTATCGATGGTGAGAATTCATAAACAGTCTATTCTATTCTACTTTATTTAAGAGCTGGCCCTCTATAGACTAGGAGCAAGCGAATTCGTCGATGGAATCGACATCGCTAGCGACTCCGTAAGTTCGAATGAGTCACTCGGCGTTGCTATCTTTTTTTTTTATATAACTTAGAATAGCAAACAAGCTGACTGCCCACCTGATAGAAAGTGGTAACCGTCTCCTATAGACATGAGCAGTACCATGAACATAACAGAAACACAGTCATGCAAACACAACTGCTTCATAGTAGAAACATGAATAGGACAGAGGGGTACAGAAGAATAACACCTGAGTCCTCAGGAATGGCAACGCATGGGGGGTATTATGTGCGAAACAGTATACTTTGTTATGTCCATGGTACTGCTCATGTCTATAGGCGACGGTTATCACTTTCCATCCGGTGGGCCGTCAGCTTGTTTGCCATTCTAAGTCGTATAAAAAAAAATGTGCCCATGCAAACGACTTTAATATAAAGTCTCTCTCTGGTATTTAATCTCCCTCTGGAGAATATATTTTGTTTTACGTTTTTATATTTCTTTCTCTGTAAATTTGTATAAAAAGCTAATTTTCAACAGGTCGCAACTTGTATCCGGCTACTGGGTACCTAGTGCTCGTATGGGAGACACTTGGTAAGATGATAGGAAAGCTATTTGATAAGTTGTCTGTGGTAATCGAGAACGTTCGCTTTCAGAGGGCTACAAATATTCCTCAGGACGGATCCATAACGTTCATTACTACGATACACAAAGCAAGCGGAGATTTTGAGGCAAGTATGGCATTATAATAAAAGAAAAATGTAGATAAGCGTGCCGAAAGGAAAACCTGGAGGTGGCACTATTTAGCATTACTTTATATGTACCTACACTTCCGCGCAAATAACAAACAATTCTTGTTTTTTAATTTTTATTCTTAGAAAGAAAGAAAAAAAAAACATTTATTGACAACAAGGCGGGCGTTCATAGGCTACGGTAACCACCTACTATCAGGTGGGCTGTATGCTTGTTTGTCAACTCAGTGGTATAAAAAAAATCTTGATATCCATTAATTTCTCTCTTTCCATATAGATAAAATCTTATATGAGAAAACAGTTCAGAGTACGATAGGGCTGTATACCTGAAGAAGCTTAAAGCCCATAAGGGTTTCAATTTTAAAATTAAAAAAAGAAAAACTCTAAAAAAGTAACAGTTTTTCTACCTGTGTTTATTTTAGATTACAGAAAGTGGGGCAACTATTGTAACTGGCCGTGTATATGTAAAGGAAAACGTGGCACAAGATTACCATATGCTGCCAAAGCTCCCTGATATGACCGGCCCTAATATCAGACATGTGCTCACTAAAGACTTCTATAAGGAATTGAGACTTCGAGGCTATCAGTACAGGTAATAAATTTAGTGATAAAGACGTATAAACAGAATAAACAAAATTTCAAAAAATATAATTGTTAAAACGAATTCCCATTAAAAATATTTTAATATTTATAGCGGATTATTCCGTGGAGTAATGGGTTGCAACGTTGAAGGCACTCGAGGTCGGCTCGCCTGGGTCAATAACTGGGTCACATTCATGGACTGCATGCTGCAGCTCAAGATCATCGGCCAAGACACCCGCGGCCTCTTCGTGCCCACCAGGATTGAGAGACTGACAATTGATGTGGACTTACACTACTACGTTTTGTCAAAAATGAATTCAAATTCCAAAAAATGTACACTTGAAATTCGTAACTATCCTGATATTAATGTTATCAGGTAAGTATTTACAATTGAACAAAACAATAATTTATCAGCTCAAGAAGCTAAGAAGTTAAATATAATAATAAAATAATAAAACTCTTTCTCGAGCTGCCCAATTATGGAACAAACTCCCTTCCCACATACAAGAGAGCCCTTCAATTACCTCTTTTAAGAAAAGGTTGAAGTTACATTTTCTTTCGTTTGAGTCATAATCTTAATTTTTTCATTTTTATAATTGAACTGTCAAACCTTAAAATCATTTAACTAAATTTCTATTGTAGGTAGTATATTCATTTATTTTAACATCCATTGTATAAGTAGGTAGGTATTATATTTATTTATAGTATATGTATTTATGTAGTATTTTATTATGTATCTTAATATTTTATTTAACTGTATATTTGTTTATGTACTCTAAATATTAATAGTTGTAACACTTCAGCTGCCCGCTAACAACATGTTTTCTAACTGCATTTCTCTGACAGAGATCTCTTCCAGTCAACCCGACTGGAAGAGATCTCTGTCAGAGATAAGTCCACCCTTGCTCACAATATTTATAAACGCATTAACATTGTAATTTACAAGTGCAATAAAGAATGAATATTTTGTCACACTTAAAGTCTTTAATATAATGAAATTCAAAGTTATTAATTATTATATTATAAGAGAATTAATAATTATTAAATATCATTATAATGATGTTACTTATTTAAAACATAAAAAAAAACATTATAGATAATAACTGACGCTGAAATTTAATACGTAATATTTTTGAGCGAATAATTGGAATAGATACTCAGTATTGTATATTTTGAGATTGTTTTAGTAAATATCGTCTAATTTAAATATCTGCAGGTCGGGAGGTATAGAAATCCGTGGTGTGCGTGCGACGCCGATTTACAAGAGACCACCATTAGGCGAGCCTGTGTTAGAGAAGAACGTGTTTATTCCAAATTTCGGAAAGAACACGATGAAGGTCTTGTTTTAATGTTTCTTTTTTTTTTATTTACGTTATTTTTGACAACAAAAACAATTATTCAGACATTTTTTTCTTCCATCTATATCACTATATAATTTTTTTTAGACTACATTCCCTTCTTGTCACATTTTGTTTTTAAATGTAAATAGTAAATATACTCAGTTTTTAGCATAAATCTTAATTTGAATCCAAATGAAAACTAGGTTTCAAATTAGAATTTAGTTTCTTCTATAGCTCCATTCATAGCTGCAACAGGCATGCCTAGAAAAATGAATATTTTCAAAGAATTTACTTGTACATGTATTATACATATAATTTAAATATTTTATTTTATTTATCAAACTTTAATACACATAGAAAGTGTAAGTGTAAATAAAAATTATTATGAAGAAGTTTGTATGAGTTAGCTATGGAAAGTTGCTAGGTAATTTTATTTATCAACTATAACTGCAGATCTAAAATTAATATTTTTAATATTGCTTAGACTGAAGATTGCCTCCGTGCTAACATTCAGCTGATCCTTGAGAACATACCAACCTATAAAGTTAAGACCATTGAGTTTGTTGATGAAGAATATAAAAGTAATGGTCTGCAGCCAATAATAGAACAGATTGGTGAAATTCTTGCTGATTTGCCGTTAGTACAATCGGAGTTGTTATTAATATCAGACGAACCGATTGTAATGCCATCTACTATAACTGTAGAAAAAAAGAAGCTCAGTGGAGAGTCTAACGCAGTGTTGTTCATAGGAGCTAATCTATTGAAGAGGAACATGGTATGTATAGTAATAAATTATGGAATATTTATCTTAATTATTTATATATATCTATCAATGTCTTATTTTATGTAACTTTACATTGAAAAATGAGGCAATATTTTGAATCGCTACGCTAATTACGTTATTAAAATAAATAATCATAGTAATAGATAATCTTTCGAGAAAAAAAAAACTAAAGCTTCGGTTCAACTTTCCGATAAAAAAAATAGATAGATAAATACTATTTACGAGTATTGCATGCTCCACATTCGCAAATTACAGTAGTAAATTTATTATAAATGCAAATAATTACAAACAAAGATTATACTGAGGATTTTTAAATACTTATAGAGATATAATACGCACAATAATGTACATTTACATATATATTTACATAATTTATTAGAATATGTTAATCAAGAGACTATACGAGTATGTATATTGATTATCTGGAGTATACTGGTCATCTATGTGGTAATTAGATTAGGGAGAGGTAGATTAGAGAAGTCAAACGAGAAAGGTCTTTAAAGGAAAGTACCATCCCTTTAAGATAATAATAAAAGTATTTCTGTTAATATAAATATAATTTCGTAGATATTAAATGAAGCAGCAGCTACTCTTCGCGACAAGTGCTTTATTATAAGCCGTGAGAAAGATCGCCCAGAATCCAACGAACAATCTGACGAGTATGAGTTAATAACTGTCCAACACGTTGGAACAGAATACATAGTGCTTTTGAGAAAACGTGTAATGAAAGTCCAGAAATATGAGTGTATTCAAATAGAAGCAAGAGATGAAAATTTCTCTTGGGTGGAAAAAGTGCAAGAGAAACTAAGAATGGGGCAAAGAATAATATTGTACAGTCAGGGAGAATTCATCAATGGACTTCTTGGTTTTGTCAATTGTCTAAGAAGAGAGTCAGGCGGTGAAATTGTTAGAGCCTTTTTGGTCTCTGATCCCACTGCTCCTAATTTTAATCCAGAATTAAAGTTTTTTAAAGACCAATTACAAAAAGATTTAGCAATAAATATTTATCAGGAAGTAAGTAAATAATCATGTTTATTTGTATTTTCTTTGGGATTATTTCGAATTATTCTATTTATTATAGTCTAATAATTTGTAATCAAAGACAATATTATGAATACAGGGTCAATGGGGCACTTATCGTCACTTGCTGCTCGGAAAATTAGACACAGTTCATGCTGACCACGCATTTGTTAATACTTTGACTGTTGGAAATCTATCAACACTAACTTGGATGGAAGGTCCAATCAGAAAAGATAAGGCTTTCAAAAATCCAGATAATGTACTTGTACAAGTAAGTAGGTATAGTTTAATACTAATGTTATTTATTTAAAATGTCGCTATACCTATTTGCAGGTGGCTCAGGGCCGTTCTTTATTGCAGTCTATGGGGTAGGCTTATGTTCAGCAGTTATGGCTGAAACGATGAGGGTGACGATACCTATATACGCTATCCTTATTGCTAGTCTAAATATTACTGACACTTAGGTATAGTAATTATTAGAAAGTATTATTAGTAAAATTCGGTTCACGTGAGTTCCGGACCGTTCTGCTATTGTCGTGGTATATGTATATTCAAAAATTTTCTTAGTTCTTAATAGAAATATAAAGGCGTGATCCTTTATTTCTAGTTTTAATTTCGTACATTAAAATGTTTTTGTTGGCATTAAAGGTGTACTGCGCGGCTGTGAACTTCCGTGACGTGATGACAGCATCTGGCCGCGTGACGCGGGACGCTGTCGCTCGCGGAAGACTTGCACAAGAGTGCGTGCAAGGATTAGAATTGGTTGGACTAACACCGAAGTGAGATTACTATATACTTCTCTATATATCCAAGTACTTTTAATTTTCCCAATCAATATACTTTTCGATCCCTAACACGCTTTAAGCGTGATATACTATAAAATAGAATTCTCTATATATGTATTTTTCCCAAAATTACTTATCGTTACATAAATAGAACCCGTAGTTCATAATACTTTGGCACCCCTCATTTTACACTGGTCTTGAGGAGTCTAGTGTTATGTAAATGTAGTGCTCGATATTTTACGCTCCAAGATGGAGCAACACGCATTGTTACTTTTCGGTAGAGGATCCAGCTGAGTCATTCAATCTCTATCTACTGATAAGCGTCTCCATATTTAAAGAGTTCGAAGCTGCATTACAACTTAATTGTCATTCCATAGTGGTTCTCGGGTTATGTGCATTGTGAAGAATTCCGGTCTGGCCAACATGGTAAAAGCTGACAAGAACCTTTCTTGGAATATTCCTAAAGAGTGGAGCTTTCAAGAAGCGGCCACCGTGCCTATTACGTACCTCACTGTCTACTGCTCCATAGTAAGTTCTAAAGGCTATTTAACTAATAAAAATAAATGTTCATATATATATAATAACAGTTAATATATTTAAATGACAGTTAGGGTGATCTCTAAAAATTTTTTATACCACTGAGGTGGCAAACAAGCATACGGCTCACCTGATAGTGACGTCATTATACGACTTTTTATACTGATGTTTTTTAAGATCATGAAATAAAAAAATGCTCTTACTGTTATATTTCTCTTAGGTTATAGTGGGTCAGATCCAGCGCGGAGACTCGATTCTGATCCACGCGGGTAGCGGCGGCGTGGGGCAGGCTGCCATCAGCGTGGCGCTTTACTATGGCTGCGAGGTCTTCACCACTGTTGGTACACCGGAGAAGAGAGCACTCATCAAGAAACTGTTCCCTCAACTCAAAGGTATATTACTAAGGACTTGAGTATAAAATCATATGCAGAAATTGATAACAAAGCCGGACCATATTTTTCGACTTAGCCATTTTAACACATTGCCATTTTCAACCGATTTTAAAAAGAAGGGCGTTCCCAATTCGGCCGTATTTTTTTTATATTTGTTACTTCATAACTCCGTCAGATCTACTTCTTACGATGAACGTAACTAATAATACACTATCAACAGACAGTCATATTGGAAACTCCCGAGACACGTCGTTCGAGCAAATGATTTGTAAAGAAACAAACGGCAAAGGTGTGGACGTAGTGCTCAACTCACTCTCGGATGACAAACTTCATGTAAGGCCAATTGAAAATCAATTTACAAACATTCAGTTTTTTTTTAAAGAATAATAAGCAGCTTTTATTCTCGCAGCAAATACCCATTGAACCTAAAAATTTAAACAGCTTTATAAATATTACAAAATATACTGTAACACCTGTGATAATCCCCATGTGCTACCATCTGTGTTATTTTAGGACTTTTAAGCGATGACCGCAAACATTTCTGAGAACTAAGGATTAATGTTTTTGTATCATGTAATTTTACTATCATACACCATTCTCTAAACCAAAACACAGCCGTGCAAGCACTGTAGACTGGTAACAGAAATACGAATGTTAAAGCTATTATCCAAACAAGTGTATTATAAAGTCTTTCTCTACTAAAGGCTAATATTTTCTGACAGGCATCTGTAAGGTGTCTTGCCTACAGAGGCCGATTCCTCGAAATTGGGAAGTTTGATATCAACAACAACACGCTACTTGACGTCGCTCCCAAGGAAACTTCATTCCACGGCATTATGTTGGATGACATTTTTGACCAACCCCCTGAAAATATAAAGGTTAGTTCATTTCTATTTATTTAATTTAATAAATGGTGGAAAATCTGCAACTTTAATCAAATTTGTATCTTTAAACTTTGTCTATGAGAATTAGGTTTATTAATACATATTTTGTATATAATATTAGGCTGTGATGCATCTGTGGTTTAAATTTTATTATAAATGAGCACTTTAACGGTTATATAAGTCTTAAAGTTTATAAGGATGGATGGATTTGCTACTCTTTCATGCAAAAACTTCTAAATGGATTTAAATTAAATTGGGTATATGGATAGTTTATACTCCAATTTAGTACATAAGATGCTTAATGTAATTAAGACTTAAAAGATATGGATAGCGTAAGCTATAATATGATATAAAAGGCATTGAACGCTGAGATGACTTTAAACAGAGATGAACGGAAGACATTGCATATTATGTCAATCTCTATTGATATGGGTTGAAGAAATGAAACTTAACAACTAAATATCATTGTTCTGTCATCCTAATAAATACTAAATTGCACTTGAAAGGATGAAAGGATTTGAATCAGATTTACTAGATGGTAAGTGATTATGAAATGTATCTGTGTTTGTCGCAGGCTTAACGCAATTTTATATCTAACCTGCGGTCCACACTATGCCGGCACCGTGTCACGATTCTCTTGAAGGAAACCAAATTATGCTTAGCAGGAAATATAGAGATATTTATGAGCGTTAACAAATTTTGCAAACCGAAGTGTGACAATGTCGCAATTGTCTGAAAATTTTCATAAATATTTTAACGTTTTTAATTGTTTTCGACTGTTTATTTAAAAATAGCTTTGCTAGCGTACTAAAAAGTTAATCATAAAACATATTGTATTTCAATCTACCATGAAAATTTTTGCACCAGCTACATATTTTGCTTCATATTTTCGAATCATCAAAATCCGAATTTTAAGTAACAGCTTAGTAAAAATATAATTGATTGTTTAATGTTTAGTTCACTAATGGAGCACTTTTTAAATAACCAATCGGAAAGGTTAAATAATGTTCAATTGTTTATTAAAAACGATAAATTATTGTCACGTTGTCATACTTTATTATGAAGGTTTCTTAAAGACTTCTATTGTATTTCACGCTAGCAGAGTCATCATCATCATCATGGATTAGAGCTAGTCATATTATGTACATATATTACAGATAAATAACGATTAAGTGCCAGCAATATAATGATTATAATATAATAATACCTACGTTCAACAGAGGGTGCATGAGCTTTTGCTTACCGGCATTGCGTGTGGAGTTGTTCGCCCTTTAACGTACTGCATATTTGAAAAGAATGAAATTGAATCTGCATTCCGATATATGGCTGCTGGGAAACATATCGGGAAGGTGAGAATTGAAATTTTTGATTAAACAGTACTTGTCTTTTGTATGCACAATTAATTTTAATTAAACAACAGATCTTTATGTAGTATTAATAATATATAATATATTGTAATTATATTTATATAAAGAAATCCAAAAGAAGTATCAAATAAAAAAGTAAGCAAAAAAGAAGTAAGTGAAATCTAATCAAAACCTCCTTTAGCCGTTACGGTAGATTGAAACGTTAATTAATTCAAATTATAAACATAGTAACCTATATAGCTGTAAACTTTATTATGTTGTCATTTTGTGAGAGAAATAATTAAATAAATAAAAAATAGTTTTGAAATTTTGGTAGATTTGTTGATATACATATTTAAGAAATGTGTTAATTATTTTAATTTTGCTGAGCAATTGAAAATACCAATATTTAAAAAGGTTTAAAAACCGACCCTAAAAATTACAGGCCCATATCTCTTTCCACTGTATTAGTAAAAATATTAGAAAAACTAGTTAAAAAAAGGCTTTAAAAACATTGAGATCAGCACAAAGTTCTGCATGAAAGATAGTTTGGATATAGGAGACATGTAACATCCGAATAGGTAAACTAATCGATGACGTTATACTAAAATTAAATAACAAAAACATAATTATAATAATTGGACTATTTCTAGATTTAAACTCTGCATTTGATATGGTGAATCATCACATATTATCTTGAAAGTTGGAACATTATGGAATACGTAACATAGAATTAAAATAATAAAATCATGCTTTGACAGTAAATAACAATTTGTTGAAATATTTCTATCGTATAAAAATCTAATGAAAAAACATATAAATCTTATTTGAAAAAAACTAAACGCGGAGTACCACAGGGTTTGATATTAGGACCTATATCATTTCTTGTGTTTACTAACGATTTCATTAAGTTTATCTAAAATTCTATTTCTAATATTAATTTAATAGCATTTGCAGATAATACGAATGCCACAATTGTTGCTGAAACATTAAAAACTTTTAAAGTTTTTAATGTTTCAGCAATAACAGAAATTTGGTAATGAAATTTTTCAACAAAAAATATACATTTTATGAAAATTAAATATCTTTATCTTATTATTATTATTAAATATCGTAATCTTTTACAGTTAATTATTATTAGTAATTATTGAAAATAACTCGACATGTACAAAAATTGTAATTACCTGTAGTGTGTTGGAGTTTGATACCTGTAAACTGTATGTAATAATAAAAAAATAGATAAATTAAAAAATGCCGCGAATAATTTAAAAAATAATACAAAAAATACAAATACACTTCTGTTTAAGTCGATCACGAAATAAAAAGCTATTATAACTGTACAACTAAAGAACGAAACGATAAATTTACTAGAAATTGTTTATTTCTTAGAAGGGTACATAGATTCCTTTTTAAACTGGAAACCGGAACTAAAAGAAGAGTAGAAAATTCCATAAGTTCTTAAAATTGTTTGTATATATCAGTAACACTAGAAGAACAAGTGATACGTGGAACTATTTCTATTGCATACTAGAAAAAAAGACTTGTAACATCAAATTCAACCGAAATTTTAGGGTTGTTAATTATTGTGCGCGACTTTAGGCTATAAAAGTATTTAACAATTTACCTATTTACTTGAAAACTATTTATAATGTTATTTCGTTTAAAATTCGATTAAAAGCATTACAATTGATTAAGTATAATAATATATTATGTATAAAAAACAAAAAAAAAATAATGTGTGAAATAATTAATCTATTTACATACTTGTGTTGTTTATATAAATTACAAAGTAGACTGAATATAATTAAAAAAAAAACCAATTTGAATTGTATTTGATTCTAAATGAAGTGTAATTTTAATTTAAAATTTTTGTAATGTTGTTATATAATATCTATTTTATACAATATATTTTGTGCTTTGGATACATAAATAATTATTTATAAAACCTTTCTCTTCACTGACTATGAACATATAGTAAAAACTACTAAGTTTAGAAAGCTGAAATTAGGAACATATATTTATTTTATAACGTAACTATCTGCTAAGACAGGATCTTTGAAAATTGGGAAACACGTCATCATGTATGCAGAGTCCAAAACTTTAGCTAGCAACAATATAATTTTATTGCTTATTGGTTGATATAGTGACATTTAGTATGGTATCTATGTATATCTCTAAACATTATTTGCTAATAGTTCTTCCTTCAATTAACAGTTGCTCATTAAAATCCGGGACGAAGAGCAAAGTGACGTGCCCGTGAGACCAACGTGTATTCCTATTGAAGCTGTTCCCAGGTATTTCTTTTTGATAACTATAATAAAGTTATTGCAAAATCTAGTGTATTTGCAGTTATAGCTTTTAAATATTTAAGTGATCGAAGATTTTCTTTTTATCTACAATTTTATTACAATTTTGCATTATTATTCTTTCAATTATGTATATTTCGTCAGGTATATGTGCCATGAAGAAAGTGTATACATCATTGTGGGTGGTTTAGGAGGGTTCGGTTTAGAATTAGCGGACTGGTGCATCTTGAGAGGCGCCAGAAAGGTTTTACTAACATCTCGCAGGGGTGTCAGCAATGGTTACCAATCCACTAAACTAAGGTAAACTTGTAAAATCATTTACATTATTATCTATGAATGGTTGTATATATTTAATTCAAATTAGTTTTAGTTAATCAAATTTTATTTAATTTGAGAAACAAAAAGTACAATTAACAGATAATATAGAAAATATTTCATAAAAAATGTTTAGTAATCAATAAAGTTTCCACTAATAACTATTGCATACAGAGTAGATATGGTTCAATATATAGCAATAAAAAAAAAAGTACTGAGATGCAAATACTGTCACATTGAATTCTTCATATTATTCCTAATTAGCTTTATATACAATGTAATCGAGTCAAATCGAGGTAAATATATCAATACTGCTTAATAATTTATTGTAATTGATACAAACGCGAAATACAAATGTGTTTTCAGCATATTATGTCTTCATATAAGGTATACTAAATAGTGGTAAATTTTAAATTACATTAATAATTATATTAATGTTTAACTTTGGAACAATTAAAATTAATATTGATTCAAAGAAAAGGAGAGTAAATATGATTTCTCAACAGTTTATTTGTACAAATTCTGGATTAGATTTTTTTCTGGATTAGATAGGATAGTTTTACATTGATTCATGCGTGTAAAGCCGCAAAATATAGCAAGTGTCAAACAATATAAAGTATATTAGCAATATATTACTTTTCAATATGATTATAATTCGTTAAATAATATTATATATTCTGTATAATGATGATGCATGATAATCATGTTAATATTATTAACAGGAGTTGGGCATCATATGGAGCTGATGTTCGAATCTCTACTCATGACGTTACAACTGAAGCCGGATGCGAAGAATTACTCAAGATGGCCAACGAAATGGGTCCTGTTGAAGCCATCTTTAACCTTGCTGTAATTCTTAAGGATGCTGTATTTCAGAACCAAACGTCCGAATCGTTTAAAATATCATTTGGACCAAAAGCTCTGGCTACTATGCATTTAGATAAACTCTCAAGGAAATTATGTCCGAGTCTGAAGTAAGTAAAAAAGTCATTATATTCTGATTGTACAAAGAGTTTGATTTTAGATATTTTGATATTTTTTTTTTCATATTTATCTATCTTTACCGCAGGCCCTTTATAGACAGACAGTTTGAAAAATTTAAACAACAGGTTCCATATTACATAGACTATAATTAGTGGTAATAGTACCAATTAAAAAAATATATTTTGTATACTAACAATTTCTCTTTAGAAACTTCGTAGTATTCTCATCTGTATCGTGTGGACGCGGTAACGCCGGGCAGACCAATTACGGTCTTTCCAACTCCGTGATGGAAAGAATCTGTGAACAAAGAAAAAAGGATGGATTGCCTGCACTAGCCATACAATGGGGTGCTATTGGTGATGTAAGTACATATTTTAACTAGTCGTATTCATAAATCAATACAACAAACATTCTATATGCTAAGTTAATATTGGCTTAACATTGAACAAGTCTATTTACAAATATCTATATATCTTTTTAGGTTGGTCTCGTAGCTGATATGCAATATGAAGATGTGCAACTAGAGATTGGGGGTACTCTGCAGCAACGCATATCATCGTGTTTGTTGGCTTTGGACAAGTTCTTGAAGCAAGATGAACCTATAGTCTCATCTATGGTTGTAGCTGAGAAAAAAGCTGGCAGTTCCAACTGCGGAAACATTGTGGAGGCTGTAGCTCAGATTATGGGTATAAAATATTATAATTATACGTAAATATTATATGGGTAATACGTAAATATTAATTTGTAAATTCTTCTTACTTTATTTACTAGATATTTTCTTTACAGGAATTAAGGATCTGAAAACAGTGTCACGACAAATCCCTCTAGCTGAATTAGGCATGGATAGCATGATGGCTGTGGAGATAAAACAGACTCTTGAGAGAGAGTTTGAAATTTTCCTCACTGCTCAGGATATCAGGACGCTAACTTTTGCTAGGTAATATATTTAAAATATAAAATAGCACAGTGAACACATATAAATTAACGCTTCATAAAAGTAGTTCTTTATATCGTGATAATAGAGTATATTTTTGATTTCTTATCACCAGGGTGTAGTAGCAGGCATCTTGCTGTAAGAAAATAATGACAATTAAGTCATATTGTTTAAGTAACTACTATAACCCCAACATAAAATATTAGTACTGTGAATTAATAATTATGGTCATCTTTTAGATTATTGGAACTATCAGCACAAAGCGATAACGCGCCGTCTACATCAGTAGCCACACGAGTACAAAACGACGCTGCTGTTGGTATGAGAATATTTTTTAGGAATTTTGGTGAAGAGAAATTTGCAAATGAACCACTTATCCACATGCCAACTTTGATTAGTAATGAAACAGGGGTGAGTTATATTAGATTATTTACAAGACTTTCTTGATAAAAAGCACACGCCTAAAAACAACTTGAATCTTGTAATGTAAATTGGATTCTCATTTTCGAATTTAGCCTTTTATTTCATGTATGAATCGGACTGTTGTATAACAGATTTCACGGAAAGACCGAAGCTTTCCGACGTGAGCAATAATGGCATCAAAACAGTCTTGGTATATATGTATGTGGCCTCTATTGTGTATATGTTTGTTTAAGAGGCAATTGTTCTTTATTATCCTAATCATTGTTTTGAAGTTATTTCTATCTAAATGTAACAAAAATTTTAACAGTCGTTGATTTAACACTGTCACGGTCAATTCAGTTGAACTTCTGATAATTATTCTATAATGCGGCATGTAGGCGTATAACGTATTTACTGATAAATTATTGTAAAGGAAGAAATATGTGAATATTTATGAGTTTTTCATTTATTAATTAATAATAACGTGAATTGACGTGACAAGTATTAATATAGACCAATGAAAATTTAATATAAAATTTAAATTGCTGACTTTCAATTGTATTATTGTTTAGGAAAAAGAAGCAACACATGCGACAGAGAATGTAATGTTCATGCTGCCAGGATTAGAAGGTTGCGCTGCAGCCCTGGAGCCGCTGTCCCGTAGCCTCAAGATCAAAGTGTGCGTGTTGCAGCTCGGAACTGAGCATAGGAATGAGAATTGTGAACAGATGGTGGACAGACTGTATCAGGTAACTCAATCAATAAATCTGTAATTGATTTAATTTTCTTTGCTACTACTTTTCAACTGTTTTCTACTGAAAGAGTTGCTAAGATACAAAATATGACTCTTAAAGTATTATATGTAGTTATATTTTTATAAAAAAATCTAGACAGTTTATATTTGCTACAAAAAGTCATTTTAAATCAAAAGTTTTTTTTGTTATATCTTGGATTTATACTCATGACAGTTATCATTATTTATTTACAATAAACAATTTACTAATGTTTCATATATAAGGTATATTCATGATAAATTATAATTACTGTCAATTAATATTAATCACGTGTTGCAGTTGGCGATATCTAGACTGGTACCTGGTACTAAATTTTGGCTTCTTGGATACAGTTTTGGAGCCATGCTTACGTTAGATTTAGCTGCAAAACTGGAAAGACGAGGTAAAATTGTTACTTTACGTGTTTACAATTATATAGGTAATACGCTACAAATAACATTTTATATCTGCATTTAGGTGTCACTGGAACAGTATTCTGCTTAGACGGTGCTCCTGATTTCCTTCTGTCTCTTGCTGCTGCTGTAATAAATTATAAGAATGACTTCCAACTGCAGAACAGCCTTATTTGTAAGACAATCGATATCGTATCACCAAATAATGAAATTACTGATACCCTGATGGAGAAGCTTAACAAAATAGAGGACTATGATGAAAGAATCAAGTATAGTATCAGCGTGTTGCCTGTGCAGACTAATTACTCTAATGAATTTATTGCATCAATAGCTAAGGTGTGTTTCGACCGTATGAAAGTTGTAATCAATTATGATACTACGAATGTTAAGAAGCTAAAATCACAGATTGTACTTTTGAGGCCAAGAGAAACACCTCCATTTGTAGTTTGCGAAGACAATTATGGCCTCGACAAGTTTAGCGAGAGCCCTGTCACCGTACACTTTTTAGATGGTAACCATGTCAGTATCATTGAAAATAAAAACGTAGCTGATATTATTAATAATGTTATTTATAATTCTTAACGATGTGTAAAATAGAAAAGTGTTAACTCAAATCATATTTATGCTCTTGAAAATGGTTTGAAGATACATACCTGTTATGTCTGTCACGAAGTTTTAAAGGTTAAATTTATTTATTTTGTATAATTTGCATTTTTGTAGTATGTAATTATGGAACTTTATATGATGATCATGAATTTTTTAATGACATTAAATTAAATTGGAATTTATTGGCTGTAGGTTATAATATTTATTGCCTGTTTATAATTTGTATTCGTTGTAAATTGTCATATTTTAGAATATATTATAAAGAGTCTGCAAGGCGTAGTGTAGGAGAAAATAGGGAGTTCATTGTTACACGCTAGAACCGGAATGATCGCGCATTGAACAATTTCAGAGGAGTTTCCTCCGTACGCTTTGGTTGTGGATTGAGTTCTCTGTTGAGGTTTTTACTAGAGACTGTAGTATGGGGTCGTTCAAAAAGAGTGTTTTAAGATATAGCAGCATCAATATGCTATAGTGACCGTATACCATCAGGCGGGTCGTACACTGTTTGCCACCTTTGTGGTATAAAAAAATTATATTATACTTATAATATCAAATACCTATATATAATTTACTGTGAGTTTTTAAATAAATATTTTATATGCACTGTGTAACCTTTTATTTAGCTAACATAGAAAAATTAATTGTACATTTACGAGAGGGAGTAAACAAGTTTTGTATAAAACAAAACTTGTTTACTTGGGTACCTCTGTCCCATTCGTGTTTCTATCGTGAAGCAGTTGTGGTTACATGGCTGTGTTTTGGTTTCAAGGGTGGGATATGGCAGTAAATTTACATGGTATAGAGGAATAACACCTGAGTCCTCAGGAATGGCAATGCATGGGGCGTATCATGGGCGAAATAGTATACTCTGTTATGTCCATGGTACTGCTCATGTCTATAGACGACGGTTACCACTTTACATCAGGGCGTCAGCTTGTTTGCCATTCTAAGGTGTATAATCGACCATCCACACATCGAGTATAATCGACTTTTATACAAAGTCTCTCTCGATATTAGAATACTTTTCAAAGAATCAGTCAAAGAAAACATTAAAAATTGAATGAATGAAAACTCTTTATTATTTAAAGAATATTATTTAGAAACATTTTAAAGAATGATATAGATTATAAAGATTAATAATATGTACACAAACAAAATAAATAAAGCATGATAAAAGTACAATAATGGGTGGCCTATAACCTTAGTATGGAGAGGAATAATTAAAATACTGTCTGGTCAAGACGCGACAGAAAAAATAATAAGACTAAAAAAGGGAGGAAAACAGGTTAAAGATAAATTTAAACGCAGTATAAACAATATAATTAAAAAATATACTTACACATATATAATGCCTATAGGCGACGGTTACCTCTTTCCATCAGGTGGGTCGTCAGCTTGTTTGTTATTCTAAGTTGCATAAAAATAATAATATGAAAAAATAAATAAACTGCCACTGTGTTAAGTTAATTGGAAGAAATTTGCTTTAAGGATTTGTTATTAATATTTTATTATTATTAATTTATTATTATTACAATTATATTATTTTTAAATTCTTGAATTATTTATACAATTTGTCAGCTAATTACGACATTATCACACTTCGGTAACTAAAAGTACGGTAAAGTTCGGTAAAAAAAACGCTCACCTTGAATTATAATTATAAAAATAAAATTATTGTAATGACTTTATTTGTATTGATAATGAACGTGTAATAAATAAATCGCTTCTTATTATTTCGGATCGTTTGTTCATTCATTTTGAATACGCACCGACCACTGTTGCTGATTTGCTCTACACAGTGTCCAATTTACAAGTAACTACGTAAATACGCGTGTCGTCGAACTTTAAGACTACGTGAATTTTAAATGATCTAATGAAATTTAATGGCTTCGTGAACACAACAACAGCGACAATACACAAGTATAAAAAATATATTTGATAGCCTTTACATACTCTCAATAATTTATAATAATTTTAAATTTACGAAAGTTTTACAAAACTCGAGCAAGAGAGCTCAGGAAAATCAATGATTTATTAGTAGTGATAGAATTAATATAGGACCAATCGTTTGTAAAAAAATATCCTGATATCGTGTATCCTAAGATTACATAGACGCACTATGATCTAAACGTATGCCTGCCATACAAAAATATAAGCGTATTCGAACTTCCTCCCACAGTCGTAACTAGGAGGGGGCAGGGAGTATTAAGGGGTAATGCCCTACCTTAAAATGAAAGGCTCCAAGAAAATTAGACAGATTCGCATTTTCGAAGTCACTTAATTATGGTTTCTGCCTTACCAAAAAGTTCTTATGCCCTACCTTAAACATGGGACTAGCTACGACCTTGCCTTCTTTTTAAATTTGCTACGAAATACTCTTGTTCTTCTAGTTGTCATGTCCTCTTGTAAAACAATGTGCAACGTGCAGGTTTCATTTAAATTTTGAACAACCGTTGTATCCTATACAACATACAAAAACATAACACAATATATGCAATAAAGGACATGTATAATGGCAGTACCATTGTATATCTTTAGGATTTAGATTATATAGATAGAGCATGGAGTCTCAAAAACGGGTCAACTTTTTGTCATTTAATTGTCAAATTACCTGACTCGTTTTTTTATCAGTCTTCTCTATACTTTTGTACATAATGTATCTTGACGTATTTATATTTAATTATTTAATAAATAAAATAACTTTTCATACAATAAAAAGACGCAAAAATTGTTAGACAAAACAAATATTGAAGTTATAAAGGAATCACTCGTAACTATTTATCACGCAATATTGTATGAAAAAGTTGACCCGCTTTTCTCGAAGCGTTTGTATGGAGACACTCTATCTATATAATCTAAGCTTTAGCCTAGGCAGATGTACCATTGTATCTATATTCACAAAAAAAAAAACCTTTCAGATATGCCAAACATCAATCCTTGGAAAGTGTTTGAAGAATCTAATAAAAAATTTGGATGGAAACGGAAACATGTAATGTATACAAGTTTAAGGTTACCGTGTAGAGGTTAATTCATTCTCTTAGTAATTGTATTTAGTGTTTATTTCTTTGTTTGCTAATTCACAACAATAATACTTTGGAAAATTAGATTCTATCACCAATTTTTTTACATACATAAAATGTACAGGGTGTACGAATAAAAATACATATTTAAATAGATCTGTCTGATTATTAAGCATTTTATTATGTGTGTTGACATGGCAATCACTTCCTCGAGCTAACTCATTCGAGCAATGTTCTACACTCAATTTCTTAGAGCACAAACGAGCGCTCTTAGATAGACTATTCTACAATATTGTACGCGGATGCATCTGATGGCCCATCTGATGAAAAGTACTAAGCGTCGGCTACAGACATGAGTATTATTGATATCACAGAATACATTTTGACGTTCATGAAACACCACATGCGTTGCCGTTCTTGAGGACTATAACGTACTCTATAATTAATTACACTGCCGTATTCCATTCCAAAATACAGCCATATATATGCACAGCTGATTCATGGCAGAAACACGAGTGGTAAACAAGAGTATTATTTCTCTTACTCTATGCTCTTTGTTCATTTGGAGTCTAATATTGGGGCATATTTCATAATTTAATATAATAACTACCGGTTTACTTTATGTGTACCTTATTTGGTTGAGAAAGCTCGACTAGTTTAGAAACCATTCGGGACTCTTAATCTTAAGCCGCTGTGACGTGAGCGCGTGCCTGACTGTGCGTCTCGACCCGCTAAGCGCGAACTATACGAGTTCATGGAATCATCACACATAAGAAAGAAGGCCTTCGTAATCTTCAGGTATGAGTGATTATGGGTCCCGAATGGTCCCAAAAGTAGTCGAGCTATTTCAATGAAATTACACGTAAATTAAACTTGTAGTTATTATAATAGATTAATTATAGTGCTATTTAGTTAAATAAGAATTAATATCATGATACGAATGCATTACCTATCGATTCTACCTGAGTTCTGATCGAGTAATTAAAAAAAAAAGTTATTGTGACGACTATAATAGATATGCTTTGTGGATTTTTTTTTATGGGCAATGATAATTACTATGAAAAATAATGTACTATACATTATTTACTTATTTATTTATACTTTATTGTACACATTGTGGTACATAAAAATGTGACAGAGGTAACTAAATGTACAAAGGCGGGCTTACATCCTGTATATCAAACCTAAACTATACTACGTTCTAATTAACATATAAATACTTAAGCCTACTTTTAAAAACATGTCAGACATACCTAGATTGTGTCTACAGTAAATTCTTGTTCTATTTCAATTGTGCAAGAAAATCATTACTTTTACCTGATTGTCAAAGAATCTTTGGGACAACTTGCCTACATTGTTTGATAGTACAGTAAGATTCTTATTAAATTATTTGAGTTTAACTTTATTTGTGATGCAACTTAGTATATCTAACTTTAAAACTGTATAAAAGAATTAAAGTAGTAAGCATAGAATTACTGTCAAAGAATCTTTAGGACTACTTGCCTACACGGTTTGAAAGTGCAGTATCTTACTGCACTATTAAATTATCCTATTAAATTATTTCAGTTCAACTTTATTTATGATGCAATTTTGTATTATATCTAACTTTAAAACTATATAAAACTTTTAAAGTAATGAGCATATAATTACTGTCAAAAAATCTTTGGGACAACTTGCCTACATGGTTTGAAAGTGCAGTAAGATTCTTATTAAACTATTTTAGTTCAACTTTATTTGTGATGCAATTTAGTATTATATCTAACTTTAAAACTGTATTAAACATTTAAAGTAATAAGCATAGAATTACTGTCAAAGAATCTTTGGGACAACTTGCCTACATGGTTTGAAAGTGCAGTAAGGTTCTTATTAAATTATTTTAGTCCAACTTTATTTGTGATGCAATTTAGTATATCCAAATTGAAAAGTATATAAAACTTTAAAGTAATAATAATAATACTTATAAAGTAAAAACATATATAGGTAGTGAAGATAATTTAGTGAAATTTCGCAAGGTTAAATGGTTTAGAGTGTTGATCTCTAAAGACTATAATTATTTTCGTTAAGATAGTTATTATTAAATAAAAAGTGGTAACTGTCGCCTATGGACATTAGCAGTATCATAAACATAATAGAGTATACTGTGTTACCCATTATATCCTTTATGCGTTGCCATTCCTTGTGACTAAGGTGTTAAATCTTTTAGACATACATGAATACAATTTTTAATATTTCAAATTGATAATTTTATTTTCGTTTGAAATTATCCATGGATTTTATTTTATTTATGGAATCATTTTTAAACTTATTTATGAAATAAAAAAAAAAACAATTTTATATTACAGCGAAATATTAAAGATAGGTTTAGGGAATGGTAACACTGAATCTGAAAATAATAATTTACAGATGGCATCAACAACTAACACTGAAAACCCAAACATAGGATACCAACTATCGCATGCGACTCATGGAGAAGAGGTCTGCATCACCGGTATATCCGGATCTTTCCCGGACTCTGATTCGGTCATGCATCTTCAGGAGAATCTGTTCAATAAGGTACAATTTAAGAACTCTTTTGAAATCTTATAATTTGCTTTCAATTAAAATCCTTTTTAAACCAAATCGTCATAATTTTTTCATACTGTAAAAATCATATGCACCGTATGATTTGTGTTGAAAATGTTCAGTAAGAGATATGGTCATTGAGCTGATAACTCTGATAGCTCAGTTTATTTTAGAAAATCCAATATTTATACGAGTAAAAGCAGGTTACAAATATTAACTACAAAGTTGGAAATAATGAAGTTGGGCTTCAGTGAAGTTTTAAGACGAACGCTGCTGCTCATACCTAGACCATTAAATTCCTTTAGTCGCCTCTTAAAACATTCATGGAAAAGAAAGGAGTAGCCCATTCTCTGTAGCCGGGAAAACACTGCTATAATTCTCATATGGTCGTGTAGTCCCAGCATAGAATAGGCCACCCCTTCCTTTCCCGTGGGTGTTGTGAGAGGGAAGACGAACTAAGGGAGGGCGAGGGTTGAGCAGCAGTATCTCTCTTAAAACATCTCTAAAGCCTGACTGCGGTTGCCGATACGCCTGTCAAACATGGTAACTACTGGCAACCTCCCCAAGGGGGAGGCTTATGTTGAGTAGTGGACGGTTGAAGGCTGATATGATGATGACGATGATGATGATGAATTGCCATACCTTACTAAAATTAAATATTGTATTTATAATATTGAAATAGCAAATTTATAAATTAAATAACAAATGAAAAGGGTATTATAGAATTTCTGCAATTTTATCTATTACTGAGATATCTATTAATAATCAGGTGGATCTAATTTCTGGTGACAACCGACGGTGGGAGGACGACCATCCCGAAATCCCCCAACGTACTGGAAAGATCAACAATGTGAACAAGTTCGACGCCTCCTTTTTCGGGATCAATTACAAGCAAGCCCACACCATGGATCCCATGTGCAGGATCCTATTGGAGAAAACTTATGAAGCTATTTATGATGCTGGTAAAGTTTTGTTTATTGTTGTCTATATATATATATATATATATATATATATATATATATATATATATATATATATATATATATATATATATATATATATATATATATATATATATATATATTTGTAACGCCGTGTGGTCCCAGCAGTGAATAGGCCCCATAGTAAGAGGCGACTCAGAGAATTTAATGGACGAGGAATAGGCAGAAATGTTTCTCATAGAACATCATCGAAGCTTAACTGCGGTTGCTAGTCCGCTTGCCAAGCATAACAACTTTTAACAAAGTCTCTAGGTCAAAAGATTGATTTGTGGCCAGACAGATTAAAAGCCTGTATAAAAGCCAAAGGTGGGCATTTCAAATAGAATATTTTTTTATTATTTGCTGAGACTTTAATAAATATGTAGGTATAAATTTTAGTAATATTACATAACTTCCTAAAAAAATGCATTTTTATTTGTAAAAGAACTTATGGCTGCCCTAGGTATATATAGATAAGTGAAAAGTGAATACAAGTTATTTCTAACATCTTTGTACCAAAAATGATGATAATTCATATTTTTTTTATAATATAACTTCATATTTTTTCTATCATCATATTTATTTTAATGATCTCAATAAAAGTTATGTTGAGGTTTACCCAAAATATCACAGAATGCGGAGTAATAAACAGGGCATAAAGGCTTTCATCCTATCTGTCCCCAGAGGTCTTGATAGCTACTTTTTTATACAAATTATAATGTTAAATAAGCTAAAAGCTTAACTATTGGAAAATGATGGCCTTCGCCTATAGTCATGAATGATACCATGAACATTACAGAGTATATATACCGTTTCGTCTATGATACTCTTCATGTGTTGCTTTTCCTGAGGACTAATGTGTTTCGCTTTTGCACAATTTCAATGCCATATTCCATCCTAAGTTGAGTATTATTATTATTTATATTTATTAGTATTGATTTTATATAATTTTATTTTATTATCCTCCAAATTATTGTTTTTTAATAAAACTTTTCATTTTGTCAGGTATGAACCCAGAAGATTTACGAAATACCAGGACTGGAGTTTTTGTTGGTAGCTGTTTCTCTGAATCGGAAAAGACCTGGTTCTACGAGAAGATACATATCAATAATTACGGTATTATTGGGTGAGTTCTCTAGTTAGAAAACATAAATCTAGTTCAATGATCACATTTCTTAACATTAATTTTGACTGATTTTTAATATTTTTAAAATGTTCATCTTCTATCAAATTTATAACAAAATCTTTTAGGAAGAGCAACGTTATTGTCTGAAGTAGTAATTACAATTAATTCAAATGAGTCCATGAGCTAATAATTCACAGTTATTATTAATTAATTATGTAAACTGAGTGTTTTTTTTTTAGGTGCTGTCGTGCTATGTTAGCAAATCGCGTCTCCTACTGGCTTGGATTGACTGGTCCATCATACACTATAGACACCGCCTGTTCAAGTTCACTGTACGCTCTTGAACATGCATTCAAAGCCATCCGTACAGGTCAATGTGACGCTGCCATTGTTGGCGGGACCAATTTGTGTATTCACCCTTTTGTATCACTGCAGTTCTTCAGGTATGTTTACGATTAGTATCAGTGTCATACAATAAATGGTCTTTAAAGAAAGCGATAAAGCCATTTTTAAAGGAAGATCCGAGAGAAATGTAATAGAGTAAAATGGAGCGGTTACCCCCAAAGTCTCTTAACTTTAGAAACATCAAAGAAAATATGCAATATTCTTTGATTTTTGAAGTAACCGATGACCATAACAGTAGAATTTAAAAAATTATAATAACTGTAAAGAGTTTTACTAACGAGAGTAAGTAAAACACTTTTTATCATAAAATATGCAAGAGATCTACACTCAGCAGTTGACAATTTACTATTATATACCCCATCTATATATGAGGTAAATAAGTAAATAATTACTTACTATTGTTGCAGGCTAGGTGTATTATCACTCGATGGTAAATGCAAGAGTTTCGACGACAAAGCTAATGGTTACGCTCGATCAGAAACTGTCGCCGTATGTTTACTGCAGAAAGCGAAAGACTCTAGAAGGTATAGCATAAATTAAGATTGACAGTTTCTGTTTTTATTACAAATTAAGTTGCTTACATGATTTTGTTAGCGTGAATTATGTGATAATGTTAATATAATTTAATTATATGATACATAGAGTATCAAATTTCACCCAAACTTGTAAATCGTTTAGTTATTAAGAAACATTCAATGAATTAAATATTCATATGTCCTTATCAAATTTTACATTTATACTTTTTGCATGATCTCATTTTTATATTACGAGAAGAATGGAATCAGTTTAAACCATATGTTATGTTGTTTCATTGTTTAGAATATACGCACAAGTACTTCACGCGAAGACAAACTGTGATGGCTATAAAGAACAAGGCATCACATATCCGTCTGGGCAAACCCAAAAGTTGCTCCTCAGCGAGTTTTATGAGGAATGTTGTGTAGCGCCATCTAGTCTGGAGTTCGTTGAAGCTCACGGAACAGGTTCGTTAAAGTGGTTTTTACTGTAATGAAAAAATCGTAATATCTTGGTGTCTACTGATTTCCTACAGTTTTATTTTTTTTTATTTTACAGTAGTTGTAAGGACAACAAGTATGCTAGATAATATATCCAATCCTAAACAGAAGTTATATATTACAGAGAAGTAACAAAATCATGGTCAAACAACTCTACCAATAATATACCTATACACACTTTATTCTGTTAAAATTGCGATTAATGATAAACTTATATTAGTTACAAATAATAATAAAATTAATAAAATCAAAAAGTGAAAATCATAAAAAATCAAGAGTATGTCTTGTATTTTGTTATATTTGAATATATTTTATATTGTTGAAATAATATTACCCGAGCAGATGCTATCTTTTTGAGGGATGGGCAACAGTGTTCCTTTTAAATCATCACCACATTTTATGGGGGAGGCCTACGTTCAGCAGTGGACAATTAACGGCCGACGTGATGTTGATGATGAATTATTGTCAAAAATATTTTAATTTGCTACCCGTGCAACCAAATGAAATTGTAAACAGCTATTGAATATAGTCCACATATCCATTATATCATTATAGGTACTAATGTCGGTGATCCTGAAGAGTTGCAAGCCATCGACGAGGTATTCTGCACCGGCCGCTCTCAGCCGCTTATGATTGGCTCTATCAAGTCTAACTTGGGACACGCTGAACCTTCTTCTGGTCTTTGTTCCATTGCTAAGGTATTTTTTTTTTATTACATAATAATAAAGATTATTTCGTGATATTACATTAAGATCTTTTTCTATTCTTTTTGTGTATCTTTTGTTATGGTTTGAAATTAAACCAATATTTAATTAATAACTGTGTTAATTTCTTTTCTTCAAGATGTGCATAGCGTATAACTCAGGACTGATTCCACCAAATCTGAACTACGAAACACCGCGAAAGGGTGTCGCTGCTCTATCTGAAGGCCGTCTCCAGGTGGTAACTGAGAAGCAACCCTGGAACAGGGGTCTGTCTGGCGTTAGCAGTTTTGGATTTGGTGGCGCGAATGCTCATGTGCTCCTGAAAAATGTAGTCCGCGAAAAGGTAGTAAAGAATGAAATCTGCTTGACGTATTTATATGGTTTTCATTCCAATAATTATTATTTCAATCTGCCCACTAACTACTGCAAAATATATATCTCCAAATTTTGCTTGTATGGTCTTATACATTGCTTTTTTATTATTATCCAGGTCAATAATGGTCTTCCAGAAGATGACTTGCCCCGTCTAGTCTGTGTTTCTGGTCGCACTAAGTCAGCTGTAGCCAAGATACTTAATGATTTGGAGGCCAGAACAGTAGACGTTGAACAAGTGAGATTGTTTCATGCTATACATGATAAAAATATTAAAGGACACTATTTTAGAGGATTTACATTGTTGGGTAAATAGTATTACATTTTTCATTTCCAACAAAATCCACAGTATTGTAATTAAAAACGTATTTTTATTATTATATAAACTGTGCCTATGTGTTCGTTTGTTTGATGAATATCCTTTTGTTCTTCTCTGCTACAAATACTCTATGGTTTCTACATATCTCAACTACTAAATTGACATAAATATATAATAAAAAAATTTTAAAACATATTTACACTAAAGATACATTGAAATAAATGCATCAATGCAGTGCATCCAAATATAGAAGAAACAACACTCATATGCAGACGAGTTGAATCTTGTTAATAAATCCTGTATTTTTGTACAAGTTGGAATAGTAAGTAGCTAAGTTTCTGCCTATTAGAAAATAGACCTAAACCACCTCTGATGTTGCAAGCATTCATAGACTACAATAATCGTTTACCATCAGAATATATGCTTGTTTGCTACGTTAGTGGTATAAAAAAAAAGATAGTAACTGTAGACAATAGAAAGAATGAGCACCAAACACATCATAGAATACATTTCCTACACACAAAATGTTATTCCTCTATAAGTAATAATGTTATGTATTTCTCAGTTGATCGTTTTACTAGATTAAAAAAAATTTACTTGTACTTGGAGTTTGATCGCTGTTCCAAGAATTAATAATTGATAATGTATTATTTTTAGGATCAACGCCGATCAAAAGTGTGCCAATAACTCGTGACGTTCAGTATGTCTTTGAAGGCCGTCGACCAATCTGGTTCGTGTATTCGGGCATTGGATCACAGTGGGCAAACACTGCTATGCAACTTATCAAGATTCCGGTCTTTGCCACTGCAATACTCAGGTCTAAAAATTGGAAACTATTGTTTTCATTGAAATATTTAAGGTACCAATGTTAAAGATTGATGATAAAAAATGTGACAGGAATTATTTAATGTTAGTATTCAATGAACTTATAAAGTTGCACATATTTAATTTGTTTACCAAACTACTCGTAACAGTTCGTGACGGCACACAAACTGTTAACTTTATTTAAAGCCAATTGAATAAACTAATTATTACGAATGTTGTCAATATCAGTACAATAGTACATTACTTTCAAGTGATTTTTAAAAAAAGAAGGTTTTTAATTCACCTGTGCATAAATAAATGTCATAAAATCATGTACGATTTCATACATTATGCTTATTCTTTACAAATAACTAAAGATTTACGTTAATTTTGAATAGATTTTGAATTCTTTATGTAATCGACAGAATTTATTGTCATAGTTACTTATATTTTTATTTTAATAATAATTTTCAAAATCTGCTTTACATTAATATTATCATCACCATCTTAGTTATTATCTGTCCGCCTGCTGAACATATGCCTCCTTTAGACTGCCGTAAGGAACAGTCCTGAGCCACTTGCATCTACTGACTGTAATACACTTGATGTCGTTACTCCGTCTAGTGGGGGGGGGGGGGGGGGGGGGGGGGTCATCCTATACTGCGTTTGCCCGTATGAAGAACCTTTTTTCCCTATCGGTTGACGGTTCGTCGAGTTATGTGACCAGCCCATTGTCACTTCAGTTTAGTTATCATTAATATTAAAGTGAAACAGTGTTTACATGGCTGTGTTTCGGTTTAAAGGGTGGGATATGGCGTGAATTTACTGGGTACAGAGGAATAACACCTAAGTCCTCAGGAGTGGCAACGCATTGGGGGTATCATAGGCGTAACAGTATACTCTGTTATGTCCATGGTACTGATCATGTCTATAGGCAACGGTTACCACTTTCCATCAGGTGGGCCGTCAGCTTGTTTGCCATTCTACGTTGTATAAAAAAAAATAAAGTCGGTTCGTTTTATAACAATATTTTAAACTATTCGAAAGATCATATTTAAGATAGTCAAGGAAGTAAGTAGATCAGTTCGAGTAAATAGCTATACTGTGTTTAGAAATTGAGACTCTATTGTTCTCTCCATAAGATAGAAGTAGAAATAAAAAAAATATACCTACTATTTCTGCAAAGGTACAAAACTAATATATTATTTTATTTTTCATATAGATGTCATAAAATATTAAAACTAAAAGGTATTAATTTACTGAACATTATAATGGCATCCAACCCTAAAATCTACGACAACATCTTAAACTCGTTCATTGGCATAACAGCAGTTCAGATCGGCCTTACTGATGTATTGAAGACTGTGGGCATCGAGCCTGATTGCATTATTGGTGAGTGGTCTCAGGTTTTACTAACTAGAAACTAGATTCGTATTTCCAACCCACCGACGAAAATATAAAGATCTGGTTTTGAAATTACTTTGAATAAATTTCTTTTTCTATGAATCAAGCAATATAACAAATTTAATATGATTAATAACAGTCATACTGTTTAAACTAACTTTAAAAAGAAGAAGGTTCACAATTCGATTGTATTTTTTTTTTATGTTTGTTACCTCATAACTCCGTCAATTTTAAACAGATTTGGAAAATTCCTTTTTAGTAGTTTTTAAATCAAAATAACTGGTTTTGTCAGAATTGACGTCAGTTTTATTGTAGGTTACAATTTTAAATTATTTAAATTAAAATTTTTTAGTTTCTATCTATTTAAAGGCAAATGAAGTTAAAATTATATTATATATCAGAAATTCACATATAAACAATTCATTATTTCCTTTCTTACTGCTTTTGAAACAGTAAACTAAATTAAGTTATCAAATATATTTTATCAAAATGTTTAGGACATGCTTTTGGCGAGTTGGGTTGCGCATACGCAGACGGTTGCTTGACAACTGAACAGACGATCTTAGCTGCGTACAGCCAAGGTCTAGCACTTACCGAAACTAAGCTTGTCAAAGGATCTATGGCTACCATTGGCCTTGGTTACGATCAGGTAAGTGATGTTATGTAACTATTCAATTTGATTTATAAAATATTTTTTAATTAAAATTTCAATCTTTTTAGCCTTTTAATTAACTTGTCTTGCGTAGACAATTTTGACCGCAAATCAAAGTTTTATTTGCTTTTTCTTGTCACATTTTAAAATTATAATAAATCCTCACAATATCAACACAAAAGTGTTATTAAACTCCAATACTTGTAGAAAGAAACGAAAAGAAAAAATATCTGTAGAAATGTGTTCATCGTCTGCAACACTATAATTATAAACTTTTTTTATGCAACAGAATGGCAAACAAGCTGACGGCCCATCTGATGGAAAGTGGTAACTGTCGTTAAATAGATATGAACAGTATCATGGATATAACAGAGTATATTGTTTCGCCAATGATATACTTCATGCGTTCTGTGGACTTAAATGTTATAGCTCTGTAGCCTATAATTTTATTATAATTCACTGCCATATCCCATCTTTCAAACCGAAACATAGCCATGCAAACACAAATGCTTCGCGGTAGAAACATGAATGGGATAGAGGTACCCAAGCAAATGGCTATTGTTCAAAGTCTCCCTCTGTTCTCATTAGCTCCTTTGCTATTCTAAAAAAAAATCAAAATTATCTAAAACATCGACAAACCTCTTGAAGTCGCATAAAATCATTCGGTTCTTATAAATCATTAAGTAAATTATTGGTGTACAATACAGGTTAAATCGATGTGTCCACCCGAAATAAAAGTGGCTTGTCGCGACAGCCCCAGCTCTAGTACCATATCGGGTCCTGCTGATATTATGAAGAGCTTCACCACAAAGTTGTCTGCCCAAGGAGTATCCGTCAAAGAGGTCCCATGCTCCAACGTAGCTTATCATTCGCGATATGTCGCTGAAGCTGGTAATATATTATTACTCATTGTTTACATCACACCGCTTCGTTATTATTGTTTACATAGTCCTTTTATTTGTCTTTATTAACAATGAAATGAAACTAAAACATTTATGTGAATTATTTATTTTGATTGATTATACTCCTACTTACAATCAATTTTCTTTAATTTATAGCTCCCAAACTTCTGAAATATTTAAAAGAAGTCATCCCATCGCCAAAATCCCGTTCGGATCGTTGGATATCTACATCGGTTCCTCGAAGTCAATGGAAGAATTCAGATGTAGAGCTGTGTTCTGCCGAATACCACACTAACAATATTATCGTAGGTTTTATTTCCATTCATTAATTAGATTTTAAAAATAAAGATTATTGTAATACGTTATTTATATCAATTGTAACTTCAAGTAACGTATGTTTCACCAACAGAGTCCAGTTCTCTTTGAAGACAATTTCCAGCTCATTCAAAATAATGCTATTATCATTGAAGTGGCTCCACATGGATTTGTTCAAAACATTTTACGACATTACCTTAAGAAAAACATCACAAACATAACCCTGACTCGGAAGACAGATGAAGACAACGCCCGAAATCTCCTTACAGCGCTTGGAAGGTAACTGGCATTCTTTCACTCCAAGCACGAATAATTTAATAAAATTCCTACCCTATTTCGTAATTTTCATGTCTTTATAATATATATATTTTTTTTTCATTTAAAACTTATTTTCATTTCTTAAACAATTATTAGAAACGACAAACATTGTGTGTTCATAAAATGTTCTAATAAATATTCTTCTGTATGTCTGTGGCCCGGAGTTGTATGTTGTACAACTCCGGGCCACTCAAATTATCGATTACAAACGACTTATTGATCAATTTGCTTTGTGTCTTTTGTCATATAATCATGGAAAGTGTTCAAAGAAATTATTCGAATTAATACTAGCTGCTAAACTTCGTCAACGTACAACTCACCACACGCTAAAGTTCTATCCCTATTATTTTTATATTTCTTGAATGGGTGGCGGCGAATGGATCCTCTACTGTGCATTTCTATAGACATTTTATTCCATGCACAACCAAAGTATGGAACCAATTTCCAACAGCAGTATTTCCGAACAGATACGACATTAAAACCTCGAAGAATAGATAATATTTCTTCTTAAAAGGCAGACAACACACTATGATAGTCACTTACCATCACGTGAGTCGCATGATCATTTGCCTTCTACAAAAAGTCTGCTTATATACTAAATTTGTGTTGCATGACTGTATTCTGATTTGAAGTGGCCCGAATGAAATTACAGAGTACGAATAATTATGTCTCAATTTTAAGAGACATGTCGCCCTTGTCTTTTTCGTGTTCTCAATGGTGTATTCATGTCTATAGTTGAGTGTCACTATTCTTTATCAAAGGCCGTTAGCTTATTTGTCTTTTAAATTTGCAAACAAATAGGTTTAAGAACTCCTACCTTAATATTGTCTGTAGGAGGTAATTATGTCTTTTTGCAGACTATATAATTTGGGACTAAACCCGCAGCTTGCTAACATCTATCCTCATGTGCCTTTCCCCGTATCACAGGGCACACCTTTTATGGGTCATCTAGTGGAATGGGAGCATAATGAAGATTGGTATGTTCTAAATTATTTAATTCGATAAAAGTGAAAATAAGTACAATAATTATGTTATGCAGGAAATGATTACAATTCTATACGATAATAATTCATATATTAATCTTGAGCCACCTGTATCCACTGGTTCCCTGTCATACATTTGGACGTCACTCCATCTGGTTGGGTTACTCAATACTGCGTTTGCCCGAATAGAGTCACCAATCAGGAATCTTTCTTTCCTATCGTTTGTCGATTCTTTGAGATATGTGACCAGTTCATTCACTTCAGCTTGCTTATCTTACCGAGCTTGATTTACCAAGTCAGATAAATTGTCCCAGATATACATACCCGTCGATAACATCGAGCGTAATGCTCTCAGTTATAACCAGTAGAGGTGTAAAGTAGACGTTAGACATGATTTTAATCTTGTCCATGTTCATCTTAAGGCCTATCCGTTGAGAAGCACTATGGGAATCATTGAGCATAGCATTCAAGTTCTCCAGGGATTGCGCCATGATCTCTATATCATATATATATATATATATATATATATATATATATATATATATATATAGATTTAATTTGAGTGATGTATTCACTATTTATATTTATACTATATCTTTTCCAGTCCAGGAGTTTGAAAACACCTTCCAGGACAACTGTGAGCTAGTAGCTTTACTAGTATATTTAACTACCATAATATCTGTTTATCTATGGATGCTAAGAAAACACATTTAATATAAATTTTTTTAGGCACTATAATCTAAAGAGTTTAGTATTTACAGTAGCTAAACTTATAGTAACAAATAAACAGTTGAGTAGAATGGCAACGCATAAGGAGTATCATGAACATCACAATGTATTTGGTGATGTTCAGTTCATCTCTATAAATGATGATTACCACTTTTGGTTAGGAGCGTCGTTAGAATTTTGTCTTTCTAAATTGTGAAACTAATGACTGTAAAGTTTAATTATTTACTAACTATAAAATTTTATTTTTAGGTTCGTAGCTTTTTATAATACTGAAGAACATGTGAAGTTACGAGAACGCAATGTTAATGTATCCATAACCGCTGAGGCAAATGAATTTTTGACAGGCCATGTTATCGATGGTGAGAATATTTAAACTGTAGCAAAGCTTTTGTTGGAGCCTACTAAAGGACTAAATGAGCTTATGGTAGAGGGATGGGCAGCAGCTACCCTTTTAAAACATCACCAAAAAATCAAAATGCGGTTGCCAACTCGCTTGCTTAGCGTGATAACTTGTGACATAGCCCAAATGGCTATGTTCAGTAGTGGACAGTTAGTGGCCGATACGATGAGTTTTGACGTAATTGCGTATCTTGAAACATGTCACGCTCAGTATAATGTTTAGATTGGTGACAAAGTGGTGGACCAGGTCGTTGGACTCGATGGGCTTAAACTCGTCTATTCAAGAATACTGTAATAGATTGAAGTTTTTTTTTTCTTTTTTGATATATGAAGTTTGTGATAATCATTTTATCTATTTACATTTTCGTTGTAAACTCAGTTTTAATGTAAAAAAGAAACAAATAAGAACTGGTCGGTAGATTCATTAAAAGTGTCTATTCAAAAATGCTTATGTTTACTTGAATAAAAGTATTTTCATTTTATTTATTTGATTATACTGTATAATACTGTTAGAATTTCGAATTCTTTTTGGTGCTTTTAATTTAATTTTTACACATTTTTTAATAAGAAATAAAGTCTTGGTATGTTTTTCCTCGACAGGTCGCAACTTGTATCCGGCTACTGGGTATCTAGTGCTTGTGTGGGAGACACTTGGAAAGATAGTGGGGAAACTGTTTGAGAAGTTGTCTGTGGTCTTCGAGAATGTTCGCTTTCTGAGAGCTACAAATATACCCCAGGAGGGACACGTGACATTCATAATTATAATACACAAAGGAAGCGGAGATTTTGAAGTAAGTAAATAAATTTCGTTATACAATTGGTATGTTTGATAATATACTAAAGTCACTGTGCACATTTAAGTAACTGTTACCATTCACCATTAGGTGGATCATAAGCTCATTTGATAGTCATATAAACCAACTCTTCTACTTATTTAAAATTGTTTGGACTTATAAATACGCTTCGTCATTACTTTTTTAAAGTTATAAAGGTAACTAAGTGAAGTACCGTGTGATCTCGGTCTAGAATAGGCCACCCCTTTCCTTCTCGTGGATGTCGTAAGAGGCGACTAAGGAAAGGCGAGGGATGGGCAGCAGCGTCCCTCTTAAAACATTTCTTAAGTCTAATTTCGGTTGCTAATCCGCCTGCCAAGTGTGGCAACTATTGGCTTATGTTCTAAAGGGAGGCTTATGTTCAGCAGTGGACCATTAAGGGTTGATATGATGATGACGATGACGAAGTGAAATACATTAATAATATTTATAGAAATCCAGTTTACAGGTATATTAGTAAACGATGAACTGAAGCAAAGATGATTTTTCTAAATTTTCTTTGTGTGTATTTTGGTTTAGCAGTTTTTTTTTATTATTTCAGTACATTTAAGCTAAATATGGTTTAATATATAGCCATATATTATTACTCAAAGCTACCTACTCATATTATCAAATAGAACATTTGATGAAGACATTGATGCCAAACTTCTATCTGTTCTCCTTTAACCAAAGATTATCTGTAAGAGATTTCCTTAGCTATAGACCTTTTAGTCTGTACTTTATGTTGTTTTTATGTTGTATATCACTTTAATTTTTTAATTGTCATTGTATATTTTAATGTTTTTGGTGCAATAAAGAGTTAAATAAAAAATAAACATAAAATAAAAAGACGGTGTAAAAAAATAAAAGTGCTACGTTATTGGTGTGGTGAATATAAAACAAACTTTTTTATTTATATTCTATTTCTATTATAGATAGTAGAAAGTGGCACACCGATCGTAACAGGACGTATATATGTAAAGCAAAATGCAGGCCAAGACTACCGTGCACTGCCAAATCTTCCTGAACTAACTGGATCTAATATCAAACACATACTTACTAAGGACTTCTACAAGGAATTGAGACTCAGAGGATACCAATATAGGTAATGAATTCTTCAGTGAATTAATAAAAAAAACTTGATTTTTAAATATTTATGTATAAATCTATCTGAATAATAAATCTCCTTAAAGCAGTTCTGAGCCAACTACGTTCATATAATTGCAGGTTAGTCATTTTGATTCATCTACATTGCGATCAGTATTTTTAGTAATTTTTGGCAGAATCTTTATTACTTCGTCTTTAAAGCTGTTGATATCCTTAGGTCTAAATCTGTTCGCATATTTTAATTTATTTTAATATTAAGTGTAACTTTTCATCTCACTTTAGTGATTCACAGTTTTCTCGTATGTCAACGGCAGAGGAAGATTATATTAACGTCGCGAATAACATTATATTTCCGTTCCATAAATACATATTACTTTTGAACTCTTTAATTTATAATATTTTTTTTATAGAGGCTTATTCCGTGGAGTTCTGGGTTGCAACGTCGAAGGCACCCGGGGTCGGCTCGCCTGGGTCAATAACTGGGTCACATTCATGGACTGCATGCTGCAGCTCAAGATCATCAGTCAGGATACCCGCGGCCTCTTCGTGCCCACCAGGATTGAGAGATTGGCAATTGATGTCGACTTACATTACAATGTTTTGTCAAAAATTAATGCAAATTCCAAATCATGTACATTTGAAATCCGTAATTATCCTGACCTTGATGTTGTAAGGTTGGTAGTGCTCATAACTTTATCTACTTTAAATTATCCATATTTTTTTTTATTTTCCCGATTGTCTTTATATTGAATATAATTTGATGGGATTTCATTATAATTATTTGTTTGTTTTGGATGTTACTTCGTAACCATGATTCTTGCAACAGTGTTTGAATTAATTGTGGTAAAAATAATTATTTTTTTGTATCTTATCTATTAATGTGTTATCACATTGAAAGGTAAATTTAGTAGTTATAAGATGATTTAGTGATTTAATAACTGTAATGCCAATAAATTTAATATTGTAACTTTTAATGTATAAAAATAAATAGTAGATAATGATACAGTTGATTCTAAAACTGATAATACTAGTATTTCTATATAAAATAATAACAATCCAGTATTTTAATCATTATCTACTTTGAGATTGCAAAATAAAAGCTATGAACTTTTTATATTTGCAGGGCGGGAGGTATAGAAATCCGTGGTGTACATGCGACGCCAATTTCCAAGAGGCAACCATTAAGCGAACCTGTGTTAGAGAAGAACGTATTTGTTCCAAACTTTGGAAAGAACACTTTAAAGGTCTCTTTTGATACTTTTTGCATATTTAAATAAATTGATAACCCTCTCCTATTAGAAGTCGCTCAACTTTTTGTTTAAGATTATAATTATAACATTTATAATTTTTTCTTTAATGTTCATATGCTTTTATTGTAGATCTATAATTTCAATTTGAATACTTTCTTCTGGTAAATTACATGAATTCGTTATTATTATATTCTAAGAAGTAGTTAAAAGCTTTCATGGCTGAACCTCTTAAATCTAGAAATAAGGAAATTTTCGAAATGATTCCTCTTAAATAGCTATTTTAAGAGAAATCATTGTGAATATTTTATTATTATTAATATTGGATTACTAAAGTGTTTCTGATGCCTAGAAATAGCTGGTTTAATATAACATAATATTTTTTTATAAACTGTAACCTTAATGTGACTATTTTTAACGCTATTTAGATTGAAGACTGTCTCCGTGCTAATGTTCAGCTGATACTTGAAAACATACAAACCTACAAAGTCAAGACCATTGAGTTTGTTGATGAAGAATATAAAAATAATGGTTTGCAGCCAATAATAGAATACATTGGCAATGTCCTTGCTGATTTGCCATTAGTACAAGCTGAATTGTTGTTAATATCAGACGAGGATATTGAAATGCCATCGACTGTAATTGTGGAAAAAAAGAAACTTAGTAGTGAATCTAATGCAGTGTTGTTTATCGGTGCTAACTTATTGGGCAGAAATAGTGTAAGTATAAATATAAATTACACACCATCATCACTGCATGTTATATAAGAGTATATTATACATAAATTATTTTTGAAAATAGTACATATAACATAACCTTAGGTACAATAAATAGCAAAATCTTTTACTAATTATGGATACTAGACTGACAATATGTATGTTTATATACATTTTATAAATACATATATATAATATATAGAAAATATACTTACAAATATAATCAAACATAGACCTTAGATTTACAAATACAATTAGACTTAGAGAGTGACTTAAACTGCTACGCCAGTAGTCAAATAATGATATTTTCTTAATTGAACATTTTCGAGAATTCCAAAATTTCTTCAAAAAAGTGATATTTATACATATATTTCGGCTTTTTAGGAGAATTAATTCAAAATTATAAAAATATCAATTAGTATTATTATATTTTCTTAGGTATTAAATCAAGCCGCAGCAACTCTTCGAGACAAGTGCTTCATTATAAGCCGTGAGAAAGATCACCCAGAATCCAACGAACAATCTGACGAGTATGAGTTAATAACTGTCCAACACGTTGGATCAGAATACATAGTGCTTTTGAGAAAACGTGTAATAAAAGTCCAGCAATATGAGTGTATTCAAATAGAAGCAAGAGATGAAAATTTCTCTTGGGTGGAAAAAGTGCAAGAGAAACTAAGAATGGGGCAAAGAATTATATTGTACAGTCAGGGAGAATTCATCAATGGACTTCTTGGTTTTGTCAATTGTCTAAGAAGAGAGTCAGGCGGTGAAATTGTCAGAGCTTTACTGATTTCTGATCCCACAGCTCCTAAGTTTGATCCAGATATGAAGTTTTTCAAAGATCAATTACAGAAAGATTTGGCTTTCAATGTTTATCAGGATGTGAGTAAATAATTTCTTTTTGTACGTATCTTATTCATGTTCATATTAATACTATTTTAATACAATTATTATGATTATAATAATAGAATTTATGATCAAAAATTATATTATGAATACAGGGTCAATGGGGCACCTACCGTCATTTACTGCTTGGAAAATTAGACTCTGTTCATGCAGATCACGCTTTTGTTAAAACTTTGACTATTGGAAATTTATCAACACTAAGATGGATTGAAGGCCCCATTAGAAAAGATAAGGTTTTCAGAAATCCAGAGAGCGTACTTGTACAAGTAAGTAGTTTTGTTCTAATGTTAAGGTTATTTATTTAAAGTGCCTACTTACCTAATCTAAACTAAACCTAATAATGCGCCGTCCCTTATTACCTAGTCTCGATAGTACTAACACTTATTTTCATTTCGCAACTTCAAAATTGTGTTTAGTTTTTATTAAAAATATGGCGCGATACCTTGTTTCTGTTTATTGAGAATGCTTTGGTTTGCTTTAAAGGTATATTGTGCGGCTCTGAACTTCCGTGACGTGATGACAGCGTCTGGCCGCGTGACATTGGATGCTGTCGCTCGCGGAAGACTTGATCAAGAGTGCGTGCAAGGAATAGAAGTCGCTGGACTGACACCGAAGTTTGTATACTATATCATCCGCTTTTAACTGTTTACTACTGAATGTAAGTGAGTTTTGTCAGTAGTTGCTTGCTGCTTGGCAAATAGATTGGCAATCACAGTTAGGCTTTGGAGATGTTTTAAAAGGACCACTGCTGCCCATTCCTCGCCCTCACTTAGTCGCCTTTTACAACACTCATGGGAAATGATGGGGTGGCTCATTCTATGCCGGAACCTACACGGCGATTGTATGTTATATAATACATACTAATATATTCTCTAGATGACATTTTACCAATCAATATGCTATTTGACCTAGAACGTGATCTAAGTGCGTATAGTATATAGTATAATTCTCTACATAATTGTATGTCAATACGTTGTCTCATCGTTATATAGAAAGATAAACGCATAAAATATTATATACGTATATTTTGTCTCCCCCCCCCCCCCCGCCCTATGTTACACTAATCTTGAGAACTTGGGAGTTATGTACATGATATGGTACACATTATTACCTCACGATAGAAATAGTTAAAACTTGACCCAAATCATGCTCCCTATCCACTAGAAAACGTTTTTATACTTTAACGGACGAAAGGCGTTACAACTTTATTATTTTCCGACAGTGGTTCCCGGGTCATGTGCATTGTGAAAAATTGTGGTATAGCCAACATGGTGGAAGTTAACAAGGGTTTGTCTTGGAACATTCCTAAAGAGTGGAGCTTGCAAGAAGCGGCCACAGTGCCTGTTACTTATCTCACTGTTTACAGTGCCATAGTAAGTATTGAAGGCTAATTAACTAGTGATAGTAGGTACATTTTCATGTTTCACGATTTTTGTAGGACATGGAATGGCAAACAAGTTCACGGTCATACAGAATACATTCATGCATTGTCATTCTTGGGTACTAAGATGTCGTCTTTATGCCCTGTAATTCAAAGTCATACCTTTCAAATCGAAACGCATCCAATTAGAACTTTACTTTTACATAATTAAATTTTATAACTTGAATGTTTATCCTCGTATCAGATAATATGTAGTAATGGAAGTCGAGGAAATTCTTTTACTCTCCACATTCATGTTGACGAATGAATTATTTAAGATAAAATAATATTTGAACATACAATATCGTTGTTTATTAAAATCATTAATGAAATTATTGTTGTATTTTTCTTAGGTAATAGTGGGTCAGATCCAGCGTGGAGACTCGATTCTGATCCACGCGGGTAGCGGCGGCGTGGGTCAGGCTGCTATTAACGTGGCGCTGCACTACGGTTGCGAGGTCTTCACCACTGTCGGTACACCGGAGAAGAGAGCACTCATCAAAAAACTGTTCCCTCAACTCAAAGGTATATCAATAATGCCTTTTGTAATCAAATCATACGCAGAAATTGACAACAAAACCGGAGCATATTGTTTTACTTTTTTCGACACTTTGTTATTTTCAATCGACTTTAAAAACAAGGACGTTCTCAATTTGGCCGTATTTTTTTTATGTTTGTAATTTCATAACTCCGTCAGTTCTAAACCGATTTGGAAAATAATAGTTTTATCTAAAAGAACATGCTTATAGATTGATCCCATAATTTTTTTTTATCAAAATTAGTTCTGTAGTTTATAAATTTTCAAGTTTTTTTGTGGAACAGACTTTAGTTACGTCACTTTTTACCTACATGTTATAACATTAAGATACTTTATCAAGGTGGCAACTTATTACCCCCTTATCATTTTTATGGCAGTAGAGATTTACTTCTTGCGATGAACGTAACTAATAATAAACTATCAACAGACAGTCATATTGGAAACTCCCGAGACACGTCGTTCGAGCAAATGATTCGTAAAGAAACAAACGGCGAAGGTGTGGACGTAGTGCTCAACTCACTCTCGGATGACAAACTTCATGTAAGGCCAATTTGAAGACAACTTATAAACATAGAATTTTTTAAAAAAGAATAATAAGTGGTTTATAGACTTGCAGTAAAAACCATTAATATTATTGTTGCGCTTTGAGAGATTAGAGAGGACATAATGCAAAGGAGTACTTTGGATTTTTTATGCAATTTAAAATAGCAAAAGCATCAACTGTCTACCAAACAAAAACTGTTCTCTAAATATTTAAACAACTTTATAGATATTACATAATACACTGTAACAGTTATGAGAATCTCCATGTGCTACCATTTGTTTTATTTTAGGACTTGTAGGCGTTTACCGCAAACATTTCTGAGAACTAAGGATTAATGTTTTTTGTATCATGTAATTTGACTATCATACACTATTCTCTTAATCAAAACACAGCCATGCAATTACTGTAGACTGGTAACAGAAACATGATTGTTAAAGCTTCCGTCCGAACAATTGTATTATAAAGTCTTCCTCCGCTTAAGGGTAATATTTTCTGACAGGCATCTGTAAGGTGTCTCCGCTACAGAGGTCGATTCCTCGAAATTGGAAAGTTTGATATCAACAACAACACGCTACTTGACATCGCTCCCAAGGAAACCTCATTCCACGGAATTATGTTGGATGACATTTTTGACCAGCCTCCTGATCATAAGAAGGTTAGCTCACGTCTATTTATTTACTTTAATAAACGGTAGCAAATCTACAACTTCAGTCGAATTTGTAACTTGAAACATTATCTACCTTAATTACGTGCCAGTAATATAACGATTATAGTATAAATATACCTACTTCCAACAGAGGTTGCATGAACTTTTGCTTACCGGCATTGCGCATGGAGTTGTTCGCCCGTTAACATACTGCACATTTGAAAAGAATGAAATTGAAGCTGCATTCCGATATATGGCTGCTGGGAAACATATCGGGAAGGTGAGAATTGATACTATTGAATAAACAATACTTGTCTTTTGTCCACATTTTGTTTTAATTAAACAATACATCTTAATGTGGTCTTAATAAATTCCAATTATATTTATATGAATAGATATGGAGAAAATAAGTGTACTGAAATCTAATCTTATCTTAGACTTTTTCTAAAGTGATAAAAAAGTGTTGTCCTCCTCTCTCGTACTTGCCGTGCCCAACAGGGTCCATAATTGAAGTTGAAATGTTATCTACTAATTACATTATGGAATGCAATAAGAAATAAATAAATAATCTAAACCTTTTTTTAGCCGTTGCGGTAGATCGAAATGTTTGTAAAATCTTTTCTAATGAATGACTATTAACACATAATAAAAACTATTAAGTTTAGAAAGCTGAAATTAGGAACATATGTTTATTTTGTAACGTAATTTTCCGTTAAGGGAGGAGTTTTAAAAATCTCAACTTAAAGGGGAAACATGACACCAACTTTGTCACGAAGTTAGAAGCTATAGCTAACAACAATATAATTTTATTACTTATCGGTTGATATAGTGACATTCATTATGATATTCGTATGATGATGGAGTGAGAATATTATATATATGTATATCTCTAAACTTTATTTGCTAATAATTCTTCCTTCAATTAACAGTTGCTCATTAAAATCCGGGATGAAGAGCAAAGTGACGTGCCCGTGAGACCAACGTGTATTCCTATTGAAGCTGTTCCCAGGTATTTCTTTTTGGTGACTGTAATAAACTTATTGTACAAATCAGTGTATTTGCAGTTATAGCTTTTAAATGTTTAAGTGATTGACCATTTCTTTTCATTAAAAAGTCTTCACTCATGTAGCTTCACACATACGAAGTAGCCAATATTTACAATTTACAGGGCACAGATGTATAACATCTGAGTACTCAAGAATAGTAACATCATGGGCGAAACAGTATACTTTATGCCCATAGGCGTTCATGTCTATAGGCGACGGTTGCCACTTTTTGATTTTGAAGAAATTTCTTTCGATGGAAATGAAATTCAACATTGGTTTGGTTCGAGAGACTATAAATTTATATTTACTGCATATATATATCTTTTTAAATCAAATAAAATGCCTCTGAACCATAACTTTCTTACAGTCTTGCATTATTATTTTTTTAATTATATTTATTTCTTCAGGTATATGTGTCATGAGGAACGTGTATACATCATTGTGGGAGGTTTGGGAGGGTTCGGTTTAGAATTAGCTGACTGGTGCATCTTGAGAGGCGCCAGAAAGGTTTTACTAACATCTCGCAGGGGAGTCAGCAACGGTTACCAGTCTGCTAGACTAAGGTAAACTTGTAAAATTATTTACATTATGATCTATAAATAGTTGTATATATTTAATTAAAATTAGTTTTATTTATTAATTTATATTATTTAATTTGGTAAACAAATAATACTGAAACTGAAAATACTGAAACAAATAAACTGAAAAAAAAATTACATAACTAATAAAGTTTTTACTAATGACTATTACATACAGACATGGTTCAATATAAAGAACAAAGAAAGTACTAATATGCAAATACTGGCACATTGAATTTTTCATATTGTCCCTAATCAGCTTTATATACATTGCAATCGAGTTACTACTTATATCAATCCTGGTGAACAATTTATTGTAGTTCGTATAATACAAACGCGAAATACAAATGTGTTTACATCATACTATGTTTCAAGGTACACTAAAAAGTAGTAATTTATTACGTGAGTTTAATTTGGGACATCTAAAATTAATATTGCTTCAAAGACATGCGGAATTAATATAATCTTTCAACAATTTAGTTGTAAACGTTCTGGATTCTGGATTAGATACTCTTCTGGAATAGATAAGACAGTTTTACACTGATCAGATCACAGTATTAAATAATATGAAAGATATTAGTAATAGATTATTTTTCAAGACGATTATGTTATAATTCATTAAATATTCTTATATATACTATATACAGACGTTACATAATAATTATATAAATATTATTAACAGAACTTGGGCATCATATGGAGCTGATGTTCGAATCTCCACTCATAACGTTACAACCGAATCTGATTGCGAAGAAATGCTCAAGATGGCCAACGAAATGGGTCCTGTTGAAGCAATCTTTAATCTTGCTGTAATTCTTAAGGATGCTGTATTTCAAAACCAAACGTCCGAATCGTTTAAAGTATCATTTGGACCAAAAGCTCTGGCTACTATGCATTTAGATAAACTCTCAAGAAAATTATGTCCGAGTCTGAAGTGAGTAAAAAAGTATTTATATTTCAACAGTATGAAGAAAAAGTTTAATTTTAGATATCTCGTAAATTTTTTTTTCATATTTATCTATCTTCATCTCAGATCCTTTATAGGTAAAATATTAAAATATCTAAATAATAGATTTCATATTACATAGATTATAATTAATGGTAAAAGTACCACTTTAAGGAAAATATTTTGTACAGAAAAGATATATATACATATATATATATATATATATATATATACTAACATGTTCTTCTCAGAAACTTTGTAATATTCTCATCTGTATCGTGTGGCCGCGGTAACGCTGGACAGACCAATTACGGTCTTTCCAACTCCGTGATGGAAAGAATCTGCGAGCAAAGAAAAAAGGATGGATTACCTGCTCTAGCTATACAATGGGGCGCCATTGGTGATGTAAGTATATATTTTAACGAGCCCTATTCCGTGACTTCACCCACATACATCAGTGCACAAATGATTGTATGTGCTAAGTTAGGAATGTATTTATAACTATCCATGTACCAAATTCCAATGAAATTCCTTCAGTAGCTTTTGCATGAAAGAGTAACAAACATCCATCCATCTCTACAAATTTTTGCATTTATAACCTATAAATTTATATCTATAAATATTTAAAAACAAATGATAAAAAATTGTAATAAAAGCTTCCTTCCTTTTGTTTAACATTGAACAAGTCAAGTTGCAAATAGTTATATATCTTTTCAGGTTGGTCTCGTAGCTGATATGCAATATGAAGATGTGCAACTAGAGATTGGGGGTACTCTGCAGCAACGGATATCATCGTGTTTGTTGGCTTTGGACAAGTTCTTGAAACAAGATGAACCTATAGTTTCATCAATGGTTGTTGCTGAGAAAAAAGCTGGCAGTTCCAATTGCGGTGACATTGTGGAGACTGTAGCCCAGATTATGGGTATAAAATACTATTCTTAATATCGTCATCAATTAACAAAATAAAGTCTAATTATCACAGGGATATCTTACTACGTTTTTCTTTTCATTATTTACAAGGCAGCAGCAGAAAATCAACGTTACGGGTACCGCAGCTTAATGCTGAGTTAGTTGCTTTTTTATATCAGACACATAAAAGCAACTAAAATTTTTTTTGTTTTGCTTTTAAATTTATGAATTATTTAAATTCGATTAGATTATAATCTGCTTGTAATGGTGAATATATAATGTATCTATCTATCTTTAAAGTAAGAAGACTAAGTCTTCTGTACAATAACCATATCTTATAATAAGTCCCGATTTCATGTTGTCATCAGTAGCATAAAAAATTTTTTTGAAATTTTCTTACTTTATTTACTAGATATTTTCTTTACAGGTATTAAGGATCTGAAGACAGTGTCACGACAAGTCCCTCTAGCTGAGTTGGGCATGGACAGCATGATGGCTGTGGAGATTAAACAGACCCTTGAGAGAGAGTTCGAAATATTCCTCACTGCTCAGGATATCAGGACGCTAACTTTTGCCAGGTAATGTTTGTAAAGTATAATATAGTACAGTGTTCTTTACATTTCATAAAATTCTTCATAAAAGTAGATTTTTTATTGTAATAATAAATTGTATTTTTGGTTTTTTATCATCGTGACGTAGTAGTAGGTATACTGCTGTAAGAAAATAATGCTGATTAAGTCATATTGTTTCAGTAATTACTATAACGCTAACATAAAATATTAATACTGTGAATTAATGATTATGGTCATCTTTTAGATTATTAGAATTATCAGCACAAAGCGATAACGTGCCGTCTACATCAGTAGCCACACAAGTACAAAACGACGCTGCTGCTGGTCTGAGAATATTTTTGAGGAATTTCGGCGAAGAAAAATTGGCGAACGAACCAATTATCCATATGCCAACACTGATTAGTAATGAAACAGGAGTGAGTTATTTTTTATGTTACATTAAATTCTTTACAAAGCCCTCTTGATGAAAAGCAGTAACGGTCGTCTAAAAGAAAGTTAAATCTTGTAACGTAATGTAAATTGGATTGTCATTTTCGTTCTTAGCCTTTCATTTGGGCTATTGTATGAATGAGTCGTGGCCATTATAACCATTCAAGCTTAATTATGTTTTCATTTAGGAAAAAGAAGCAGTACATGCGACAGAGAATGTAATGTTCATGCTACCGGGGTTAGAGGGTTGCGCTACAGCCCTGGAGCCGCTGTCCCGTAGTCTCAAGATCAAAGTGTGCGTATTGCAGCTCGGAGTTCAGCATAGGAATGAGAACTGTGAACAGATGGTGGACAGACTGTATCAGGTAACTCAATGAATCTGTAATTGATTTAATTTTATTTGCTACTACTACTCAACTGTTTTTCTATTGCAAGAGTTGCTAATATACAAAATATGAAACTTAAAGTATTGTATTTTTAGGAAGTTCATATTTGCCTTAAATAGTCATTGAGTATCTGCAAAAGTATTGTTTGTCATATCTTGGGCTTGTACCATGACTGTTATCTGCATTTATGAACTTCCATTCAAACATTGTATTAATGTTTCATACATTGGTGGATTCATGATAAATTATAATTACTTTAAATTTATATTAATATTAATCACGTGTTGCAGTTGGTGATATCTAGACTGGTACCTGGTACAAAGTTATGGCTCCTTGGATATAGTTTTGGGGCTATGCTTATGTTAGATTTAGCCGCAAAACTGGAAAGTCAAGGTAATTTATTTTTTTGAGTATTATTATTCTATATACATGAATAATTATGTATAATTATGCTAAAGTGAATGCTGTGAATACCTATAATAGGCATGTGCATTAATATTGTATTGTATTTAATGTTGTATGTTATAATGCAATATGCTGTTGGTGTTCCTTAAATAAATAAATAAATATAAAATAAAATAATAAGTAAATCTGTAATTGTAATACACACATTATAAATGATATTTCATATCTTAATTTAGGTATCACTGGAACAGTATTCTGCTTAGACGGTGCTCCTGATTTCCTTCTGTCTCTTGCTGCTGCTGTAATAAATTACAAGAATGACTTCCAACTGCAGAACAGCCTTATTTGTAAGACGATCGATATCGTATCACCAAATAATAATGTTACTGATACCCTGATGGAGAAGCTTAGCAAAATAGAGGACTATGATGAAAGAATCAAGTACAGTATCAGCGTGTCGCCTGTTCAGACTGATTATTCTAAAGAATTTATCGCATCAATAGCTAAGGTGTGTTTCGACCGTATGAAAGTTGTACTCAATTATAATACTACGAATGTTAAGAAGCTAAAATCACAGATTGTACTTATGAGGCCAAAAGAAACACCTCCATTTGTAGTTTGTGAAGACAACTATGGCCTCGACAAGTTTAGTGAGAGACCTGTTACCGTACACTTTTTAGATGGCAACCATATCAGTATCGTTGAAGATAAAAGCGTAGCTGATATTATTAATAATGTTATTTATAACTCTTAGCGATGTATAAAATAGAGAAGTGTGTTAATTCAAGTTATATTTACGAGTATACTCTTCAAAACACAAAAAAGATCAACGTATATATATATAATTTTCATTATAAAAAGTATGTACGTATATATATCTTCATATGATAATTATAAATATTTTAATAATGTTAAAGTATTGTATATTGCACTTTATTTGCAATAATTGTAATATTATTTAATTTCTATTTACAATGTCAGCGTACAGTAAATTGAATTATTTACTGATTCTATGAAGATAATAATTCAGCAAGACTAAGTACAAGAAAAAAATCTTATTTTTGTTCATGCCATGATTGTAATCCAAGATGAGGTATAAAGAGTTAGTATAAGACTGTTGTGGTTCGGAAGACAATGTTAAGATTGTCTTCTGTGAAACAACTTTCAGGATTAATTCGGCAAAACGCGGAAAAGATTTAAGTTCTGTATAGCCTTTGATTACAATTAAACAAAATTAAAAGAATATTTGATACATTTATAATGTAAATTTAAGTACTTTATATTTAAAATAATTAAATGTGGGATGTTAATAAACAATTTATGTGTATATTGGTAAACTTTTGTTTAGATATAAGCAATGAGAAAATTATACAATATTGAATGAGTTAATTTTGGATATTCAATATTAAAAATATTGATGTAAAATAAAAGTATATATTTCTGAAAGGTCTTTTAATTTATACTCCACTTGTTTGTCACTTTTACTTGTGTTATATAATTTAATACGTACTTTCTTTGCTTGAAAATAACTCAACTGTACATAAATAATTTTGCAATTCGAAACTATATTTATGAACGTAAAAATGTCAGTTTTAATGGGTTTCAACCGAAGATTGTTAATTATTGTTCTTTGGATTTCGTTCAATTCTGAATTTGAGAAACCCAAAAAGATATAATAGAATATCTATGTTTATATTATAGATGCAGTATAATATACTGTATCTACCAACCATATTTATACTAATATCCAAAGAGATTTAGGTGAGGCAGGTACAAAGAGATAGTAAAATAAATTATATCATGCATGAACAAACTTCACGTATAACGAATCTGCTCAAACTCCACCGTATAGGGCCTGAGCTTAGGGTAATTTAGTCCAATTTGTAAGCATTGTTAGAACGGAAAAAGCGATGTAACAAAGATTTCCGAACCCCGAACATGCGAGGGCGAGTCCAAACTTTACTCGATCACGCTAGGTCGTCTGCAAACTAGAGACAAATCTATTTGTGAGAATTTGTCAGTGCTTTAGTTTGTTATCATAGACTATTCTATATCTACTAGCGATTTAGCCTGGCTTTCCATGAGTAGATAGTGTTGCGTATATGGCATCCCTATATCGTTTAATTGTTCATAACAAATATGTATGGCAACATTTTAAAAAAATAAAAAGTTAACATATGGACGCTCCGGAGTTACTTCGTGTTTTATATAAATTAATAAGCATATAAACTGCCTGCTCTGTCACATAGAACAGATAGAAAGATGAATTAATATTTTATATTGTCTTTATTTAACTTGGCGTGTGGTCCCGGCATAGAATAAACCACGGCTTCCTTTCCTGTGGGTGTCGTAAGAGGCGACTAAGCGTACTTAAAGGTCGAAGGACGCCAATCTGCCTGCTAAGCGTGACAACTACGAGCAAAACTCCCCTTAAGGGGGAGGCTTAAGTTCAGCAGTGGACAGTTAATGGTTGATATGGTATATTAATAAGGATTATATATAATATACCTACTAATATGTATTTTCCACCTGAGTTATATAAAAAAACAATATGTAAAGGAGAAATGTTTGTTTGTTGGAACGCACTAATCTCTGGAACTATCAGTTGAAAATTTCTTTGCATTTGAATGAGATATGTCTCATTTATTTGAGGAACATTATAAGCTATTCAACATAACACAATAACGGGCAATGCCACAGGATACATCTAGTCTTAGATAAAGTGTAGGATATTGAATCGTGTACTGTAATTAAGTGCTCAATCGTTAGTCTTTGGTTGCCCTTATATCTCGGTCCAGCCAATTTTCCAATAAAAAAGTTTCGCGTCGAGCAAATGAGCTAAAAGTAAAGCTCATATAAAATGCGTAGCCATTTCCGTGGCCATCAAAATGATGAGTGATTTATGGTACCATGAATATTCGAACTGAACTAGGTGTATTTTTTAATGATATTTAGAATAATGAACAAGCTAATAATAATAATAATCTATATTATAATGGGCTACAATGGTCTAATTTGTTAGTAACATAATCTTGGCCTAATGTATTTTTTATACAACTTAGAATGGCAAACAATACTGATATAAATACCACTAATATATATACCAAAATTCGTGACAATTGGTCAAGTAGTTTACCAGAGGGAGACTTTGTACAAAATTCGTTTGCTTGGGTACCTCTGTCCCGTTCGTGTTTCAACCGTAAAGCAGTTGTGTTTGCATGGCTGTGTATCGGTTTGAAGGGTGGGATATGACGTGAATTTACATTGTACAAAGGAATAACACCTGAGTCCTCAGGAATGGCTACGTATGGGGGGTATTATAGACGAAACAGTATACTCTGTTATGTCCATGGTACTGCTCATGTCTATAGGCGACCGTTACCACTTTCCATCAGGTGGGCCGTCAGCTTGTTCGCCATTCTAAGTTGCATAAAAAAATAGGTTGTCAATTGGTAATAAATACAATTCCATTATCATCCATTAAAAAAAATCTTCCTATACCAAAATGTACTTTAATTCAATTTAGAGCTAATGGTCGCTCCGCGGAGGGTCGCCATTAACAGAAACAAAAGATTAGGTATATGAAATATATACCTAGTTATGTTCCAACAAACACGTTTATAATCTGCATAATTATCATCATCATCATCATTTCAGTCATTATTCGTCCACTGCTGGACATAAGCCTCTCCCATAGACTGCCATAAAGAACAGTCCTAAGCCACCTGCATCCACTGACTCTCTGCAGTGCATTTCAGGTCGTCACCCCATCTAGTCGGGTCGTCTTACACTGCGTTTGCTCGTACGCGGTCACCACTCAAGAACTTTTCTTGAGTGGTGACCGCTGTGTGTGCTGCTGGCTATTTAAAAAGGAACATGACTTGTAAAAAATTATTTACTTTCATTAAATTATGAGGAAACTGAGAATTTCATGAAACCCTGATCCTGACTGTGTACATATATATACGCACGTACCTAATTATGCACGAATGCACAAGCATGCACGCACGCACTCACTCACTCATACACAACATATACACACGCGCGCGTACACATATACACACACACACACGCACACACACGCGCGCGCGCACACACACGCACACGCACACGCACACGCACGCACGCACACACGTACTCACCATTTTACATAGTTTTCCTTATTTATTTATTTATTTTAGTTTTTGGTAAATAAAGTGTACTAATAAATAGGTAATCGCACTCATAGTCCCCAAGATACAGGTCTGGCCTAGTTTGGGGACTGATGGTAATGCAGATATTTCCTCGTTGTATATAAATTGTAAAAAATTGTTGTTATAGTATTAACTTTATTTGAATTAAATTGTCAATTATCAATTATCAATGCATTTCAGGTTGTCACCCCATCTAGTCGGGTCGTCTTACACTGCGTTTGCTCGTACGCGGTCACCACACAAGAACTTTTCTTGAGTGGTGACCGCTGTGTGTGCTGCTGGCTATTTAAAAAGGAACATAATTTTAAAGGTTACGATGTCGTATCGGTTCAAAGAACTGCTGGAAGTTGATTCCAAAGCGTAGTTGTGCGTGGAAGAAAGTGCTTTGAAAAACGCACGATGAAGGACCATTACTCATTCTAATGGAACTTTAATTTGTGACGGGTTGTAAAATAATGAAATTCATCAGCAGTATGTTTGTACGTAATTCTTTCTCACAAATTCTCGAAAATTTGTAGCAATAAATAGATGTTTGTTACTCTTTTACGCAAAACTACTGAACGGATAGGTTTTTTTCTAATGGGTGATAATGGTATGGTAACCCCGTACCCCGTGCTTTATCGGTATACACTGGCGGGGCACCAGTGATAGATGACTGATGAGGATGAAAGCAGGTCAGTTAGTCTAAGCCATCCTGACGAATTCAACTAGAATTAGCTACGATGGTTTCTAGCTAGTAATGGGGGTATTTGGCCCCATTACTAACAATACTTTTCCCCTAGTACGTATAGGTTATATCCTAACTAACCAAATAGGATACTTCATGATGCACGTGAGTAGAATCGCGGTATATACCTAGTCACAAATATCTATCGCTAAATGATTATTACTGGAAAACCTAAATTTCATGATCAAAGGAACTTCTTTATTGTTCACTGGCACGATAAGCCGTTAAAAGTTATAATACTTTATCTATGACAACGAATATCGTAAAAAAAAAAACTATCACTTTTCACTATGCCGGCGTGTGTAATTTCTTATTTTCTTTTATCTGTAGTATATTTAGGTTTGACATTTTTATGACGACGCGCAGCCGGCGATTTTCTTACTCAACACTTTTCACATATAAATAATATCTATGGAAATCATTCGTTTAATATTTGATACCTAAATAAAATAAAATCATAATTGTAAAATATATATTGCATTTTTTTTTATTTAATTACTAGAAGAGTATAGAGTATTGTATTATTTACTAATTTTTTATTATTAGTTGTAGTTAGTATTCACTTAGTGCTCTTAATATAGAATGGGCTACCCTTTCCTTTTCCTTGCTTTTTTTACTTATTTACCTATTTACCGATTCGCCTATTCACCTATTCACTTACTAACCAACTCACCTATTCATTTATTTACTTACTTATTTCCTTACTCATTTATTTATTTTTTATATTTATTATTCACTTAAAACATAAGATTAAACTGTGTATTAAGCGTGGAAAATACTGGCAAAGCCTTCCTAATAGAGGAAGGCCTATGTTCAGTAATGAACAGATTATAGCTGATATGAGGTTAACTGGAAGAGATCGCTGTTTAGCAATAAGGCCACCACCTTTTGCTTTATTAGAAGAAGAAAGTGGTGGCTTGTTTCTTGTAATTACGATTTCTTGTGCAGTACATGTTTTTATATACAATTGTAACTTTCTTTGAGGGTAACAATAAAGAGTTCATTCATATTCTAGATCCGGATTCTGTGTCAAGTATCAAATTAAACAATATTTGGAATATCTCGTATCCCCAGTAGGTACATAATTGTGTAGTAATTTGCAACAACAAATTTCTGGGACTAAAGTACAGAAGGTATGTATGAACAAAAGGCTCAGAAATTACAACCCTTCCGTCCCTTTGGGTGAATAATTAAAATATATCCGTGATATTTACTATTTGCCTTGACACGATCTTTTATCTATAGAGGTCGCTTTTTAACAATAGTGAATGTTTATGCGAATGAATGATGTAAATGAACAAGTAATTGTATAAAATATATACTAAATCTATGATCTAATACGAAATTATTATTTTTTATACCACTGAGGTGGCAACCAAGCATACAGCCCACCTGATGGTAAGCAGTTACCGTAGCCTATGAACGCCTGCAATACCAGAGGTATTACGCGCGCGTTGCCGACTCTGAAGAAACCTCTTTACCCCCCTTTTGAAGAACCCCATGCTGTAGTCTCTTGGGAAAACCTCGGCAGGGAGCTCATTCCATAATCTGAGTGCTCTTTCTAGAAATATTCACTATATATAATGAAAAATCGGTAATTGTCTTGGAAATTGTGATGTGCCCATACTAATTGTAATAATTAATGTGGTTTTAAATATTTCTACGCTGGAAACAGCAGAATATGATGGAATATGTTGTATCACATTGTAACAAATAAATTTATTATTATTCTTTTATCCTATATCATTCATATCCTTTTGCAGGATAGGCGTAGAGAACAAAGCACTTACAGCCTAGTTTCTTGTAGGTAATAATTTTCTTTTTATATTTTTTATTACTACTGTTCTCAATGAAAATATAAATAGGAAGATTTTTTTTTATTATCATTATTACAAAGACATTATTTTAATGGATGACAATGGAATGGTTACCCCGCCTAACGGTATATGTTAGAAAAGCACTAGTGAGGAATAATAGGTGAGACGAAAAGGCAGGTCAATTAGTCTTCGAATTTTTAAGAAGAATTAGGAATTCAGCACGATGGTTTCCAGTGAGGACCACGTGGAGTTCGACCTGACAGGGTATATTGCTTGCAATGGGATTAGTAGTCCGCATTACTAACAATACCTTCCTCGCCTAAAAAGACATTGGATACGGTTTGTTTTTTTACACCAGACACTATATTTCGAAGTATCTCTTGTTTTGTTACCAATATAAATTGAAAGAGACAGCACGAACATTCAATTGCTGAATTAATTCACTAGAGTGATTTTACGTTATTTCAGCATCACCGAATTATCAAGGGAACCTTTCCAAGTGTCATCCAAAGATTTTAATGAAATTTTGTACAAATGTAGGTCAAATCTAAAATTGAATGAAAGAGTGTAGACAGTGGCATTCAAATTATCTGCAAATACCTTTTAAAGGGTCCTAACTGTTGTACAGTGTCGTTCACTAATTTGTATATTTATATTTAATTACAAGACATTGTAGGCCCTTCATAAAAACTACGTCTACTAAATCTCTTCGCGGTTGGTTGAGCAAGAAAATATGGGCGTCATATATGCTATTGTTTGGGTATAACAATTATAATAAAAACAGATTAATATTATTTTTTTTATTTTGTGCCTATGAACCTCTTGTACAATCCCTTGATAATTATTTAAATTTAAAATATATTAAAAGTAAACAAAGTAAGAGTAAGTAAATTATATTAAAAATAACAATTCTGAATCCAAATTAAAATGTTTTTAGCCGTTAAAAATAAAAGAAAACATAAATAATAACAATAATAATATAAGTGATATAAAACTTAAGTGATTATACAAAACAAAAACTGCAAAAATCAAAACGTTTTCAATTCGTATTTTATAAATATTATTAAAAAAAAAATATATATTGATCTACAGTTGCGTTAATTTTTACCATTACGTCCATAACTAAGAGCTATAACATTATTAACAATATCCGCTACATTTTTATCATCAACGATACTGACATGGTTACCATCTAAGAAGTGTACGGTAACAGGTCTCTCACTAAACTTGTCGAGGCCATAATTGTCTTCGCAAACTACAAATGGAGGGGTTTCTCTTGGTCTCATAAGTACAATTTGTGATTTTAGCTTCTTAACATTTGTAGTATCATAATTGATTACAACTTTCATACGGTCGAAACACACCTTAGCTATTGATGCGATAAATTCATTAGAGTAATCAGTCTGGACAGGCGACGCGTTGATACTGTACTTGATTCTTTCGTCATAGTCCTCTATTTTGCTAAGCTTCTCCATTAAGGTATCGGTAACTTCATTGTTCGGTGATACGATATCGATCGTTTTACATATAAGACTGTTCTGCAGTTGGAAGTCATTCTCGAAGTTCATTAAAGTATTGACCAGAGACTGAAGGAAGTTAGGGGCACCGTCTAAGCAGAATAGTGTTCCAGTGATACCTAAATGTAGATATAACATGTTATTAGTAATATATCATCTATGTAATACTTTATATATATCAAATAAAAAATAAACGAAAAAAAAAATTACCTTGACTTTCCAGTTTAGCCGCTAAATTCAATGCAAGTACAGTCCCGAAACTGTATGCAAGGAGCCAGAACTTAGAGCCAGGTGCCAATATAGATGTCACCAACTATAACAAATTAATAATCATATTATTATATTTAAGTTTCTATATTAACTGAGAATCTACAAATATGTGAAAGATTTTTTGCAAATTTAATTAATTTTATGTATACCTGAATTATCATGCATATATTTATATAGCAGTCACAGGCATTTGCAAAATCATACCTTTGCCAATATCTAATCACTATTTGAAGAAAATATAAATGAAGTTTTAAAAAACATGACTATAATACTTCTAAAATTATGTTACTAAACATCTCTTTCAATGAAAATCAATTTAATTAAAGCAAATAATAGTAAATTGTTTGTAGATTTATTGATTTAATCACCTTATACAGTCTGTCCACCATCTGTTCACAGTTCTCATTCTTGTGCTCAGTTCCGAGCTGCAACACGCACGCTTTAATTTTGAGCCTGCGACATAGTGGTTCCAGAATTCCAGCGGAACCTTCTAACCCTGGCAGCATAAACATTATATTCTCCGTCACCTGTTTTGCTTCTGTTTTCTAAAAATAACACAACTTGAGGTTAGAAGATTCATTATACCGTATCAAATCTCAATTGCATTGAAAGCAGTACTTTTTTATTATTTAATCGACTTCAAAAAAAGGAGGTTCTCAATTCTGTTGTATTGTATTTTTTATGTTTATTATATTATAACTCCGTTAGTTATAAACCAATTTAGAAAATAATTTATATATATATACAGGTTAGTCCCATAGAATTAATTTAACATCGGTTTAGTAGTTTAGTTCTAAAATCAAAGAAATCGGTTTTGATTTTTTTTGTTGAACACAATATTAATATTTTAAAACGTCATATCATTATTATATAATTATTTTTTTATTTTATGATAATTTTCAATTTCTATATATGCTAGAAACCCTACCTAGCACGTCTATTTATTAATCGATGCCCCTACTTTATAAATGATAAAACTATTCTATCTCTCGAATTGGAGTTAGCAATATACATTTCCTAGCGGGATTACTATACGGGATTTCTATATATTAAGATTAGATATTGTTATTCTAAAATCTCTATTAATATAGCTGATTAACAAAGTACCTCTACTTCCCCTTTTTTTCTGTGAGTTTATGAGGCGACTAAAGGAACTTAATGTCGACGGATGGGCAATAGCATCTCTTTCATAATATCACTTAAAGCATACCTGAGTTGCCAATCCACTTGCAAAGGTTGGCAACTACAAGCAAAGCCCCCCTCCCTTATGGGGGAGGCCTGTGCTCAGCAGTAGATATTTAATGGCAAATAGTTATCCAAGGTGTAACTTGTGATTATAGATAGCTATTACCAATTTCCATCAAATGGACTTCGGCTTATTAAGTTAGCAAGTTCTATAAAATATCTGAAGTTACATAAATACAATTAACTTACTCCTGTTTCGTTGCTAATCGCAGTAGGCATATAGATAACTGGTTTGTTCACCAATTTCTCTTCGCCGAAATTCCTCAATAGTACCTTCAGACCGGCAGCAGCTTCGAATTGTACTTGTTTGGCTCCTGACGTAGATTGGTCCTTATCATTCTGTGATGATAGGTCCAATAATCTAAAAGTAAATTTTTGATCAAAGTTTATGGTTGTTTTATTTTGTTATGTTAGCATTACAATAGTAACTTAAACGACATAACTTTGTCATTACTATTTTCTTACAGCAGTGTGCTTATTACTGCATCATGATGATAAAAAAGCAAAAATACCCAAGATTACCTTGCGAAGGTTAAAGTTCTAATATCCTGAGCAGTGAGGAAAATCTCAAACTCTCTCTCAAGGGTCTGTTTGATTTCTATAGCCATCATGCTGTCCATGCCCAATTCGGCTAGAGGAGCTTGTCGTGACACTGTCTTAAGATCCCTAAGACCTGCAAAAGAAATCTAATAAATAAAATATAAAAAAATTCTCAATAACACTTTTATGCTTTTTATTTTGTCAGCTGCCAGCTTGTTTGCTGTTCTATCCATAAATAATTTCTAATTTTGCTCTACAAAAAGACACCAATTTCAATCGTGACAAAACCAATTAATTTTTTTAAAGTAAGTTATTGTACTGATTTTCATAAAATTTCTATGGGATCAATCTGAAAGTGATTTTTGTATAATCAACTTCATTATAAATTTAATATGATTAATAAGTAAATATTTTCTCTTATTAGTTAGCGAGAAGATATTGAAAAAGGTTATAGAAGAAATTATTATTGTATTAATAAAATTAAATGAAATAAACCTATTTTGTAAAATAAGCCTAGAAAGAAATCAAATAGAGAATCGATAGATAATTTTGAAAAATGTAAAGAGAATTCGTACTAAGATGTCTCTATGGTAATTTGACCTTAATTATACTAATTGATAAATATATTATTTATTCTATACCCATAATCTGAGCTACAGCCTCCACAATGCTTCCGCAGTTGGAACTGCCAGCTCTTTTCTCAGCTACAACTATAGACGAGACTATAGGTTCGTCTTGTTTCAAGAACTTGTCCAAAGCCAACAAACACGATGATATCCGTTGTTGCAGAGTACCCCCAATCTCTAGTTGCACATCTTCATATTGCATATCAGCTACGAGACCAACCTAAACAAATTTACATGTTTAATTTACGTGTTTTAATTTACATGTTTGTAAATTCATTAGTTCACTGATGAGTCAGAAATGTTCATAAAAAAAGCTGTGCTCGCAGAATGTGTTCAAATTCTAAGTTTTATTCAAATATTACTTAAATATTTTGTAGGTAAGTAATGTCTCCATATTAAATCAATCACCAAATATCATGTGAATATTTTTTTTTCTGTGGAAAATTCATTACAAACTTGCAGTGATTTTGAATTTCTAACCCTTTTTTTTGTTTGTTGATTAATATGTCATTTTAAATTCATTTTTTAATTCTAGTATAGAATAAACTTACATCGCCAATAGCGCCCCATTGTACGGCTAGAGCAGGCAATCCATCCTTCTTTCTCTGCTCGCAAATTCTTTCCATTACGGAATTGGAAAGACCGTAATTGGTCTGCCCAGCGTTACCGCGGCCACACGATACAGATGAGAATACTACAAAGTTTCTGAGAAGAAAATATAAGTATTATATACTAAATATTTACTTTTATTAAAAATTATCACTAAATACAAAGTCTATTATGTTAATTATGTTAAAAACAATCATAGTTTCCCTGTAATATTTTTAGCTTTAAATGTTTTAATTTTATGTTAATAATATAGACCTTGTAAGAATCCTGATGTGAAGGTAAATAAATATAAAGAATATTTTATATAATGAAACTTCTTATATGAGATCAGAATATAATACTTTTTTAATAATTACCTCAACTTTGGACATAATTTCCTCGAGAGTTTATCTAAATGCTTAGTAGCCAGAGCTTTTGGCCCGAATGATATTTTAAATGTTTCTGGGGTTTGGTTTTGAAATATAGCATCCTTAAGAATTACAGCAAGGTTAAAGATAGCTTCAACAGGACCCATTTCGTTAGCCATCTTGAGTAATTCTTCGCATCCGGCTTCGGTTGTAACGTTATGAGTGGAGATTCGAACATCAGCTCCATATGAAGCCCAAGTCCTGTTAATGATATTTATATAATTATTATTCTTCGTTATTGTCTTGAATGTGTGATATTAATTAATGAATTATTATAATCCGTTTTATATATTATGTTATAATTATTATAACATTATATGTCAAAAAATATTATTTTATTAATATTTTTCATGTTGCTTAATACTTAATTACCTTAGTCTAGCAGACTGGTAACCGTTGCTGACTCCCCTGCGAGATGTTAGTAAAACTTTTCTGGCGCCTCTCAAGATGCACCAGTCAGCTAATTCTAAACCGAACCCTCCTAAACCACCCACAATGATGTATACACTTTCATCTTGGCACATGTACCTGATGAAATAGATAATAATTATAAGACAAATAATGCAAGTCTGTACAGAAGGTGTGACATAAAAGCATTCTATGTTATGTAAAAAGATCTACATGCAATAATAAATAATTTATAATCTCGAGAACCAAACTGAAATTGAATTTCACGTATAGGTAAATTTTTGACTACTATTCATAGATATTATTTCTATCCAAAATATTATAATAGAAAACCTCAAAAGAAACGAAGATTATAAGAAAGAGCTCACAAAGACAACAATGGCCAATCTTTTATTACTGAAAGCTGTTACTTCCAAACAACCTTTGGATGAAGAGGAATAATTTACATCACTGTAATATTAGTTATTTCGTAAAGGTCATAAGTGAAAATTTTCTTGTGAGACTTTTTAAGTATTTAAAAGTATATAAATACATTTTAGATTACGCATTTTTATTATAGTGACCATAAAGAAATACCTAGGAACAGCTTCTATAGGAATACACGTTGGTCTCACGGGTACGTTACTTTGCTCCTCGTCCCGAATTTTAACAAGTACCTGTTAATTAAAAAAAAAAAAAAAAACTATTAGCGAAATTTACCGATATACATTGGAATCTATTAAAGGAGCAGGGGATATTTAGTAATATATAGTATTGTCATAGAGAACTTAATGATTGAAGGATGGCAGCCCTTTTAAATATCGCCAAAGTTGCCAACGCTCCTTATTGGAAAGTCTTACGTTCAACAGTAGAGAGTTAACAGCTGCATCAATATTTTATGCTTAGTTTTCAGAATAAATTTCTCAATTTTTGTTGTATTACTATTAGTATAGCTAGAGTTTATTATGATACATTATTAAAACCTCATCAAGATCTGTTATTTAATTTAAAAGAATTGTGCAGACAAACGACAAGTACTGTTTATTCAATAGTATCAATTCTTACCTTCCCGATATGTTTCCCAGCAGCCATATATCGGAATGCAGCTTCAATTTCATTCTTTTCAAATGTGCAGTATGTTAACGGACGAACAATTCCACACGCAATGCCGGAAAGCAAAAGTTCATGCAACGTCTGTTGAAAGTAGATATAGTTATATTATAAACGTTACATTACATATTTATTCGCTTAATTTCTCTGTACAATACAATATGTTTACAATACACGATACGATTACAATGCACAATACAAAGACTCACGGTTATGTCTGGATTTGCAATAAGAGTCGTAAGTTTTAGTACAAGATATAACGCACTTAAGTAATTAAAGAGCTCGAAGAATCAACAACAGATGGGGAAGAAAGGTTCTTGAATGGCGACTCCGTACGGGCAAACGCAGTGTAAGACGACCTATCAGTAGATGGAGTGACGACCTCAAATGCATTGCAGAGAGTCAGTGGATGCAGGTGGCTTTAGACCGTTCCTTTTGGAAGTCTATGGGAAGGCCTATGTTCAGTACTAAACAGATAATAATGAAGATAATGTATTTGCGTTGCTATTTTCATTTAAATTCATTCATCCATTCTTGTTTGACTAAGAATGTTAAAATTTTATAGTCGCGATGTTTGGTATTAGAATTTCATTTTTTTATTTAATAGCATTAAAGTTATTATATTCAAAAGCATCTTCCAATTATCTCTGTTTGTTATCATCTCAGTATTTCATGTCTTTTATACCATGTGATCGCTCATACTATCTCTATCTATATAATTAAATCTTTTTCTGCGCTTAAGATCATCCACTAATACTAAATAAGACGTGTATAACGTTTAAAGGGCTAACTTATAATGACATTTAAATTACAGATGCATTACCTACTAATATTCAGAATATTTAGTTTTTACCCTAACGTAGACAAAGTTGCAAGGTACAGATTTCATTGAAGTTAAAGACTTACTGCCATTCATTTAAGAAAGCAAATAGAAATGGGCTAACCTCTTTTTTATCAGGATACTGGTACATAAGGTCATCCAACATAACACCGTGGAATGAGGCTTCCTTGGGGGCGATGTCAAGTAGCGTGTTGTTGCTGATATCAAACTTCCCAATTTCGAGGAATCGGCCTCTGTAGCGGAGACACCTTACAGATGCCTGCCAAAGAATATTAGCATTTAGTAGAAGAATACTTTATACAATTCTTTGGATACTAGCTTTAGAATTCGTGTTTCTGTTACATTCCAAACCAAAGCTGTACAAGCACAGCTTGTATAGCTATGGTTTGCAGAGTGGGATGTGAAAGCATTAATCCTCAGTTCTCAGGAATGTTTGCGGTCGGCACATACATGTCTTAAAATGACAAATGGTAACGTGCAGGGTTTATTATAGGTATTACAGTACATTTTGTATATATTTATGTATAGCTTCCTACTATTGGGAGATTTTGCCAGTAGTTGCCATGCTTGGTAGGTGCGTTGGCCACTAAAATTAGGCTTTGGTGATGTTTAAAGAGCTCTGTTACTGCCTATCCCTCGGCTATTAAGATCCCTTAGTTGCCTCTTACAATACCCACGGGAAAAGAGGGGGTGGTCTATTCTACGCCGAGACCTCACTGCCTATGTGATATTTCTGATGTTGTTTAAATCTTCAGGGAACTGTTTTCTTTTGGTGGGAAATCGATTATTTTTGCTGTTTTAAGTTACATAAAAAATGCAAAGTACTCCTTTATCTTATGTCCTCTCTAATCCAACAAGGCGCAAGGTACTTGCTGGGAGTCTAACCGCTATTTAAACTTAAAAACCGCTTATTAAACTTAAAAAAATATTTATAAGTTATCTGTAAATTTGCCTTACATGAAGTTTGTCATCCGAGAGTGAGTTAAGCACTAGGTCCACGCCTTCGCCGTTGGTTTCTTTACGAATCATTTGCTCGAACGATGTGTCTCGGGAGTTTCCAATATGACTGTCTGTTGATAGTATATTATTAGTTACGTTCATGGTAAGGAGTAATTTTTATCTTCATCATCATTGTTAATGTTACTAATATATACTGCAGAAAATAGATCTCATTTGCCATAAAAATGATAAGGTGGTAACATTTTATCACCTGGATAAAATACCATAATGACAAGGTTATGAAAAATAGAGCTACAAAATGACAAAATCGCAGAAAAGCCAAATCATAAAATAAAAATGCGTTGAAATTACTAAGCCGTAAAATAGTTCTAGTCATTATTGATATACCTTTGAGTTGAGGGAACAGTTTCTTGATGAGTGCTCTCTTCTCCGGTGTGCCAACGGTGGTGAAGACCTCGCAACCGTAGTGCAGCGCCATGTTGATGGCGGCCTGCCCCACGCCGCCGGATCCCGCGTGGATCAAGATCGACTCACCGCGTTGGACCTGGCCCACTATTGCCTAAGAGAAATATAAGTAAGTAGTTAACGTTATGATCTTAGAAAATCATGATATTTAAATATTATTTGAGTTGATTTAATTTACTTTCTTGTTTTTTTTTTTTATCACAGCATTTGGTGTTTAACTATTTTTGTCTAATTAATTGGAAAAGAAACGTTACTTATTCATATATCTGAATATGAACGCATTTATAATATTTTTAATAATAATTAACACCATTTGACTTTTATAAAACGGTGTCATCTATTTTCAAAATTTTGTACTACGTGCTGATATAAGTACTTAATAATTATGATTCATTTATTTGATAGAAATTTCGTACAACAAGATGACAGTAGTAAATAAAGTTCCATAATATTCAACTATTTTTAGCGTACAAATATTTTAAAGTAATTAAATTGTTATTATTTGTACATCACAATTATTTAGTCAATTACTAACACCTTTTAATTATATAAAGTTGTATTTAGTAAATATTATAAGAAAAGGTAATAGTATATTAATGTCAAAATTAAAATTTAATAGATATAGATCACAATTACATTGACAGCACAATTTTCAAATTCAGAATACACTTTTTACTTTTAACGTCAGGAAAAATGCATCATGCATGCTTCATACACGGCTTAGGGACCGTGTGAGGACTGCCAGACACCTGCCAGCTGAACGACCTGACGATATACCTCCTAAACTCAAAGGGAAAGTACCGAGGGATCTCTTACAAAATCGTTCTTGATACTTTTACGAGTCCAATGAACTGTAACTCCACCCTTGGGCGTGAAGGGTATATGCAACACGCCCCCGCACGATCCTTATCCTCCCTTGGTGAGACATAGAAAATGCCTAGGCTTTCATTTAAATATCTTATTTTTCTATGTTTAACTGTAAAAACAAGAAGAAATTATAAGAAAGAATATTTATTTTGACTAGTTAAATAGCCTTCAATACTTACTATGGCGTAGTAAACGGTGAGGTACGTTATAGGCACAGTGGCCGCTTCTTCAAGGGTCCACTCTTTAGGAATGACCCAAGAAAGGTCCTTATCAGCTTCCACCATGTTGGCCAGACCGGAATTCTTCACAACGCACATGACTCGAGAACCACTGTGGAATGTTTTTTTTAAACAGACGTTTTACCATTTTGCATATGTTGAGACATCAATTATTACTTGCTATCATAAAAAGTTGGTTTAGAATTTATTTCACTATACCTATAGTATAAATATCAATGTAATAAAAATTATACTTTAACTACACATGAGGAATCACATATATAAAATATTTCAATTAATCATCCAGGAAAGAAATGCTGGTAAATATGAGCTCTCTTGGATGAAGAAACCTCTGGGTGGTGATATATAAAATAAAAATTACACAGAAGCTCATCGATTTTTAATTGGAATCCTGGTATTCGTCATCGTCATATCAGCCATATACTGTCCAATGCTGAACATAATCCTTCTCCTTTTTTTGCCAGAAGTTACCACGCTTGGCAAGCGGAATAGCTAGGCTTTGTTAGGCTTTGGAGATGTTTAAAGAGGGACGATGCTGCCCATCTCTCGCCTTCCCTTAGTCATCTCTTACGACATTCACGGGAAAAGAAGTAGTGGCGAAGAAGAATATTTATAATTATTTACAAAAGAATTATGAATTTATAGAAAACTAGAAAGTTTAAACAAAAGTACAGGATCCTTCTCTGTGAGTACTCCTGGACAACAGTATGTGGAAAGTATTAGTAATTTATCTTTAGGAGGATGAGCATATTGATTGATAAGATAAAAATATGTATGCATTTACGTAGAGGAATAAAATTCATAGTATACGCACTTTGGTGTCAGTCCAACCAATTCCATTCCTTGCACGCACTCTTGATCAAGTCTTCCGCGAGCGACAGCATCTCGTGTCACGCGGCCAGATGCTGTCATCACGTCACGGAAGTTCAGAGCCGCACAGTATACCTTTAATAAATAGAAATAAGGTATCACGTCTTATTTATAATAAGAACTAAGAACAATTTTGAAGTTGCTTAATGAAAATAATTGTTAGTACCATCCAGACTAGGTAATAAGAGACGGTGCATAATTAGGTTTTTTATTAAAATTTTAAAGTTTAAATTAGGTAGGTAGTGCATTTTAAATAAATAACGTTGAGACTAAATCTACTTACTTGTACAAGTACACGCTCCGGATTTTTGATAACCTTATCTTTTCTGATTGGACCTTCGATCCATCTTAGTGTGGATAGATTTCCAACGGTTAAAGTATTAACAAAAGCGTGGTCCGCACGAACAGTGTCTAAATTTCCGAGTAGCAAGTGACGGTAGGTGCCCCATTGACCCTGTATTCATAAAATTATCTTTAATCATAAATTCGATTATAGTGATAATATTGCATTAAAATAGTATGACCATAAATCTGAATAAAATACATTTAAAAAAAGATTTTTTACTCACGTTCTGATAAACATTGAAAGCCAAATCTTTCTGTAATTGATCTTTGTAAAATTTAATATCTGGATTAAACTTAGGAGCTGTGGGATCAGAGATTAGTACAGCTCTGACAATTTCACCACCTGGCTCTCTTCTTAGACAATTTACAAGACCAAGAAGTCCATTTATGGGTTCTCCCTGATTGTACAATATAATTTTTTGTTCCGTTTTTAATTTCTCTTGCACTTTTTCCACCCAGGAGAAGTTTTCATCTCTTGCTTCTATTTGAATACACTCATATTGCTGGACTTTCATTACACGTTTTCTCAAAAGCACTATGTATTCTGATCCAACGTTTTGGACAGTTATTAACTCATACTCGTCAGATCGTTCCTTGGATTCTGGGCGATCTTTCTCACGGCTTATGATAAAGCACCTGTCTCGAAGAGTAGCTGCGGCTTGATTTAGTACCTACGAAAACATATTTATATTAGAATATTTTTTTTATAAATTAAAAAGTATTGTCTCAGTATACCTTAAGTCAATGCCTTTAAAAAAAATGTATTTCTTGAACGTCGTTACATAAGGAAATATTACTTAAGCATTTAGTCACTGACACTGCACGTATAGCTTTCAGTTTACACTCCTCACTTTATCAATCCTATGATTCTGAGTTCAATCCTCACACAATACAAATATTTGTATGTCAATTTATATATTATAGAAAATAGTTAATATATACATATATATAATATATTAGGAATTAAATATATTTTAATACAGACGTATCTATTGACAGGGAAAGGATTTACAATAGGCTAGATTTTTGTGCTGTGATGATGTAATGTCTAAGAATATATACTTGCTATTTGCCAAAGCTCTGCACCAGTGAATCAGTGCATAGAATATTCTATGTGCCAAGTTAGGATATAACCTAATCTACATGTACCAACTTTCATTGAAACATCCATCAATCTATCTATATATCCATCCTTACAAATTTTTGCATTTATAACATTAATGGGATTATTATTTTTGACAATCATTTCGTTTGAAAATATACATAATGTAATGAAAGTAGAGTCTGTGTAACTTATTTCAATACTAACATTATTCCTCTTTAATAGATTAGCCCCAATAAACAATATTGCGTTAGACTCTCCACTAAGTTTCTTCTTTTTTACTGTTATAGTAGATGGCACTACAATGGCTTCGTCTGACATTAACAACAATTCAGCTTGTATCAATGGCAAATCGGCAAGAACTTCACCAATCTGTTCTATTATTGGCTGGAGATCATTACTTTTATATTCTTCATCAACATATTCAATGGTCTTGACTTTGTAAGTTTGTATGTTTTCAAGTATCAGCTGAACATTAACACGGAGGCAGTCTTCGAGCTGAATAGTGGTAAAAATATTAATGTTACAGTTGTAGTTTACAAAAATGTTAATTATTTTATGGTAAACTTGATATTTCTAGTCGACAGAAATTTCTTCGTAATACTTATATACATATATTGGACAATTTAATTTTAGAAGAAAATTTTTGAAAATTTATAATAATTCAATTTAAAAAAAATTTAGTCTTATTTTCTCATAATATATGCGTGCAATTATCAAAGGAAAAGTAGTAAAAATTGGCATTATTAGAATCTTAAGCGATTTCTGGTTCAAATGTTTTAAATTTATGTATTTATTAAGACTATAACACATCACACAATATCTTCACTGATTTTGAACTGTGAACCATTTTTTGTCAAAACTAAAGTATATTTGTTATGTAAAAAAAAAATAAACCTTTACCGTATTATTTGCGAAATTTGGAATAAATACGTTCTTCTCTAATACAGCTTCGCCTAATGGTGGCCTCTTGGAGATCGGCATGGCATGTACACCACGAATTTCTACACCACCTGCCCTGTAGGTATAAAAATTTATAGTTTTTATTAATACAATCTCAAAGTTGGTAATTATTTAAATACTAAAATGTCATTACTGAGAAAAACGTACCAATAATTTTAGTTTCACAATCAACTATTTATACTTGGATAAGTGTTATTACCTAATCAATTAAGGACTTGTTAGACAAGAAAACACTTCCAGTTTATAAGCATATACATAATACTTCGTCATTAGAATAAAAAATAAAAAAATACTATAAATATTAAAATTTTGTATGCCATTGGTTTGGCAAAACACGCCTGTTCTAGTACATTACTGCAGCGGCCAGCGGCATTGATGGACAAACGTGCAAATGTGGGCCGAGGCGTACGAACAATAATAATTTTTCACGCGCCATAATGTTTCTGTGTTTTTTTAATAAACAGTTTTCTAGTTGCAAGCCAGTTCGAAATTTAAATAAAACCTTTTATTAGTTACCTCCTTGGTAGCCAAGTTTCGAAGTAAAAGGTCATTCCATTTTTAAATTACAGGACAGATATGAGTTTACATAGTAATTTATCTGGCCGCAAAATACGACAGATATGGATTTTCATACAACTTTTGCCGGCCGCTGCCCACATGTATCTGGCCATTACGGCAACTTTGATTTGTCTCGAAGAAGATTGTCAAAATAATGCTCACATTTCCAAGCATGTTTGAGAAAATAATATTTTATTACTAGCATCCGTATACTGTGTTTTTCAGCAAATAAATAAATTATTATTATTACTTATATATTATTTTTGTGTAGGAAAAGTACTAAATGAATGCTACAGTTATTTAAACTTAATAATATGCAGTTTTGAGCATTATATCTTATATTATACGCTGCATTAGAAGTAACTACAATTACCTACCTGATAACATTAATATCAGTATAGTTGCGAACTTCCAGTGCACATACTTTAGAATTTTCATTTATTTTCGATACAACATTGTAGTGCAAGCCGACATCAATTGCCAGTCTCTCAATCCTGGTTGGTACAAAAAGACCGCGGGTGTCCTTGCTGATGATTTTGAGCTGCAGCATGCAGTCCATGAACGTGACCCAGTTATTGACCCAGGCGAGCCGACCTCGGGTGCCTTCGATGTTGCAACCAATCACACCAAGGAATAAGTCGCTATAAAAAGCCAAATTATAAATTCTTATTACAAATATCAAAAATAGTATGTCCGAGAAGATCAATTTATATTTCCAGGAATTGAAGGAACTACGAAAGAATATGAGTAAGTTTTAAGTTATAGAGAGGGCTTGAAGTTTCGCCAGTTTTTCTTTGTGCAACTTAGAATGGCAAACATATTGATGGTCCACCTGATGGAAAATGGTAACTATCACCTATAGACATAAACAGTACCATGAACATAAGAGAGTAGTATATCGTATCTCCCATGATTCTCCTCATGCTTTGGTATACATGAGGACTGATTTGTTATGGCTCTGTACTATTTCATTATTTTTTTTAAAAATGATTGATATATTTACTGAAAAAACCGATAATCAATTTCGGAAATTTATTGAAATTTTATATTGAGAGAAAAGTTCTGAAAATTAACTATCGGATAACACTATTTGCTATAGTATTCAATACGCCCTTTTTTGCACTTTTTGATCGCAAATCGTTATTCGCTGAAGGATTTATTACCTATACTGGTAGCCTCTAAGTCTCAATTCCTTATAGAAGTCTTTAGTGAGCATATGTTTGATGTTAGGACCGGACACTTCAGGGACTTTTGGCAGTACACGGTAATCTTGTCCCACGTTTTGCTTTATATATATACGCCCTGTTACGATCGGTGCTCCACTTTCTACGACCTAAAACAAAAATGGTACATAAATTAAAAATAGGATTATTTTGTACTAGCTTGTACCTTCGACTTCGTGTTTACTGGCCAAGATAAAAAGTAGTCTATATCCCTCTCCAGTGCATATAGTATGTTCATACTAAATTTCATAGTGATTGGTTAAGCCGTTAAGATGCTTAAGGTAATAAACATACTCGCTTTCACATTTATAATATAAGGATTATAGCATCTGCAAATTTATACTTATTTATTAACGTATTAAATAGTACTTAGTAATAGATAGCTTTAAATATCCACATAAAAAATATAAAAAAAAAATCAAAATAAAGGAAAATTAACAAAAAAAAACATTTTTGGGTTAGTATACATTTATTCGGCCATATTGTTCCGATACAGAATAGGCCACCCCTTTATTTCCTATAGGTGTCGTAAGAGGCAACTAAGGGAACGTCATGGTCGAAGGATGAGTAGCAGCGTCCTTAAAACATTTCTAAAACCTAACTGTAGTTGATAACCCTCTTGTTAAATTTGGTAACTATTGGCAAAAGCCTTCAAGGCGAGGGCCTATGTTCAGTAGTGGACACTTAATGGCTGAAACCGTTATATCGTCATCATACATTTTAAAAAAATTAAGTTCTAAAGATCATCAAAAAGCATCCGCAACACCGTAGGAATTACAGATGTGCTACCGGCCTTTTTAAAAGAATTTGCTTTTTTCTTGAACATAATGATGTTATATCGATTCAGCAATACTGCTGCAGAAAACTGATTCCAAAGTATGGTTATATATGGAAGAAACTACCTTGACAACGCATAGTCGAAAACTCCCTTTTATTCAAATGGCTGGGACGGAACTTTAGTGTGTGGCGGGTTGTAGGTACGATGGTAAAATTCTTCACCAGGTAAATATAAGTTTAGTATACAACTTTTTATTTTTATTATTTTTATATAACTTGTAATAGCAAACAAGCTGATGGTCCAACTGATGGTAAGTAGTGATCGCTACCTATAGCCATGAACAAGAATACAAACTTCATAATATTTATAGTAGGTAGTGTTAGTAAACTATTAAATAAAAATACCAACAGTATGACGATAGTTATTTACTTACCTCAAAATCTCCGCTTTCTTTATGTATTGAAATAATGAATGTAATAAATCCTTCCGAAGGGATATTTGTAGCTCTCAGAAAGCAAACATTCTCGAACACCACAGACAACTTGTCAAACAATTGTCCCATCATTTTACCAAGTGTCTCCCATACGAGCACTAGGTAACCAGTAGCCGGATACAAGTTGCGACCTGTCGAGAAATAATATATTTAGTTTTAATCATGTGAAATTTTTATCAAAAAAAAAAAAGAAACAAGTAAAAATAAAATGAAGAAAAAAACTGAAAATATTTGAGATTCTAGAATTGTTAAATATAAGGGTCTCGTGTGAAATAAAAAAAACTATTTATTTTTTATTTTAAACCATAATTTCAGAGTTTAAAATGTAAACTCAAAATGGCCAGCTAATTAGTACACAAGATACATATAATGGTAAAGGTTTGCAAAAAGCAAATTATCTGATCTTGCGTTCTTCGTTCTAGTACCAAACTGAACTAGAGTCAGACACCAGAAATCCCTTGTTATATAGCAAAATGCCATAGATCTGCACGAAGCGCTTCTTTTTATCGTTAGTCGTAAGGAATAATGAAAGAGTTCCAGCTCGAAAACTCTTCAAATGTCGATGGTGTATGCATATTTTCAAGGTAAATGCGCTTCATCTTAGATCTTTAGACACCATCACTGATCGTGAAGTGAGTCATATAAATCAGACGTAATAAGATCAAGCGCAAACCCATATCGATATAATCCTTCTCCCAATACATTTTTATTTTAACAGAAACTTTATCAATATGTTTTATTAAAGTCTATAAGTCTTACCGTCGATAACATGGCCTGCCAAATATTCCTTACTCTCAGAGGTTATGGATTCATTAACATTACGTTCTCTTGATGTTAAATGTTCCTCGGTATTGTAGGAAGTGACGAACCTAGAAATGTAATAAGTAAAATTTTTAATTAATTCTTACACAATTTGGAAGGGTAAAAAGCTGACGGCATACCTGATGATATATTATTATTGTAATTTTCAGACATGAACAGGACTAATAACTAATAACAAAATGTAAAATTTTTAATAAAATATTTTATATATATTCTTTATTGCACTTGTAAGTTACATAAAATAATCTATTTATAAATGTTGTGAGCATGGGTGGACTTATCTCTGAAAGAGATCTCTTCCAGTCAACCCAGTACAGTTAGAAAGCATTTCGTTGGCGGGCAGCTGAAGTGCTACAACTATTAATACATAAACAAATATACAGTTAAATAAAATATTAAAATATATAATAAAATATTACATAAATACATACACTATAAATACATATAATACCAACCTATTTATATAATAAATGTTAAAATGAATTAATATACTACTTACATTAGAATTTGTACATTATTTTATGATATGCAAGATTCTCCTCGCGTATTGATATTCTACGTTGAAACGTGTATATATACCATATTGCTCCGAGAAAAAATTACACTACATTATAAATACTGCATGTTTACATATTGATGTTATTCATTATACAGCTCTTAACTGTTCACTGCTAAATATAATCTTTCTCTATAAGGGAAGTTTTGCCAGTCCCGGTCCTTCTTTTCCCCTGGGTGTCGTAAGAGGCGACTGATGAGGGCGAGGGATGGACAAAAGTGTCCCTGTCAAAACATCTCCAATGCCAAACTGCGGTTACCAATCCGCCGGCTAAGCGTGGCAACTACTAGCAAAACCTTTCTTAGCGGGAGGCTTATGTCCAGCAGTGAACAGTTAAAAGCTGATATGATGATGCAGGAAGGCAGGAAGTGCTATACAGGAGTATGATATACTAAATATTATTGTTTATGCTTTTAATCAGTTTTTTTTTACAATATAACTGGAATGAAAATACATAAATTTACATGATTGTCAAATTTAGCACGTACCAATTTTCATTATGCTCCCATTCCACTAAATGTGCCAGGTAAGGTGTGCCCTGCGACACAGGGAAAGGCACATCGGGATAGATGTTAGCGAGCTGCGGGTTTAGTCCCAAATTGTACAGTCTGCAAAAAGAACATAGAGTAAGTACATCTTGCACCAATTTTTCTAAATTAAAACTTACTACAATCTTCATGTAATTATTACGAGATAAATACAGCACTTTAATTAAAACTTCAATCAAAATACTCGTAAGGTCACAGTTTATTGGTAAAGTGTTGTGTAATAAAAAAAAAAAAAACTCTTTTTTGAAGTCGATTAAAAATAATATTTACAGTTCATGAACTTATTATTTTTGGTTACCTTAAATGGCAAACAAGGTGATTGATCATTTGAAAGAAAGTGGTAACCGTTGCCTATATACATGAAACGTTTTATAAACATCACAAAATTGAAAGAAAAGCGCTACAGTTCATTAAAACTAAGACATAATAAGATCACAAACAAATTCTATTCATTAATTCGAAACACAGTTACAAATATCCAAGCAGATGACTTTTGTACAAAATCCGTCTGCGCTTGTTATATAAGTATTATTTTAAATCTTCTAAATTTGCTTTCAAGACTTTTTAAAATAAATTATGCTTATAAGTGCATTTTTACCTAGAATGAAGCAAGGCAAGGCAAATAATTTTATTAAATCATAATTTTATTGAGTTAAAAACAGAATCACTTACTTTCCAAGTGCTGTAAGAAGATTTTGTACGTTATTATCATCGTTCTTCCGAGTCAGGGTAATATTTGAGGTACTTTTCTTAAGGTACTGTTGGAAAATGTTCTGAAGAAATCCGTATGGAGCCACTTCAATAACAATAGCATTGTTTTGGATGGACTGGAAATTATCTTCAAAGAGTACTGGGCTCTGTTGATAAAAAGTTTAGAGTTCAATTTACAGAAACAATGTATTATAATAGACTTTAAAAATCAATTAACAAAAGAAAATAAACCGTACTAAAACACTTTGAGTGTGGTAATCGGCAGAAGACAGCTCTGCATTAGAATTTTTCCATTGGCTTTGAGGAACTGATGTAGATATCCAACGATCCGAGCGGGATTTTGGTGATGGGATGACTTCTTGAAGATATTTTCGGAGTTTTGGAGCTATAAAGGAGAAAATTGATGGAATATATATTTTAATATATATAATATAATTTACTTTAATACTTTTTATTTCGTTTCATTGTTAGATATTGAAAGATAACACGTAGTAATTCCTTAATTAATGTTTACTTCAAAGATTTCTAAGACAATGATATGAACAACTGAAGTATTTGTTAAATCCTTTTTTGCAAAGAGTTAGTCATAAATATACGTAATATGAAATAGACTACATATTTCTTTTTATTACAGGACTTAATAAAATTTATTAAAATGCTATTAAGCAGATCGGCAAATAAACAATTTCTTTCTGTGTAAGTTAGGTGAAGAAAATACAAATTTTATACTAAAATCTGTACAAGTATAGTGCATAATGACTGTGAAGGTAACAACAAAGAAGTAACAATGATACATTACCAGCTTCAGCAACATATCGTGAGTGGAGAGCTACGTAGGAGCATGGAACATCTTCAACAGATACTCCTTGAGTCGACAACTTTGAGGTGAAGCTCTTTACGACATCAGCTGGGCCGGACACGGTACTAGAGCTGGGGCTGTTGCGACAAGCCACTTCTATTTCGGGTGGACTGATCGATTTAATCTGTATCGAACATCAGGATTTTTTTTTCAAAGATTTATTAAAACCAAAGGATTTTTATATAGACCTCAAAGTTTAAGTTTAAATCGACGAATGTAATTTAATTGTGATAATTATTTTTGTAATTAAAAGACGTTATTTGATTAATTTTAGTTAAAGTGGAAGTGAAACTCCCTGAATACCTTGGACTAGTTCATCAATGATTAATTTCAATGACTTCAAATTGTAAGAATAAATACAAGACGAGACTTGCTCTCGAAAAAAAATTTGCCTACGTGAACCAAACTAAAACTAAATAGAATGGAATATTATAGAAATAATCTTTATTCAAATAAACTTATTTATATTTTTAAAACTTATTTTTTAACGATGTCTATGTATATGTATAACGGAAATTTTATGAACTTACTTGAACTTCAATATTGAATATTTACATAATAATCACTTACTTGATTGTAACCAAGGCTAGTAGTAGCCATAGAGCCTTTGATGAGTTTACTCTCGGTAACTGCTAGCCCCTGGCTGTACGCAGCTAAGATTGTCTGTTCAGCTGTCAAACAACCGTCTGCGTATGCGCAACCCAACTCTCCAAAACTATGCCCTAAAAATTTTATAATATATTTTACACTTTTTTGCACCATTTACAACAAATACACTAAAATGCGAACTCAAACAAAAAGCGACCTTATTGCTAATCAATCTACTCCAGACAATCTAGAGTATATCTACAACATAGACACAATGTACTCATATACATATATACAAATAAATAAATATATAAGTATAAATAAATATATACACATACTTAATAGTACACATACAACAAGAAGGAATGAAGGAGGAAGGAACTGTATTGTCTCTGTAATTGAGCGTAGCGAATAAAGGCAAAAAGTGAGTTCCACAGGAGAACTACAGTAAAGGATTAAGAACAAAAAGAAGAATAACGAACGAGGAACTTAAGACAAAGGTATAGTACATTATTGAGATAAAGCAAAATTTATTCGAAAACAGATTAAATTTATACATTTAAATTTTAGAAAAGTAAATGCTATTATCAATAGAAATGTAAATTATCTAATCTTTCTCTAGTGGACAATCCAATCAAATGTTATCATGTAGAAATAAAGCCCCTTTATCGTCATTCTGAGGCGTAAGAGAATGATTCACTTACCAATGATATAATCAGGTTCGATGCCCACAGTCTTCAATACATCAGTAAGGCCGATATGAAACGCCGCGATGCCAATGAATGAGTTCAGAATATTATCGTAGACTTTAGAGTTGGATTTCGTAATGATATTGTATAAATTTATACCTTTTGGCTTTAATGTTTTATGACATCTGTATGAAAAACAAAAAAGACCACATGAGCTCAGACTATTTACCTACATAAATATTCTATAAAATAAAGTAGTACTCTATCACTGCTCTTGTATTACTTTTTTCTGTTAAGTACTGTATTATAATTTCCTAGAAGGAATAAACAGTTTTACCAAACCTTCAATCCACTCACTGTTTTGAATATGATAATTTGAGTATTTGAATATTGATCATTCGGTGCTAAATTCATATGAGACAGATTGATAAATTTTATTGAAATAGATAGAGGTAATGAAAACTCAACGTAAAAGTAAACTCTGTTCATTAATTCAATAATAAAAATGTATATGCACACAAAAGCATATAAATTTTTATTAATTGTTATTATTAATTTTTAGGATTAGAAAATTTATTTTAAAATAAGAAGATTGGTAACTGAAATATTTCTGTGTAAATGACAAATGAATTAAACCTGAATATAGCAGCAGCAAAGACCGGGATCTTAAGAAATTGCATGGCGACACTTGTCCATTGTGATCCGAGGCCTGAATATACGAACCAAATTGGTCGACGGACATTAGAGAAGTACTGAATTTCACGGGCAATTGGTATGCTTTTAGTCGGCGTAGATCCTAAAAATAACACATATATATGTCATATAAACATGTAACGAGACAAATTAAATTAAATACAAGTACATTTTAATGATATTGGTTTTAAAGACTACAATGTTATTTACAAGAATCAATTAAAAAGAAACCTAAAATTATAAAAATATTTAGTTTCAATATGGTTGATTATTCTGAATTTGAAAAATATAATATTATTTACCCAACAATGTATATCCTCTAAAATGGTGTCCTTTGATATTTTTATTATGTATAGCATGAAATAATCTCACTTGTTCTACATCTACTGTCTTGGACTCCAAATCATTGAGAATCTTGGCTACAGCTGACTTAGTTCGACCAGAAACACAGACAAGGCGGGGTAAGTCATCTTCTGGAAGACCATTATTGACCTGGGCAATAATTAAGAAAGTGATGTCAAAATCTAGAGATCTATATTCAGCAGTAATGGTAATCAAAATAAAAACTATATAAATAAATCAAGTATATTTCATTATTTTTTATATTACCTTTTCGCGGGCTATATTTTTCAGGAGTACATGAGCATTCGCGCCACCAAATCCAAAACTACTAACACCAGATAAGCCCTTATTCCAGGGTTGCTTTTCAGTTATGACATGGAGACGGCCTTCAGCTAGAGCAGCAACTCCCTTTCGCGGTGTTTCGTAGTGCAGATTTGGAGGAATCAATCCTGTGTTATACGCTATGCACATCTTGAAACAAAAAGATATATTAATATAGTTGTCAGATACGGTGCTTAGAATATTTTCTTTAGGTTTCATTAGATGTTTGGAATAAAATGCTTGTTTGACTTTAAATTCAAAACTAAAAGTTACCCTTTATTTGTGATTTAAGATATTTTTTAACATCTTAATGTAATATCACAAATTAATCTTTATAAGGCAGAAATATAATTACGTTACATAGTTACATATGTACATTTTATTACCTTATTATTAATTATATATTATGTAGTAATTAAAAAATATTGAAAAAGAAAATACCTTAGCGATCGAACAAAGACCAGAAGAAGCTTCAGAGTGTCCCAAGTTAGACTTCACAGTGCCAATCATAAGCGGCTCAGAGCGACCGGTACAGAATATCTCATCGATGGCTTGCAATTCCACAGGATCACCAACTTCAGTACCTGGGTACAGAGGAATAACACCTGAGTCCTCAGGATTGGTCACGCATGGAGAGTATCATGGACGAAACAGTATACTCTGTTATGTCCATGGCACTGCTCATGTCTATAGGCGACGGTTACCACTTTCCATCAGGTGGGCCGTCAGCTTGTTTGCCATACTAAGTTGTATAAAAAAAAAGTACATATTAATAGATGAAACAATACTGAATTCTAACAAAATGTGACAACGTGGAAATTACCAATTTTAGAAAATAATTCGATAATTTTCAATATTTATTATCGTTATGATCATGTGAAATTTGTATTTGAAGACTTCTGGAGTAAAGTTCAAAGTAGATGCGAAAATTTTTGCGATAGGTTTATAATGAGTATTTTAAGAAAAAATATTTTAGTATTTGTTTTTGTTGATTTGAAACAGACAAATGGATTTTTTCTAATCGCAATTGAAAATAGTGGCATGCATTTTCTATTTCTCTTACAACTACATTAAAGGACGATAAACAAAGTAATAGATGTACCTAAGAAATTGATAGTCAAACATTAGTTTCTTATGTAAATTTCGAACAAAAATCAACTTTAATTTATTTTAATGTACCTGTTCCGTGAGCTTCAATGAACTCCAGACTAGAAGGTGCAATGCCACTTTCCTCATAGAGTTCAGTAAGGAGCAACTTTTGATCTTGTCCAGAGGGATAGGTGATACCTTGCTCCTTGTAGCCATCACAGTTTGTTTTCGCATGGAGCACTTGGACATATATTCTAAAAAAATACTGTGTAGTAACTTTTTGAATCGGCATGATTCACGCTGAATCTACTAAAATTAGGTACATGCAATTTGATAAAGTTATATCAACAGATGGTTGGATGTTTCTTAGTTATGACTAAACATTTAGCAAATTTGGATAAAATTTAGTAAATAAACTGCATCAACAAGTAGTAAAGTGTCCCATGCATTAGTATAGAACACTTTTTATATTAATTCACACGAGAAAACCGCAGATGCAGCTAATCTCATTAATATAATAAAAATGCAACTAGACGTTGAATGACCTTAAAAAGATTAATAGATGCCAAAAAATATTTTTTTGAAATTTTGTCTGTCTGTCTGCATATTTGTTCCGGCATCTTGTAAAAACTGCTGCACCAAATTGGATGCAGTGAAATTAGAACTTTAGGAATATGTAGTACTCCTGAAATTCTAATTTACAAACTAGTGTACGTTTTATCTAGAAGAGCTTTATTCCATTGGTATTCCTATTTCTGAAATTTACTTGCAAAAAGCTAATATTAATTAAAATAAAAACTATTAATCTTAAGTTATCTTATACCTTCTAGAGTCTTTCGCCTTTTGAAGTAAACATGCGGCGATAGTTTCTGAACGAGCGTAACCATTAGCTTTGTCGTCGAAACTCTTGCACCTACCATCGAGGCATAATACACCCAACCTGTAACAGATGAGAAATATAAGAAGACATGTCAACTCATCCATCTTTCACTGGTAAACATAGAACTTTTATGTATTCCATCTCGGTTCGGTTCAGAAACACCAGTAACATTTTAAGGGCGTCACTTCTTCACGTGTGGTACTTGAGGATCTAACTTTATCATCCAATTCCTTGGGTTACTGCCTATATCATCATCGTTCTCATTTTTATCATGTTGTTCAGTGCTTACTGATACTGCTTACTAATACATATATTATCAAATATACCTGGCAAACTGCAGCGATATAATGAGATGAAGGCATAAATTGGTCCCGCCTACAATGGCAGCGTCACATTGACCAGTACGGATGGCTTTGAAGGCGTGTTCAAGAGCGTACAGTGAACTTGAACAGGCGGTGTCTACGGTGTATGCTGGACCGGTTAATTGAAGCCAATTCGAGATACGGTGAGCCAACATGCCACGACTGCACCTGTACATTAAAATAAATTTATTTAATATAAAGATACTTTCTCATACAAACTATATGAGAAATATACAAAAGTATTCTTGTTCCATATAATAAAGTTACTGCATGAAATTACAACACAAAAAGTCATTTACTTGGGTAACTCTCTCCCATTCGTGTTTCAACCGTAAAGCAGTTGTGTTTGTATAGCTGTGTTTCGGTTTGAAGGGTAGGATATGGCGTGAATTTATAGGGTACAGAGGAATAACACCTGAGTCCTCAGGAATGGCAACGCATGGGAGGTATCATGGGCGAAACAGTATACTCTGTTATGTCTATGGTATTGCTCATGTCTATAGGCGACGGTTACCATTTTCCATCAGGTGGGCCGTGTTTGCCATTCTAAGTTGTATAAAAAAAAATATTTAATAAATTTTTTCGAATTGAAAATAACATACAATTTTGCATTTTTTAAATGTATTGTTACAAATTTTATAATTAAATTATAATATATAAAGTATTAGTAAAATTATGATCTTCATTAAAATATCGATCTTAATTTATTGAAATTATCAATAAATCAATGTCCTAAAAATACAGTAACAACAGAACTTACCCAATAATGCCGTAATTATTGATTTGCATCTTATCGTAGAACCAAGTCTTTTCAGATTCAGAAAAACAGCTGCCAACGAAAACTCCTGTCTTAGTATTTCGAAGCTCTTCTATATTTAAACCTGTCAAAATATTACATTCTATTGAACAAAATAACTTGGGAGATAACTTTATATTATGTTATTAATTAGTACTATTACTAGCTACTACTAATTATTATTACTAGTCGCCATGTCCTGGCATAAAATGGGCCCAGGATTTCTTCCTCGTGGGTGTCGTAAGAAGCGACTTAGGGATGGTCAAGCGATGAGCAGGCAGCGTTCCTCTTAAATCATCGCCTAAAGTCAAACTGGGTGGCTAACCCACTACCCAGTACTTACTACGCTTGGTAGACGATTAGCAACCACAGTTATTCTTTGGTGATATTTTGTTGTCCATTTCTCGACCATTAAGTTCCCATAGTCGCTTCTTATGACATTCTCGTAAAGGGGTCACTCATGTTCTACTTTATGCCGGGACCACAGCGCAATCTATTTATGTACAATACAATAGACCAATACAAAGGAAAAAAAAACTAACGATAATATCCTAGAACAATAAAATCATCAAAATAAAAAATTTTGCCAATATAATAATATAAATAAATGTTATTTTTTTATTGTTTCTCTGAAAGAAAGATACAATTATATAAAATAATTAAACAAGAACGAAAAATTCGCAATACAAGAATCAGAAGATACAGAAACAAAAATGGGCGACTTTATCGCTAAATATCGATTTTTCTTAATAAAGAGCAATAAAATTAAGTTGTTTGAAATTATTCAAGACGCAACAAGTAAGCAAATGAAATTATAAAAGCCAAAACAAAGAACTAAAAGGGAGATGTGAAGTTTAAAGCGAATAATAATATTCGGTTTAAATTTCACTATATTTATAAATAATAATAATAAGATTATAAATTACCTAATAATAGGTAATTTATAATCTTATGGAGAGGGACCTGTTATCAATTGTTCAAGATAAATGAGCTATTATATTGGTCAATATGATAAATATAAATTTACCAGCGTCATAAATAGATTCGTAGGTTTTCTCCAAAAGGATCCTGCACATGGGATCCATAGAGTGGACTTGCTCGTAGTGGATCCCGAAGAAGGAAGCGTCAAACTTGTTCAAAACGTTGATCTTCCCGGAACGATGGGGGATTTCAGGGTGCCCCTTTTCCCAACGTCGATTGTCGTCAGAGATCAGGTCCACCTGACGATGTGTTCACAAATATAATGTCCGTTTATATTCCATAAATGAATCCCAAATAGTAAGAGATACAGTTCTCTAAAATTCAATTATATTTAAGTTTATCACCTGTTACTGAACAACACCTAAACATTTTCAAAATCATTAGAAGTTATTAAAAAAGTCCTTCCACAAATAATATAATAATAAACTATCATCATCTCATCAGCTGTTAATCGTCCACTGCTAAACATAAGGCTCACCCTTGGGGGGTTTTGCCAGTAGTTTTTTACGACACCCAGGGAAAAGAAAGGGGTGGCCTATTCTATACTGGGACCACACCGTCAATTATAAACTATAACACAGATGATTTTGATTTTAATTTGAATCAATCGAAGCTCAAAGGTGGTATAGAGCTCTTAATTTTAAAACGAGACTTTGTCTTCTTTTGTGTGTTCGACAGTTTGTTTAACAGATTGTGTTTTGAGGGATAGGCTATTTAATATTTTTTAATTTATAAAAAATAATAAAATTATTTTTTATATTGTTATGTCATAGTTTAGGGGTTTTAAAAGCAGTATTCATTAATCTGACATAAAAATATTATTCATAATACGTAATATTGATTTTGCATAAAACCCCGATTAAAGTTATCATATTTTTATCTGAAATCACGTGATTGCGAACGACTACAAATATATAAATATGAAAGTAAACAACACGTCTATCTGTTCTTGATAGTATATAATAAAGTAATATAATCAACTAATGATTTTGTTACTCCAATAATTAGTGGTTATTAATTTTCTTATTCGTCTGCTAAATTACTGAAAACGTAAGACATCTAAATGGCAATATTGAATTCTAACGTCAAATCAATAATTAAAATCTTTTAAAATTAAAACAAATTAACTTTAAAATGAAATAGTTATAAATTTACGTAAATAAAAATATGTTTATGGTATTATATAAAAATGATCTCCACAAAAGAAAACAGTTAAATTGTTTAACATTAAGATTCCTATGAGCAATTTGTAACCACTTTTCACCTATCTTGGTCTTTTTTTGGCGCACTAACAAACAGTTTTTCCGATATCTTTATAGTCGTATATCGCCACTAAATGGTCACAGAAATCAGTCAAATAGTTATTTGGTATGATGCCCACAGTCCCTTTTATCATTGCACCGCTCACCATCGACAGAGAATTCATCCTCACACGCTTGTACTTAAATGGTCACGTACAGTACGGTTTCAAAATAATTTTCTCCCGTGAACGTTCAGGCTATGGAATGAGCTTCCTGTCGAGGTTTTCTCTAGAAATTATAGTATAAGGTTCTTCAAAAGGGTATATTAAGATTTATTCAGGGTCGGCAATGAGCACGTGCCACTCTTAGTGTTGCAGGTTTCCATAGGTTACAGTAAACGTTTACCATCAAAAGGACTATGTGCTTGTTTGTTGCCTTCTTGGTATAAAAAAATATCTTTAACCAACTCCCAATAGTATTGTGTCTGAACAGATACGACAGTACAACCTCTAAATAAATAACACATTCCTTCTTAAAAAATTTGCATCCTGCAAGTTCCCTGGTCAAATCCTGAGACGCCTTTTGTATCCTATGTAAAAAATAAAATAAAATAAATTGCTTATTAAATTGTACCTTACTGAACAGGTTCTCCTGAAGATGCATGACCGAATCTGAATCCGGGAAGGATCCGGATATACCGGTGATGCATACTTCTTCTCCAGGAGCTGGGTGCGATAGTTGGTATCCTAAGTTTGGCTTATCAGTGTTATTTGTTGACGCCATCTATAAATTATAAAATTTAAATTAGAGATGAAACGTGTTCGGGTCAGTGCTGCTTTTTTATTTATGTACATGTCCATTATGCCTTTAGATAAGGCGAAATGTGTAGATCTATTATATTTAAGACCATTATTATAACCACATTTCTAGCAAATAAATAAATTATTATTATTATTATGAACTTTACTAACCGAAAATAAAATTATCAATACGAAATTTCAAAAATTGAATCCATTTGTCCTTATATCCACCAAAATTGATTATAGTCCGTAAGATGTCAACATTCTTGACTCTACCATTTTGCATAATTTCACGGAATTGTCTTCATTATATTTTATTTTATTTTTAATAAAAAGAAAAACGGGTAAAACATTTCATAATAAAGACAAAAAGCTAATTACAGACTTCCACAAATAAAATTAAAATTTCACTAAATGCATATGGCATCGTTAGTACTTACAATGAAACAAACATGCATGTAGGCAGTTATGTAAAATAAAAAGTTGATATCACTCGTTCAAATAGAAATTATCAAAGAACCATTGACTCAGCACACGTCTTGCGGACTCTATCTTAGAGTTAAATAAATCTAAATTCAGATTTCTAGATATTTTATAAAAACTATTGCACAACAGATTTTCTATTATTAGTGGAAACAAATGGAAGAAATAAAGTGGCATTTAATCTTAATAGTTGTGTTGGGACACCAAGCATTTTTTAATTGGAGATAAAAAGGAAAAATAAACGAAATAAAAAAATATATATGCTAACTTTTAAAAAAAAATGTAACAAGAAGTAAAAAAAAGAATAAGAAATTAATATAAAATCTGTTTAAAGACGATGCTAAGCCAAAAGAGAGGAAGAACAATAATTATAATATATATTTACAACTTAAATTAATGAAGAAATATAATTCAAATGAAATACATAAATATTTTTATTAAGGGTTAAAGACAAACCTTTAAACAATTATAAACAACAACTGTAAAATTATACAAATGTACAACGCGTCAATTGGCACTGACTTCAAATAGATTTTGTCCAATGTCTTTAAATTAAAGTCTAATATCACTTTATTCATCGCTTTTTGCTTCTTGTTACATCTTTTTTTCTTTTTGCTTTCGGTTTATTTTATTTATATTATTTTGTTAAAAAGTTTGTTTATTTACAGTCTAATAAATATAAATATAACTTACATTTAATATTTATTTTTATTCCTCTTGCACAATAAGTACTGTTATAACAACAGCGGTGTTAGAACATACATAATCGTTAAAATTACTCAAGTTTTTACTATTTATACTGAAATTTTAATGCAATTCAGAGGTCAAAAACAAAGCAATATTTTAATTACAATTAATTCTTTCGGTTTCGTTTTATGTTTTACCAAACTAAAGGAGCGTAATGATTTTAATCGATATGCATTTATGTATATTTATTTGTCACTACTGAACTACTTATAGTAATTTGATAAATGTGATATTCTTGCAAGGGTTTTGAACGTCTACTGGTTTATCCCCCATTGAACAATATAAAGGTTGTTGTAGTCTTATAATATTATAATAATAATATTATTATGTCTTCTCATTAACAACTTAGATTTTACTCATGTGGTAATTAGGATAAAATAAGATTAAATTAATACAGAACTCTGCTGGTGTATAAAATAGGTTAAAACCTGTAGTACATATCACCAGGCCCCCAACCGATATGTGTTTAAATAACAATTAAACAAAAAACATTGTACTGAAAACATACAATCTAAAAAAAAAGAAAACCATAATAAATAGTAGGAGATAAGAGAACAATAAAATTAATATATAAAAAAGGTGTGTGTGTATGTGTGCGTGTGAGTGTGCGCGTGGGTGTGTGTGCATTTGCGTAACTTTTTGTACATGTATGTGGGTATATGTGAAATGATATACAAGTGTATTAACTAAAAATAGTTAATAGTTCTTCCATGAAATTATAATCCAATGTCTTAAACCACTTAGAAAGATATGATTCACAGCTACTTTGAGTCAAAGGGTAGAAGAAGAGCAAAGTATTTAGTTTATTATACAAGTAGCCACCAAAGAAACAGTAAAACTTATGTGAAAAGGCAGTTTTGAATGGCTTAATTTGGCATACCTTTCCTTTTCTACGTTTGTTATTTATCACATCCGAATGAAGCGTTGCTTAACCGTTAGCACATCCCATCAGCTCTTAAACTTTAATGGTGGGATGTCGGAAAGGAAGTCTTGAGTTTAATTTTAGTACGGTACGTTGGGCTTTTTCAATAATCATGAGATGCGGTTAAGTGCTAGCTCCCCAAGAAGAATAGTAAAAAGAGCATGGTACAATGCAAGATAGACTGGGTACAGAGGAATAACACCTGAGTCCTCAGGAATGGCAACGCATGGGGGGGTTTCATGGGCAAAACAGTATACTCTGTTATGCCCATGGTACTGCGCATATCTATAGGCGACGGTTACCACTTTCTATCAGGTGGACCGTCAACTTGTTTTTCATTCTATAATAAGTTGTATAAAAAAAAATTACGGCTAAAAAGGTGTCTGAGAGTTTTGAAAATATATATAAGTTTGCGAAATCTATGATCTAGCATTTGGGTATCAGCCTTGAAACTTAGTGTATTATTAACTATGACACCCAGTTATTTAAAGGTATCACAACTTTCAATGGATTTATAGTTACAGTTGTTTTTATTTTTATCGATATATTTCTGGGCAAATATATAATAGCATATAGGTAGCTATTTTTTGGGTGACAATATTACTGCTAAACCAATCATGGACCTTGTTGAAACCTATTTGCCATAAATGACAGACTTCATGCCCTACGCTTTGAATTATCAGGACAGTGTCATCAGCGAATGAGATAATTTTGCCATATTGTACTGGAAGTTGGAAAAGATCATTTATATAAACCAACGATAAGGTCGGCGCGAGGATACTGCCCTGAGGGATTCCAAATGTGACTGGAAGTTCATCACTAATTTATTTGTCAATCTTAACTTATTGGAATCTATCATTTAGATAGTCAGTAAAAAGTTGTAGCGATTGTCCTTTTACACCCATGGATTCTAACATGAAGCAGAGGGATGGAAACTGCATCAAAGGCTTTTGCCAGGTCAAGAAATATTGCAATTGTTTTGAGTTCAGATTTACTATAGTGTCTGTGAGATCATGAACAACATCATCTGTGGAAAAAGAAGACCTTTTCTAAAACCAAACTGTAACGGTGAGAGAAGGTTGTTACTTTCTAAAAAAATAACCAAGCGTGTGTTTAGAAGTCTTTTGAGAATTTTAGCTAAAGTTGGAAGTATATAAATTGTTTTGAAGTTATTGACATCATCTATTTCACCTCCTTTATGGATCGGTTTTATAACTGATTTCTTTGGAGCTTGAGGAAAGTTGCGGGTTTTGAAAGCTAAATTACAGATCAAGATTTTATCAGTATAGAACAGTGTGTTTTTAGTAGTCGGTGGGAGATCCTATCGTGTCCAGATGCGCAATCGTTCTTTAAGTCCGTTATCACAGTTTTGACTTTTGTTTTATCAGTCGGTATTAATACAAATAAGCTGTTATGAGAATTTAAGCGTATATATATATATATATTTTGATACTTGGCTTACGACAATATTGTCAGAAAAATTTGCGGTCAGTATCTGCACAAAATTTGATTATATTATTTACACTATCTTCAGGCAATTAAGTTAATAGAATGATCAATTTTATTCTTGGTATAAATTATTACTTTGACTACATTTCACATCTTTTTCGTACTACATTTTTCGGGTCTTGTTTGAGCTTATTGTTTTGTAATAATAATAATGTTTATTTATTTCTAACAACTTTTTTGAGTACAATGAATAATTTATAATAATACCATAGATACATTAAAGTTGCAGAGAACTGGTGCCTGAATTGGGTATCCGAAGAACCCGTATGACAAGGCACCAGATTTTTATATAGGTAAGTACTGATTAAGTCGAAGAGAGACGGAGGACCATTGTGAGGGAAGTGACTTGCGCTAAAGCTAATAAAATATATATTATATTTAATGAATTAATTTTGCACCTTATATATTATGCTTTTTATATTATCCCTATAAATACTTTCTCGTTCTCGAGGTTGACTAGAAGAAACCGCTTAAAGGGATAAGTCCGCAATTTTACAATATATAATGTATGTATACAAAACAAAAAATGTACAAAAGCATATAAGTAAATATGTAAAATATAATACAAATAATTTTTAATTTACTGAAATAAGATCACAATAGTATAGGAATTTTTGGTAATAAAAAACAGCTACAACATACTAGACAGTTAATATAATAGGCTACCATGGACTTGAACAATACGTAACACTGATCATTTTTACGTTGTATATCTAATACAACGTAAAAATTATAATGTCAATCAGCCATATTGAATCTACATATTTGTTGACGTAGTTCAGGATTGCGTTGGAGGTATTGTACGATACGCGTAACAGATTATTTTATTAGTATCCAGCTATATGTAAATGTGTATTGTTGGTAGTTCTTTTGTCTGTTATAAATAATATCATTCATCGTTCTCAAGTATGATCTGCCAAAAAAACTACTTCGTAGTAATGGTTTGACACTCACAAAATTTTTAACTAGTTCAAGGCATGTAATGTTTGTGGAAGCCCGTAAAACTTTAGGTACTAAGAGTTGCTGGACTAGCAATGGCAAAAATAGCGATATGCCCCAATGGTTCATGTAGGATGATCAGTACGTTGGAAGAATGTAGTATTATTAAGGCACTATTTTCCGAGTCGCCAAATGGTACAGCTCTGGAGTGAAGACTTCGAAACTGAATAAACCTCCTGCATGTACTACAAACTTGCTGTCTCGAACTAGAACACGAACTCAAGCCACTTCAGCTCAAAGTGATAAATAAGAAAAGATCTGGTCGTGTTGTGTTGTCATTATTATTGTTGTATTCTGGTGTTGATATACCTATACCTATATCGCTTGATTATATCTACTTAATTACATTTCTTAGTTACAAATCACATAATCGGTTATTCTCATAAGTGTATGTAAATTATTATACTTACGTTCTTTTTAGAATTAATTGGTAGGTAATAATAATTATGTCAATACAAAACTTATTTGTAAACACAGATATGACATTTCAATTCGTACCGTTTTTTTTATAATGTATCGAATTATTTTTATTATTAATTACGCTGATGTTATTCAGCTTTGGAATTATATGAAAAGTCTGGACATCGGTAAAAATCATTCGAGGGCTCTTCATCTACCTAATCCAGTGTTTCTAACATTTTTATGCCCCCATACATAATTTTTCCCGACAAAGTTTACTTGACGACTCTAATCGCCCAGTTGATATTTTGGTAACGTCTCTTACAGCTCACAGCACTGTCTCTGCATTTGTCAAGATCACCGACAATATAAAACCTGGTATTGAAAATAGGAACTAAACTGTTCTGGTTCTTTTAGACTTCATTAGTACTTTTAGTTTGGTTGGATTTGACTTGCTACTTCCTGTGCTCGGGTCTAAATTTATCAATGTCTGCTCTCTCTGATCTGATTTTGCCTTGATGTCCTCAAGTTGATGAAATAAACCAGAGGATATTTGCCACACGCTACTCTCCTAAACGCCTTCAATTCTTTTCTCCTCTGAGTACTAAGTTACTTCTTGCTCGTTCTTTCATTGTTCCTTTGTTAGACTATACCAACAGTACCATTATGGACCTCTCTGAAGAGCTGCTCGATAAGCTGGCTATAGAATTTATGTATCAGATTCATCTATGACTTTTGTAAATTTGATTATGTTTCAGTTTATCGCAGGCAGCTCAATCGGCTTCTTATTCGTCTTCGGCGGAATATTAATATCCTCACCCTTTTAGGATCCTATTTAACCCTTTATCTCCTACATACCTGCGTGAAAAATTCCTGTTTCGTGATTCTGACAATCTCCTTCGTTCCAGTTATAACTTGGCTCTAGCGTTACCTATATACTACTTATTGATTTACAAAATCTTTTACAGTTCAAGCTGCTACTTGCTACAGTTCAAGAATGTTCTCTTCAGTGAAAATCTTAAAATCCTGTATTAAGACACTCTGGGGTTATTCTGTAGATGCGCTAATTTAGTTTTATTGTATGTGTGTATGTATTTTTGGTAGTGTATTTATATGTATGCATTATAAATATATATTTATATTGTTTATTAGTTTTTTTTATATTTGTAAATTTTAAATATGACATTTATGTACCTCCTTATTAAGAATATTAGAAGCATAGCCGTAGCTAGGGGGTGAGGCGCCTTGAGGGGCAATGTCCTACCTTAAAATTAAAAGTCACAAGAAAATTGACTACGGCCCTAATTAGAAGTGTTAAGCATAATCCTTTTAAATATATTAGGTATCATTTAGATGTATTATGTTGTCCAGTATTAATGTTGTGTTCGTGTTGTAACTGGAACACCTTTTATTTTTTTTTAAATTAACTATTTTTTTTATCCTAATAATTTACAATTTATATCAGACATTCAGAGGTTGGCTGGAATAAATCCCTTTTATGGGATAAGTCCGCCATTGTTCTCATTCTTCTCTTAAGAACTCCGTATCCTATAATTTAAGACTTTACTGTACAATAAAGTGTTACAAACAAATGTTTACGATAAGTTTCTTCGAGATTCTTACCAAATATAGTATGTTTAATAAGGAAACGAGTCAACTATTCGTATGGATAGTAAAACCTCGTGGTCTTTGACATTTAAAGTCACTTATAATATAAACTTCAATACTGACATATAAATATGCAAAAGTATTTTAATGTTGATTTGTGTCTGATATTTAAGTTTATGTAAAATTATGCAATTAATTATTTATCAACAGGGTGCGAAAATGTCATAGTAATTGTAAATGATTATTTTTATATTCGACAAAATTAAATTCAAATTAAAATATTAAGTTTTCGTATTAAAAACGTAGCGGCATTAGACTAATTCACTTGTTATTTTTGTTTTATATAATTTAAGAATGTGTTCCATAAGAAATATGGAACGGCAACGCGTGCGTATAACCTCTGGTATTGCAGGCGTTCATAGGCTACGGTAACCGCTTACCATCAGGTGGGCCGTATGCTTGTTTGCCACCTCAGTGGTATAAAAAAAAATACAAATTCTATCCTGGCAGAATAACTTATTAGCTAGTTTTAGTTTAATAACTAAAATACTGAATTTATTTTAATAAAATTTCTGTGGAATCAGTATATCCTTTCAGATAAGATAGAATTTTTAAATCAGTGTACAATTGACGGAGTTATGTGTAAGAGGTTTGTTTGAATCGAAGCATTTGGTGTTCCATTGTTTCTGCCTACCCTAATGGGAGACAGGCGTGACAGATATGTGTACGCAACAAACATAAAAAATACAATTAAACTGAGGACTGCCTCCTTTTCAGAAGTTGGTTGAAAAGCGTATCATATACGATTGTCATTTGTCCACAAATATAGGTAAGATAAAAAAAGGGGAAATTTGTAAGAAAAATCGAATGAGAGCCAACCATGACGAATTTAATTATGCGGTTTTGCTCACTTTAATCAGTACATAAATATATGTTCTCTTTTATCCAAAGGTTGTCTGTAAGAGATTTCCTTAAAGATAAGACCGCCTTTTGTACCTTTATGTACCTATATATTTCAATCTGTATGTTATTTTATTTCATTAGAATTGTTTATATGTTATTATTTTTATGTCTCTGATGCAATAAAGAGTTAAATAAATAAAAAAAGTATCCAATCTGCTAAGTTTTTTTTTCTCTTTATTTTGGTCAACAAACAGTAGACATAACAATATATATATACATATGTATCCAAATATCAATAATTTTAGTGTCACCAACGACGTTGGCCACCTATTACTATAAAACAAAATATGCAAAATGGTTGTGTGCAAATACTTGTACAAAATCAAACATATACACATACATGAATGACAGAAATGTAAAGAGGTGCGTACAAGTGATACACTCAAAATCAAAATACTTCCAAATTGGTGTTACGAATATTTTAAAAATTAAAATATAAATATATTTATATTTTATTATAATATATTTGTATAAAAATATTAAATATTAACTTTTTTATTGCTGGTAATACAACATCAACAACAAAATATCATTTCCATACAAAAACATCCATCCAAAAATTAGTAGGTACTTAAATAATTGTGATCCACTATTTAAAAGCACATTTTTTCTCTTCGTTCCACAGTGGATCTGAAAGGGGGAGATTTTGTACAAAAGTCGATTGCTTGGGTACCTCTGTCCCATTCGTGTTTCTACCGTGAAGCAGTTGTATTTGCATGGCTGTGTTTCGGTTTGAAGGGTGGGATATGGTGAATTTACAGGGTACAGAGGAATAACACCTGAGTCCTCAGGAATGGCTACGCATGGGGGGTATCATGGGCGAAACAGTATACTCTGCTATGTCCATGGTACTGCTCATGTCTATAGGCGACGGTTACCACTTTCCATCAGATGGGCCGTCAGCTTGTTTGCCATTCTAAGTTGTATAAAAAAAAAGGTACGTTTTTTAATCCACAATTGACTAGAGAAGCTTAATTATTCATGGTTTTTCCAATTCTATTGTATTTTTATTTCTATATCTAACAAACTAGCAAAAAGGTTCTATATATAACCTTTAGTTCTGCCAGGTGCTATGCTTGCCAGACGGGTTAACAACCGCAGTTAAGCTTTTAGAGGTGTTTTAAGAGGGACGCTGCTACTCATCTCTCGATCATTAAGTTCCCTTAGTCGCATTTTACGACACCCACGAGACAGGAAGGAGTGGACTATTCTATGCCGGGACCACAAGGATACTAAGATATTACATATATTGTTTTGTTCTTCATTAACAACGGATTGTGCTCAGAGGAATTGTCCAATATGATGCCAACGGCCACTTTCTACCATAGAACAGCTAGCCATCGACAGGGGGTTCACTGCCCATACCTTGGAGCCTAGATAGTAATTTACAGAATGATCTCAGAGATTTCTTCCACGAACGCTCAGGTTATGGAATAAATCCGCTGTCGAGGTTTTTCCAAGAGACCACAGCATGGGGTTTCTTTAAGGTCTGCAATGCGCGCGTAATGCCCCTGGTATTGCACACGGTAACTGTTTACCATCAGGCGGGTCGTATGCTTGTTTGCCGTCTCAGTGGTATAAATAAAAAAGATATATAGAAAAATTTTCCTTTTACCAATTCATAGAGTCGTTTATTAAATGAGATTAACTTTCCATGCGAATGATGCGCAAAAAAACAACAACGACTAAGTTACTCATATCCTTAAAAATGTAGTGTTTGCAAATATTTATCATACAATCACAGATATAAATGCATGAGCCCTTGAGTTCACATGTATTTTAAATTGTAAATTCGACAAGCATAATCGCATTTCGTCATTGCAAGAGCTAATTCTGCTGTTCGATTCAATGTAAGTTAATTTTTTTATTTGGCTAATATTATTTTGTGTTGCCACTTCCTATCGGATGGTTATAAATATAAGTTTTTAGATACATACTTTAAATGGATTCATTCTATAAGTAATGTTAGGTGATCCGGCAAACATTGTTTTGCTATATAAATTATTTCTAAGAAAACATGATTTGGGACACGCCACCCTTTTCACTTAGGGGTATAAAAAGCAGATAACAACCTATTCTCAGACCTATCGAGTATACATATAAAATTTCATCAAAATCGGTTAAGCCGCTTCGGAGAAGTATGGCAACTAACACTGTGAGAGGGGAATTTTGTATATGTAGATAATGAAATTGTAATCAGACATCTATCTGTACATTGTATATATTTAATATACATTATATTTTATATATACATTTAAGAAAAATTTATATGAAGCATCGTAATAATGTCACAAGAGGTAAAAAATACTTTTCAGTCTTCATGAGTAGCGAGCCTGTACTGGCAAATGCTGTGTAGAGCGAACAATTAGATATAATATAATAATTAAAAATATGAGATACATGAGATGAATCCTAAAAGTGAATGAAGCCAAAAATGTATATAAAGATACAATACAAGGCTTTTGCTATTCAGTTTTGCCAATTTATGTCATATCCAGAGGTTGACTGAAAGAGATCTCTTTTAGCGATAAGGCCACCCATTGTTTTATTAGTGTAATATTTTCTTGTAATTGTTTATATTTATAATTACAAAGTTTACTATTGTAATTTTATGGAGGAAACAATAAAGAGTATCTATCTATCTATAATAATTAAAATAGGGTTTTTATACCGAGTCTCAGGATCTGGTGTGAATGCATGAAAAGAGTCATGAAAGCGTAAGAATATATATATATATATATATATATATATATATATATATATATATATATATATATATAGATAAAAATACTTCGGAGATAAATCTCTTTAAATATTGCTGTGTAATTAATGTTTGTAATTAAGAAAATGTACTGGATAAATATTTAAATGGTGGCTTTCTATCAAAGTAACATGTTAAAGATGGAATATTTGGCCATAAACCTAGCAATATCTATCTATAAATTCTTCTTATAATTCCTGTAAACCATTAAACACTAATTGTATTTCTAGTTTTAATAACATTAAACTCACAAGGATTGCTCAAGAATGAGATGTTTTTCAATATCATTATTGATATATATATATAATATACTTTTGAAACTTTGATCAGATGACGACTAAAACAACTGACGAATCCAAGTTGAGCTCAGGGTACCTGTTATCACACCCATTACCCGGTGATGAAATTTACATCACCGGCATGTCCGGCAGTTTTCCGGAATCTAACTCGATACTAAGTCTGCAGGAAAATCTTTTCAATAAGGTAATTTCAATAATTTCTTATTCTTTTTTATATCACAAAGGTGGCAAATTTACAGTCCGTCTGATGTTAAACAGTCACTGTAGCCAATGGAGGCCTACAACGCTAGGGGTCTTTCGTGTGCCTTGCTGACCCTGAAGTTACTACAGAATTAATATTCTAACATGTTACATGCATTAATAAACATCTCAAATTTAGAAAAAGAATGCTGGAAAAGGGATTCACGGAGTTATGGGGAAGCCATTAGGTGGCCACAATTTAAGTCGTTCAAATATTATGTAACGGAATTTTTGAAAATTTTTGATCCTTCCTCCTCCTTATATAACACGCTGTAACATTTTTCTGTACCTTCCTCCCCTCCGTCCTTGTTACGTAACATACAAGTGATAATTTTTTCCTAAAAGTTACAATACTATCGAATACTGACAACAATAACAAAATAAAAATAACGTAAGTTACAGTCGAGAGATTCCACGAAAAATATAAACGAAAAGGGTTGCCACCTTGCAAGATTTTAATTCTCTAGTTTTTTATTTTAATAAAAAGAACAATGTTACGTAACGTGTCGTTCGAACCCCCTTGCGCCCTTGTAATGCGTCGCAAAATTTTAAAAGATCCCCTCTCCTCCCAAATTGCATAACTTAATACTTAAACGTCCCCAAGCTAAGTACACGATCTACTTGATAATACGCAATTACTGTAGTCTATGACCGCCTGCAATGACAGGGGATCGTTGTCGACCCTGAACCTCTTTATCCCATTTTTTTTGAGAACGCCTTTGTAGGAACATAGATATTCCATAAAAATATTGCAGTAAACAGGTTCGAATTCAGACTTCGTCAGTGCCAACGACATGAAAAAAGTTGCTTAGCTGCAATTGGTATTAAAAGATATACTGTCTTTTCTCTGCAACTTTTTCCGCGTGATCGAGATTTATGTTAAGTGACCGAAATAAAAGACTTCCTCTGTTTGACTGTCATATAGCTAAAATTTCATTAGAATTAGTTAAGCTGTTAAGGCATCAAGAGGTATCAAACAAACTTACTTTCCTTTTTATAATATTAGTAAATCGTTATTATCAGGTGGATTTAGTTTCCGATGACAACCGACGATGGAACCAAGAACGTCTCGAAATTCCGCATCGTACCGGAAAAATCGATGATTTGAACAAATTTGATGCTTCTTTCTTTGGGGTTAACTACAAGCAAGCCCATAGTATGGATCCTATGTCTAGAATCATAATGGAGAAAGCTTATGAAGCTATTTTTGATGCCGGTAAGTTATTTAATACTAACTGCACATCTCAGTACCCTACGCTTTTTTTTAATAAAATATAGCCTGATAGGACAGTATTTATTATTAAAAATGTACTGGCATCACAGCCACTTATGATTAAGGATCACGAATTGATTCTGAAACTAGTCGAGTTTTCACACTCTAATTACAAGTTAAACCGGTAGTTATTAAATTAAAAAAAATGATAGAACAGTTGATAATGTATTTTGCTATAGTTGCAAGAAATTTTAAAATTGATCAAGTAAATAGTTTTTGAGTTCATTCATTACAAACAAAGATACTTAAATCTAATATGTCCTCTTTATAATATTAGTTTAAGCTACCTGATTTTGACAACTTTGTTTTCCCTCTTAGAAATCACTTTATTATTGCACAATTACTTCATGGTAGAAACACGAATGGGACAGAAGTACTAAAGCTGACGACTTTTGTGCAAAGTCTCCCTCTGGCTAAATCATTTATCAAAAAGTTTATGGTAACAAATAAAACGACTAACAAACAAGCCTAATGGTTTCCTCAAATTATTCTGCAAATCTAATTGTTTGGATAGACACAGTATTGACTAAAATACTTTTTTAGGTTTCAATCCCGAGGAACTACGAAACACAAGGACTGGAGTTTTTGTTGGTACCTGTCACTCTGAGTCTGAAAAGACATGGTTCTATAAAAATATGCATTTAAACAATTACGGTATTGTTGGGTAAGTTGTTCTTAATTAGATATTATATTATATAAGATTTTTTTTCAATCGAAATTTTGTTCTTTTGATAGGATGGCAATATATTATTCCGTAGGCTAAAAAAGGAAAATTAATGGTTGAGGGATAAACAGAAACCTACACTGACAAGCGTGGCAACTATAGGCAAAACATCCCTTATGATGTTATGTTCAACTGTGGACAGTTAGAGGCTAAGATGATGATGATGATCATCATCTTAGCCTCTAAAAGATATTATGCTTTTGTACTGAGTAATTTCACTACCATATATGCCCTTTCAAACCAAGACACGGTTATGCAAACGCAGCTGTTAAATGGCAAGACTACGAATGGAATAGAGGTTTCTATGCAGAATACAAACACTCGCTTTGCTAATTTTGTAAATATTGTACACAGATGTTGCCGTGCTATGTTACCCAATCGTATATCCGATTGGCTAGGAGTTACTGGCCCATCTTATACTGTAGACACAGCTTGCTCGAGTTCTTCATATGCTTTAGAACATGCTTACCGAGCAATCAGAGATGGTCGCTGTGACGCTGCTTTAGTAGGCGGATGTAACTTATGTCTCCATCCATTCATATCACTGCAATTCTTCAGGTACACAAATTAAAATGCTTTCAAATCTCATAACAATTTGTGCATTTCTTTAAACTCTAACATTTCCAAAAAACACGATTTAATAAATATTAGCATTTTTAGTAGTACTTGGTTGTTTTTGTAGATATTTTTTTTTTATATTAGTTGGTGAAAGTTACAGAAAGAAATACAGGTTAACTCTTTTTTTCTTTTTTTTTCTATACAAGTTAAAATGGCAAACAAGCCCACCTGATGGAAAGTGGAAACCGTCACCCATAACTGAGTTAATATAGTTTGGATAGAAGTCCTAGTAACTTCCTATCTTGTAGAAATTTCTAATAATCCTACTCCCTTTTCAAATAACGACTTTACTGAAATTAAATCAAGTATTGACCTGTCTTAAAAGTCACTTTCATCTTTTTATCAATGAATTGATTATCAATCAACGGTATATCTATATAACAATTAATAGTATATTTTACACTACTTGAATCCACAGTGGTATAAAAAGAATCATATCCTTGAATTTTAAAATATCAATTTACTTTCTTTCTTTATTACATGAGCTAACTTGTCTTCTGTTTGCTACAGATTAGGCGTATTATCTCAAGATGGCCGCTGCAAATGTTTCGACAACAAAGCCAATGGCTATGCACGCTCCGAAGCTGATGTTATTTGCTTCTTACAAAAATCGAGAAACTCTAGAAGGTACAAATTATTTATAAATATATTATGTCCATATAATTAATAAATAAATAGCAACATATAGCATTTGCGTAAGGTGACAAACAAGGATACGGCCCACCTGATGGTAAACAGTTACCGTAGGTTATGAATGCCTGCAATACCAGGGGTATTACGCGCGCATTGCCGACCCTGAAGAAAACTCTTTAAGCCCCATTTGAAGAACCCCATGTTGTAGTCTCTACTAGGGATAACTTCGGCAGGGAGCTTATTTCATAACCTGAGTGTTTGTGGGAGTAAACATTTCTGAAAATAGAGGTTTTAGGTTTTTCTGGATAACTTTTTCAATGTTTCTTCTATAAGGACTTCCCCTGAGATTCAACGAATATTTGAAAAACAAAAAAATTGTCAAATTGATCCAACCAATCTTGAGTTTTGCGGTTAGCAACACATTTAGTGATTAATTTTTATCCAGCACTATAAAAATTTGATATCCAGGGTGTATGCTCAAGTACTTCATGCGAAGACAAATTGTGATGGATTCAAAGAGCAAGGTATCACATACCCATCTGGTAATATCCAAAAGTTACTGCTACAGGAGTTCTACGAGGAATGCTGTATTCCACCATCTAGTTTAGAGTTTCTTGAAGCTCATAGCACAGGTTTGTTTATCAATAGACTTTTTTATTGTCAGGAGGATCAACTTATGCTATTCTTAAGACTATTTTTTTTTTATTTCTGTATGAATCATTCTCGAACTCAAGCTCTGTATATAGTTGTGGTTATTTACCTCTGATCATTGTATGTAGAAATCAGAGGTAGACTTTGTACCACAAAGTAACTTACATACTTACATGATGGAGCTAGTTTTTTTTTAAATAATCAGCGAAAAACATTGAAAATGCTAAAATTGTTTTTGAAAATTGACAGATAATTGTGACTTTTATGCAACTTAGAATGGCAAACAAGCTGACGGCCCGCCCAATGGAAAGTGGTAACCGTCGCTTATAGGCATGACATTATACTATGGACATAAGAGTGTATACTGTTTCGCCCATGATACCCCCATACGTCGTCATTCCTGAGAACTAAGGTGTTATTCCTCTGTACCCTGTAAATTCACTGCCATATTCGACTTTTCAAACCGAAACACAGCCATGAAAACGCAAATGCTTCACGGTAGAATTCCATATGGGACAGAAGTACCCAAGCAAACGACTTTTGTACAAAGTCTCCCTCTGGTGATTGCGACGTTGTCACACTTCAGCGAGTTAAAGGTGTAAACTCGCTTAATAAGAGAATAAAATATGTGACGCTTTAGATTTTCAGCAAAAATATTGGAGATATACATGACAACAATTAAGTGGACGTTTTCAAAAATTTTAAAGTATATCCATAATTTTAATCTCCTATACTTTTGCGTCGACAAAAGTGTAATGTAACTGTAAATTATATAAAAGAGGCCAATACTCTAATGCCACATACGTTATTTAGAGAAATATTCTAAACAGGTACAAAAGTTGGTGATCCTGAGGAGTTACGAGCGATTGAGGAAGTATTCTGCAGCGGCCGCTCGAAACCACTTATGATAGGCTCTATCAAGTCCAACTTAGGTCACACCGAACCTGTTTCCGGTCTAAGTTCCCTTGTTAAGGTATACGTAAGACCATTCCTTTTTTTTTCCTGCTTTTTATGATTTGTTTATGAAGTGTGAACTATTTATATCACAAAATAATTTTAGCCATGGACAAGGAAAACATGGTTTCTGTAATTGGTAATGATACTTAGACACGGTGCACGTATCAATCGTAAAAAAATAATATTATTTTGTTTTCTAGATGTGCATTGCGTACAACACAGGATTTATTCCACCAAATCTATATTATGAAACTCCAAGAGAGGGGTTCCCCTCATTAGCTGAGGGCCTTCTTCAAGTTGTTACAGAGAAGCAACCCTGGAATAGAGGCTTGTCTGGTATCAACAGTTTTGGTTTTGGCGGAGCAAATGCCCATATTCTTTTGAAAAACGCAGCTCCAGAAAAGGTGATTTACATATCCGTGATTTCATATCTATTCTGTGATGCGTTGTAGCTATTTGTAATTCTAATAAAATTTTATGCCTGACTTGGAATACATTTTGCCATGCAGGTAAATAACGGACTTCCAGCTGACGAGTTGCCTCGTCTAGTATGTGTTTCTGGACGCATAGACTCTGCTGTAACCAAAATACTTGATGACTTGGAGACTAGAACAGTGGACGTAGAAGAAGTTAGATTGTTACATGCCATCCACGATAAAAATATTGTTGGTCACAATGTTAGAGGATTTACATTATTAGGTAAATTAAGAGCAAATAGAATTATTAACATTTTACATTTCTTTTTTAATTTGGTATTCATTTAGAGTAACAATAGTAGGTAGTTTAATAGTACATTGGTATTGAAAATACGACTCTATACAATAGTATACTATAAACTCGTTTTTTGAATAATCTTTCCTATTGATTGGTTCTATAGGAAAAATAAAACAAAAAGTACTATACAAATAAAACTATTTACGATACTTTTTATTTTGTTTTATCTTTTTGTGTCTGATACCATTTTAATGCAATAGTGCTAGTACTAATTGTACATACATAATTATCTTTAGGATCCAACTACTGGGTATTGGTTTCTCTTCATAAGAGAACGTAATTAGCCTATATAGATTTTTTCTCGTTTTCTTTCCTACCTATTAATTTTAACTGTGTTATGGTTATTTGTTCTTCCAGTAAGCGAAGTATTTTTAGCTTCCAGTTTTAGAAGACGGTGTTCCCTAACAAAAAAATATGGTGGAACAAAGTACAATATAAACATATGTTACATAAATACATATCGTTTGTGTATGCACTAATTTATCTAATAACCAATGTGTTGTGTTCTTACTTTAAACTGTCATATTATATAAGTTAAGAGATTGGCTAACTTAAGAATATTTTTAGGCTCTACACCAAGTAAGAGCGTATGTCTCGCTCGCGATATCCGATACGTTTCTGGGATTCATCGGCCAGTGTGGTTGGTGTATTCAGGAATAGGATCGCAGTGGACTGGAATAATTCCAAATCTTTTGAAGATACCTGTCTTCGCTGCTGCTATAGATAAGTAAACATATTTTAATACTACTTAGAATGACCAACAAACTCAATATCTATAGATAATGGCAACATTATCTTTAGTTACAAACAATAATACCATATACTCGTATATTACAGTTAATCATGTGTTGTTTGCTACTTTGGAGATGCTTATATGTAATGTATGTTAACAGGAGAATCGATTATAAATTTAGAAGTAAAATTACATGATACGGTAGTATAATATTTAACAGAGGGAGACTTTGTACAAAAGTCGTTTGCTTGGCCACCTCTATTCCATTCGTGTTTCTACCGTAAAGAAGTTGTGTTTGCATGGCTGTTTATGGCAGTAAATTTACAAGGTACAGGGGAATAACACCTGAGTTCTTAGGAATGGCAACGCATGGACAACATCATGGGCAGTATCTTATACTGTGTAATCACCTAAGTTAGAAATAAAGGTTGTCTGGAAGAGATTGCTTAGCGATAAGGCCGCCTTTTGTATCATTTCTTATTACAGTTAAATATGTTTACTATTTTATAAATGGTGCAATAAAGTGTACATAAATAAATAAAAATAAATAAAGCGAATGGGTTATTGAAATTCAGTGGGCTATTCAAAATTTACTGCTCCTGCTGACTTCTGTAATTCGATATCTAGTTTAGAATCATATCAATTACAAATTTTGTCAATAAAATTATGAGTATAACTATTAAAAGCGCCGCCCTAGGCTTCAATCTACTCAGCCTGCTAGTAAATCCACCACTGAAAACTAATCAAACTTAATGATAAATAAATGAAATAATAAAATAAATAAGTTAAAATCATCGTTTCAGGTTTCACTTAAGAACTGAAAATACACACGGTTATCAATAAACAAAAGTCAGTGATGGTTTGAGTCATCGTTTATTATAAAGTTCCTGATATGAATGAATGTAATTTTTTATTGCTAACAATAAAAAATGACATGAAATAGTTTAAAAAACAAACGAGCATACTGTCCACCCGGTGGAAAAAGGCTCCCTTCATTTATACATACTCGTATTTGGTTTCACTTATTCCTGCTAATTTTATGCTTTGCAACATTATGGCAGAGAACCGAGAATTTTGTTTTAATATAAGTAATGTTATGTTACTATTAAGAAGATGTATATATAAGTATATAAGAAAGAGTTTCGCTGTATTCTTCCATATATGTATTTCAATCAACACGAAATATACAAAGTTATTTGGTCAATCATTTTTTACCTTGCTCGATCGCTTTCAATTCAACCGTCGTGTGTGACACAACTTATTTAAATGGTAAGTTGCAAAATTTTAACTTTGCAAATTATTTTTTTACAGATGTCACGAAGCACTAGAGCCTAAGGGTGTTAATTTAACCAAAATAGTCACAGAACATAACCATACAAATTACGACAACATCTTGAACACCTTTCTTGTTACTACAGCGATTCAGATTGGTCTTACGGATGTACTAAAATCTGTTAACATACAGCCTGATTACATTATTGGTAAGTATTTTAATGTATTCAGAGATCCTTTAAATAAAAAAAAATTGTATTATGTAACACACTTGCAATGTGGTCCCGGCATAAAATAAGCCACCCCTTCCTTTCCCATGGGTGGCAAGCGTGAAAACTACTGGCAAAGACCCCTAAGCAGGAGGTTTATGTTCAGCAGTGAACAGTTAAAGGCTGATGATGATGATGATATAACACGAATTATTTATTTATTGTATAAATCTACACTTATCATTATTTCCACAGGTACCTAATACAATAGTGTAACTCTGTTAATTTTGTAAGTACTTTGTATGTGCTTGTTTGTGAATGATATTATTTTTTTGGAACCAGACAACAGACATCTAGGGTCTAAGTTCGTTTTCAAAATTTCACCCGACCAAGAATCAAAACTGTAGCCTCATTTACGCAAAGCGACGTACCTGTCACTGCGTGGTCAGTTCATCTCAAATGAATTTTATAAAGCAGAATGTACTTTTCTAATAATGATATATTCACATCGATTGTACAGAGCTTCTCAAAATAGGGCAACAGTAACAAAAAATTAAAACATCACTTAGACAAGTTATTGAATTTTTTTTTATTTTGTAAAAATCTAACGTAGACGGAATAAAATTAACGCACAAATATGTATAGTTAGGTTTGTCATTATTTCGTTGTTATTTTTAAACACAGAGATGCAGACACACCTGCTTCACAGTTTTTACCGTGAAGCAGTTGTGTTTGCATTTCTGTGTTTCGGATTCAAGGGTTTTTTTTTATGGGTGAAAATGGAATGGTAACCCCGCCTGCGCTAACGGGATACGCTAGCGGAGCACCAGTGAAGGGTGATAGATGAGAATGAAAACAGTTAGCCCATCATGATGAATTCATCAGGAATTAACCATGATAGTTTCCAGGGGGAACCGCGAGGAGGTCGACCTGGTTGGGTATATTGCTAGCAATGGGATTCTTAGTCTCCATTACTAACAATCCCTTTCCCCCCCGGATTGAAGGGTGGATCGTTCGGCAAAAAAAAATTAAACAGCAAGTTCAAATCACATCAACGCAAAAATAGTCGTTGCATTGAAAATCACTGGTCAGAATCATAATCCTCCTTTTTGCTTCGTCTTAGTCGGGTCTTTAGTAAAGGGACTTTAGAATGTGGATTTGTGTATCTACAAATTCTCAAGAAGCACTCGTTAAAATCGTAAAGAAATACCTATTAACTTTGGCACAGAATTATGACAAACAAATATAAAGGCTAACATCGGAGTAAACCCTATCGGTTAAAAAAGTCTATCAATACTCATTCAGAATTTTCAACTCAATTACTTGACATCGTCATAAAAAATACAGATATTAGACTCAATTCTAAAAACCTTAATCCTCAGGAATGGCAACGCATAAAGGATACTATAGTTCTTGTCTATAGGTGACGGTTACCACTTTCTATCAGGTGGGCCATCAGCTTGTTTGTCATTCCAAGTTGCATAAAAAGACCATCCTTATAACTCTCTTAAAAAGCAAAAAACTTAAATCCTTACAGGATATGGTATCGGAGAGTTGGTGTGCGCGTACGCTGATGACTGTTTCACAATTGAACAGACAATACTTGCGGCCTACTGCCAAGGCCTGGCATTTACTGAAGAACAGCTGGTTGAAGGATCCATGGCTACACTTAGTGTGGGTTATGATAAGGTGAATGATTATTAACTAGCTTCTATCTGTGACCTGGCCTATGTGACTAGAATGGTGATTAATCTAAATAAATAGTAACCTATGTACTTCTTCATCGCTTATAATGCATGTATATGATATCATGATGAAAGGTTGAACCGTTAAGGCGCTAAGAGGTGACAAATAACCTCACTTTCACATTTATAAAATTAGTAAGGATCAGTAACTAATTAATTTCTAACTCATAGTAAGTGGTGTAAGTTATATGTTATGCTTGTTATACAATATAGCACATTAACTTCTACACCTAAAATTGTTTTTTCAACCATCTTCAATTTTCTATTGAAGTTCTCAATTCGGTGGTATTTTGTTTTATATTTGTTACCTCATAACTCTGCCAGTTCTAAACAGTTTCTTTTTTAATCGGCAAGGATATACTTACACATCGGTTCTATAGAAATTTAATCAAAATCAATTCTGTACATTAGTTTTTAAAACATAATAACTGGTTTTGTTGAAAATTGAAGTCGGTTTTTTTTGTAGGACACAATCTTTATAAACGCTCACCCTGTACTTGGCATCTCAAAATTCTATCGAATCTAAAATCTCCGCTGCTCTATTTTAAAATATATTCAAATTAGAAATATTCAAGGGATTGTTAGTAGTAGAGTTTAACATCCCTATTTCTTATTAGAATATATGCGCTATCAGATCGACTTTCACACGGTTTTCCATTCACTACGATTGGCCAGTTGTCCTGTTTCATTCTCACCTATCATCTCTCACTGGTGCTTTGTCAGTGTATACTTATAAACCTGGCGGAGGTCATACCATTATCATCCATTGAAAAAATTCTGACCCACGAAATTAAAGTACCATTTCTCGTGTTTATGACAGATTAAATCAATGTGCCCACCCGAGATTGATGTAGCTTCACGTAATAGTCCCAACTCCGTTACAATCTCCGGCCCAGCGGATACCATGAAGAGGTTCATTGACAAAATGTCTGCTCGAGGAATACCCGTAGAAGAAGTATCATGCTCTAACATCGCATATCATTCGCGATACGTTGCTAAAGCTGGTAAGATGTAACAGATATACTAATTGTTTTTTTTTTAACAATAAAAATAGACATGGCTGTCATCGCAGATTAAATAGTATGGCCGGTGTTGCTATTTGATAAAATTAAAATAGTCATGGACATCCGCTGTTGGTCTATTGATTTGTTTTAATTATATACTATGTATTTTAAATTTTATGATCTGATACTGTTTAGTAGTTTATATTTATAGAAATTTAATATATATTTGATTAAACTTTTTGAAAAAAGCAATGGCTGTGTGTCTTGCCTGTTAATGGCTGAAACTGCGTTCCGAATGGGCGTTAATGGAAATTCAAAATGGACTATTCAAAAATGTTTAAATCTAAGTTTACTTGAATGAAAAATATTTCTTTCTTTCATAACAAATTACATTGGAATACCAATAACACTATGTATTACTAATCCTTATGAATATGGATATTCTTGTACTAGAATTTGTATTGCCAAATCAAAAAAGAATGAAACTACCAAATTGCAGAAATCAGGAGTCATGCAATCTTAACTAACGAATGTTCAATAAAGTTCTATATATAAAATATTTATTTATTAGTATTAAACAATATTTCAAATAATTATGATTCAAGTATTCATTTCTTAATTTTAACTGCCTTCTAGGTACAATGCGACAAATTTTGAAAATAAACAAAAAAGAATTTAAATAAATGAATTATGTCTATATAAATTATGAAAATACAAAATAATTTATACACAAATAAGTTCCTTAATGTTCTGCAATAGGAAACAGACTTCTGAAGTATCTAAAGAAAATCATTCCATCGCCAAAAACCCGTTCAAAATGCTGGCTGTCCACATCGGTTGCACAGTCTCAATGGAAGAGTTCCAAAGCGGAGCTGTCGTCTGCAGAATATCATACAGATAGTCTGTTGGTAAGTTGTATATTAACATTATATGGATATACTTAATAAAAGTAGCAAAAAATATTGTAATATCATAAAATAATTATTATAATGTACATCATCGTCACCATCATCATATCAATCGGTAACTGTCCACTGCTGAATACAGGCCTTCCCTTTAGAGAGTTTCTCCGGTAGTGGCTCCACTTGGCAGACAAGTTGGTAAGAACAGTTAAGCTTTTGGACGCTGCTGGTCATCCCTCGACCTTTAAGTGTCCTTAATTGCTTCTTACGACATCCACGAGAAGGGAAGGGGTGGTCCATTCTATGCCGGGACCACACGGCGTTATATATTCATAAATATAATGGATTTTTTTTTATACATCTTAGAATGGCTAACAAGCTGACGGCCCACCTGATGGAAAGTGGTAACCGTCGCCTATAGACATGAGCAGTACCATGGACATAACAGAATGTACTGTTTCGCCCATGATACCCCCCATGCGTTGCCATTCCTGAGGACTCAGGTGTTATTCCTCTGTACCCTGTAAATTCACGCCATATCCCACCCTTCAAACCGAAACACAGCCATGCTTGCCATGCACAACTGCTTCATGGTAGAAACACGAATGGGACAGAAGTACCCACGCAATCGACTTTTGTACAAAGTCTCTCTCTGGTAATAATGTATACCTTGACAATATACTTATTTGGAAGCTTATTTATTACTATTAATGTTTACTTGTGAATATTTACCAACAGAACCCAGTTTTCTTTGAAGAAACCTCGCGTCTTATTCAACCAAATGCGATCACCATCGAAGTGACGCCACACGATTTGTTCCGAACCTTTCTTCAGCAGCCTTCAAAGAAGGATATCATCAACATATCTCTTCTCCAGAAGGATAATGAAGATAACGTTCGAGTTCTCCTCATAGCTCTCGGAAAGTAAGTGTTCATATTTATAAAAATATCAATATATTTGTAATTTGTGAAAGATATTTTTTTATGCAACTTAGAATGGCAAACAAGCTGACGGCCCATCTGATGGAAAATGGTAACCGTCGCCTATGGACATGAGTAGTACCATGAACATAACAGAGTATACTGTTTCACCCATGATACCTTCCATGCGTTGCCATTCCTAAGGACTCAGGCTGAATTTTCGGTTAATACATTTGTATGTTCCGGTTGTATGTCTAATTCTACAAAATATTTTCACTATATTATTTTTTTCTCAGGCTATATGAATCGGGATTGAATCCACACCTAGCGAACCTTTATCCCCACGTATCGTTTCCAGTGTCACAAGGCACACCGATGTTGTCACATTTGGTGGAATGGGAGCATAGTGAAGATTGGTATGGATTTCAAATTTACTATATCCTAATAATACATTAAGAACTCTTTTTTATCTCTGTTGATAGTAAGTTTCAATAAAGTTTTTTATGATTACGAATACGCAGAGGTATGCATCTTGTTATGTATAAATTAGGCTCTGGATTTAATTTTTGGAATTGTCATTGGTCAATTAAGTAAAAGAACTCTATTGGCTCAAATTTGTGCATTTTGGGTTATGCCAGCAAGTATTAATTGTCTGATGCCTCATAACACAGAATGTTCGGTTTTTATGCTCTCCTATCACCACTCACTGGTGCCCGGCCAGCATATCCTGATAGCGCAGGCGGGGTTACCATTCCATTATTTGATCTCCACGAGATCCATGACATTTAAGAAGAACAGAGTTGGCTCAGCAAACTCCCCTCTCTCTTGCATTAACACTACTCAATGATGTTTTGAACTAGTTTCCGCAATTAGACGTGTTTGCCTCCAACTTGCTGGAGTTTCATTGGATGGCTACAGAGTGTTTGTATTCAGAGATTTAAGATCTAATGTTATTTATATTATTGTTATGTGAGTTAAATCTTATTCATATTATTCTTTTTAATTATAGATATCTGTTATTGTACTGATGCTTTCCTGGATGAGCATATTGGGAGACTGTAAAGCCCACCCAGTTGTAGAAATAAATAAATTATCATCCACTAAGAAGAATACAGTATCTCTTAGCTTGAAAACTAGATACATGGCATGAATGTGTGACATTTGATCATATTCATTGCGATGCGGATGACAGTACAGGGAATTCACTCGATTAAGTTCCGATCAAAGGCGAACACAATTTTGCCCAATTTAACCTTTAAAAGACACAAGTCTACACGTTCACCGCAAAAAAGACGCCGTTTGTCGTATCTCCTCACTTTCAAAGCACTTCCCTTGATAATTAATAAGGAGTTACCATTCCATTAAATGGAAAAACTCAAACCTTCGCTAAAAAATCAGTTATTAATGCATTTTTGTATGGTAAATAGACAATAATCCCTTGTTTTCTTATTATTTTACCGTGGTCAATACGTGACAACGTTACGTTGATTTTCAGGTACGTGGCATCTTTTAATGGTGATGCAAAAAGAGATTGTATGGAGTGCTTGATTAAAATCTATATTGAGGGCGACGAATACGAATACTTGACGGGTCATGTTGTTAATGGTAAGAACATTGGTGTAGATATATAAAAACAAAAGTGAAGACTTGAAAGTGCTCGTAAACGTGTTTATTTGAATAAATATGATTAGAATTGAGATGTAAATTTTGACTTTAAACTGAAAGAAAGCATGAACGTGAGAAAATTATAAAAAGCCTGATTTTGGGTAATTATTATAAGTGATATTTTTTATGCAATTTATTACAACGTATCCTACAGCAATGGAAAGCGTGCTAACTACCCACCTTATTGAAAGTGGTAACTATTGTCTTTAGACATACATACCATAGAATGAACTGTGATTCTCATGCATTGCTATTCCTGAGCGCTATGGTATTATATCAGTGTATTCTGTGATTTCATTGCCATGCCCTATTTTTCCGCCCCGTGTGGTCCTGGCATAGAATAGGCCACCTTTTGCTTTCCCTTGGGGGCTTAAGAGGCGACTAAGGAGGGCGAGATATGGGCAGCAGCGTCCCTCTTATAACATCTTTAAAGCCCAACTGCAATTGCCAATCCGCCTGCCAAGCGTGGCAACTACTGGCGAAACCTCCCTAGGAGGAGGCTTACGTTCAGTAGTGGACAGTTAAAGACTGATATGATGATAATCCCATTTTTCCGATCAAAATACAGCACAGTTACTTCATGGCGATAATGCGAATAGAACAGAGCTAACTAATTTGACGGCTGCTGTACAAAGTCTCCCCCTGGTAGACTACTGATGAAAATAAAGTTATACGCATCCATTTTAAAAGAATGTTCTAGTTTTTTTATGCAACTTAGAATGACAAACAAGATGACGGCTCACTTCATTGTATTTTTTATTCATTCATGAGCACTTCATTGTTTTTATTTCTGAAATCCACGCGTACGAACTAAATAGCAAAAAGCTAGAACATAATAAATTTGACCTGACATATATTTTTTTTTTAATGAAAATAATAATATTTACAATATTTTTCACCAGGCAGCAACCTCTACCCGGCTACCGGGTATCTAGTTCTCGTATGGGAGACGCTTACTACGATGATAGATATGCCTGATGATAAATCTGTTGTCTTCGAGGATGTTCGTTTTAAGAGAGCAACTCCTATCCCTAAGAATGGACATTTAAATTTTTTCATTGCAATACATAAAAATAGTGGTAATTTTGAGGTAAGATTTATTTTGTACTAGGGCAACACTGATAAATATACTCCACATGATGTAACATTAAAGGTATCATACGCTGCCTAGTTTTATAACTTGGAAGAAATGTAAGTAAGCTCTTGGTAAAAAATATTGTTGAAACTTATTACAATATTGTACACCGCTCTACCCGCTGACATTGATGCTCCTTTCCATTTACAGTTTGCTGGAAGAGAACTCTTTTACAGTTAAGCTCGCTGCATATTTACTTACCTCTGTCATATTTTTATGTATTATCAATGTGTACAATAAGGTACAAAATAAATAAGACTTCTGCAATCACAGTGCTTAGTAATTTCATAATCGAATTATTGTCGAAAAAGGAAAGGAAAAATGTTGTATTTGAAATATTGTGTTACATATTTTCATCCAAAATACTACAAAATCTAAAAACAAGTTTCTCTCTCTCTCTCTCTCCCTATATATATATATATATATATATATATATATATATATATATATATATATATATATATATATATATATCATGGCATTTTCTATAATGACCTGTGATCATGTGTTTTTCAAGTTCATACGTGAAAATTACCACTCATTCATTCATTCATTCATATATATATATATATATATATATATATATATATATATATATATATATATATTGAAAACAACGGAAGCTCTAATTTATTCTAGATTGTTGAAAGTGGGATGTCTATTGTAACTGGACGGATTTATCCAAAGAAAAACGTTGGACGAGATTATCGTGTATTGCCTACACCAACTGAAGTTTCTGGGCCTAACGTCAAACATATACTTAGTAAAGATTTCTACAAGGAAATGAATCTTAGAGGATATCAGTACAGGTAACGCATTTTTCGATCGACACTGTAAAAACCAAAAATCTAATTAAACGGTTCTACGGTGGATAATAGACAAAAGTTTATTTTAAACTTTCGCGTTGTTTACACATATTTTAAATACACAATTTGGGACTTAACGTCGACGTTTCGACGTGGATTGCACCACGTCGTAGTCACGACAGGACAATAAAATAATTGTCAATAAAAAAGCAGGCATCTAAATACTATTTATCTGCAAAGGTTGTTTCATCGCGTTAAGTCTCAATTGTGTATTTAAAATAATAGCCAGAAGTTCAAATTTACTTAGAGTCAACTATGCATATTCGAATCAAATTATGTTTATAATGAGATTATGTATAGTTGTATTTGTTATTATTGTAGATTTGTTTATCTACCGGAGGGAGACTTTGTACAAAAGTCGATTGCTTCGACACCTCTGTCTCATTCATGTTTCTACCGTGAAGCAATTGTGTTTGCATGGCTGTGTTTCGGTTTAAAGGGTGGGGTATGGCGTGAAATTACTGGGTATAGCGGAATAACACCTGAGTCCACAGAAATGACAACGCATGGGGGGTATCATGAACGAAACAGAAAACAAAAGAAAACAACATGTCTATAGGCGACGGTTACCATTTTCCATCACGTGGGTCGTCAGCTTGTTTGCCATCCTGAGTTGTATAAAAAAAATTTTTTCATCAGGTTGCAGTTTAAATTGAATACGCAAAGTATTTGTTGTTGGATATATAATTTAACTACGAAACACTACATTATTTTTTAAACCTCATCTTTTCTATAGAGGCTTATTCCGTGGAGTATTAGGCTGCAATATTGAAGGCACCCGTGGTCGCATTGCCTGGGTCTATAACTGGGTTACATTCTTGGACTGCATGCTGCAACTCAAGATCATTGAGAACGACACACGTAATCTCTTCGTACCGACCAGGATAGCAAAATTGTCTATTGATACTAATATGCATAACAATTTTGCGTCCAAAATGAACACAGACAAAATGCAATCCTATGAGGTTCGAGTGTACCCTGCTGTAAATGTTATCAGGTAAATTAATTGAAGTATGCAGTTTCATATTAAAAAAAAGGAGTGATATCAATTAAGGGACAGAATATTTTCTAGTATATTTTATTAATTACTATATAAATTAAATATTTTAGATCTGGAGGTGTAGAAATTCGGGGTCTACATGCGACACCAAGTTCTAAGAGAATACCATTGGGTCTACCTGTATTAGAGAAATACGAATTTGTCTCTAACTATGGAAGAGACAAGATGAAGGTAGTCATTTAATAAACAATATATGGTGACCATTATAAATAAATTTAATTGTGGGTTTATTATTTGTTTAACCTATGTTTATATCAATATATTTTTTATTTAGCTTCAAGACTGTCTCCGTGCTAATATTCAATTGATTCTTGAAAATGTACAAACATATAGAGTTAAGGCAATTGAATTGATTGATGAAGAATACGGAAAACATGATTTGCACCCTATAGCGGAAGAAATTTCCAAAATCCTTAGTGACATACCGTTAGTGCAAGCAGAATTGTTTCTGGTATGTGATAAAGCAATTAAAGCGCCACTGTCTATAATTGTAGAAAACAAACCACTTCATGCATATTCTAATGCAGTGTTATTCGTTGGAGCTAATCTACTAAAAAGACATAATGTAAGTCCATTTATTCATCTATATATTATTAAAGTAAGGGAACGTGTGGAGTCTAAAATAAAATGTATAATTTTAAAGCTAATAAGCAATCAAATTATTTATTTGACGAGGTAACAAATTTTAATATTATAGGCCCTTTACATATAACAGAGTAACAATTATAGCAAGGACCGTCATTCTTTTATTGTATAATTTATTTTATGCGCACTGGCTCTGGAAATATGTACTTCTCTCTCAAAAAGTATACAATTATAATATGTGTCATTATTATGTAAGTCTATTAGGTTTCTTATTATAAAACTCTGTTTTTCATTAAATTTCTAAAATTATCATCATGTTAATACGAGTACATCATAGTGTACTTGAAATATCAAGTTGTTTTATTACAAATACATCTAATCTGTCATTATTTCAGCATTCATTATCGATTTTGAAAAATATTACTTACTCAGCTCCTTACCTTAAGCAAGTTTTTTATTACTATTTTATTCTACTTTGCAGGTATTAACTCAAGCGGTAGCTACTCTTCGCGACAAATGCTTTATTATAAGCCGAGAGCAAATACGTCCAGATCCCAATGAATACTCAGATGTATATGATATTATTACAATCCAAGATATTGGATCGGAATATATTGTCCTTTTGAGAAAATGTATAAGTCCTCCGTCAGTTGAGTTCATCAAAATAGAAACTGCAGATGAAAACTTTCATTGGATTGAAATAGTTAAAAATAAAATTAATACAGCTCAAAATGTTGTGTTGTATACACAAAATGAAAGTATTAATGGACTTTTAGGACTTGTAAATTGTCTGAGGAGAGAACCGGGTGGAGAAACTGTTAGTGGTTTACTAATATCCGATCCAGCAGCGCCTGAGTTCAATCATGATTTAATGTTTTATAAAAAACAATTACAAAAAGGTTTAGCGATCAACGTTTACCAGGATGTAAGTAATAAATATGCGGAACTGTAATTCAGGGATTTGCGTAAATTACAAGTACTAATATATATTAATAAATTACTAATTTAAATGTATGGTAACATTTTAACCATATTCAAAAAACGATGGTGTTCTAATATCGGTTGTATTTTTTGTTTATTGCCTCTTAACTCCATCATTTATAAACCTATTCGATAAGTTATTTTTTTGTGTGATTTTGTTTTAATTCTTAAATCAACATAACTAGTTTTGGCACAATTGAATTCGGTTCTTTTTATAGAACACAATCTTAAATTATTTATCTAGTACAGTACCATATTAATCATCATTAATGGTATTCTTTTATGACAATTATATTTACAGGGACAATGGGGCACCTACCGTCACTTGCTCCTAGGCAATCTAGATAGAGTTAGCGCGCACCACGCCTTTGTTAATGCTTTGACTGTTGGAGATCTATCTTCACTAAGTTGGATCGAAGGTCCAATCAGAAAGGACATGATTTATAAAGATCGTACTCCTGTACTTGTACATGTAAGTATACAAACATAAAATAACTTATTATTAATTTGCAACAATATATATATATAGATTATAAAATACATCAGATCAACATCAATTTAATTTCTATTAATTAAATATGTGGCCAACTGCATTAAATGACTAAATCAAAATAATGGAATGTAAAATAATAACTAGTACTGCCGAATATAAACTTGTTTGCTGTCCTAACAAAAGTTAAATATGAATATTGGTGGTCGTAATAGTAGAAGAAAATGCAGAAAAAGATGGATAGACTGTATAAAAGATGTCATAGCTAGACAAGGGAATAATGTGATTACTGCAAAATGGAGATTATGGAAAAGGAAATAATTACGTCAATTCTAAACAGAAAGAGAAAGAATAATAAGATGATGATTGAGATGACGTTATTTTTAACGTCCTACATCACCTCCAATCACTATTCTTTCACATTTTATTTACTGTCAATATTAATTGAGGAAATTTGTAATCCAATAGTTGATTTCTTTTAAGGTGTATTACGCAGCTTTGAATTTTCGTGATATCATGACAGCAACAGGCCGCGTGACAGCAGACGCTTTTGCTACTGGCAGGCTTGAGCAAGAGTGTGTGCAGGGCTTGGAAATTGTTGGACGTACACAAAAGTTTGTTTTACATAAATTCATGTTTATTTTCGGATTATTTTTTTAATACAAGGTAAAATTGAAGTCATTATCCCATACTAACTTAACAACTGGACGCGTCATGGTCATTTTTTTTTATTATCAATTCATATTCTCTTGAGGAAATAATTGAATTTTAGTTGCAAAATACTGCCTGATAATGATTTAAATTTCACTCTGCATATATACATTTAATCAAAAACATAAAATGTAACAAAATGCCAAGTCTCACAACACAGTTCTTAAACTACAAAAAATTGTGAGATCTCATGTAAAACCAAGTCAGTTGTTTTAGTTAGTATCTATGGAAGCACAAACTCAACAACTTTGTTACGATGCGACTCATGACACTTTGTATACGGCACGGTAAAAATAAATTCATCAAGGCGCACGGCAGTGCAATTTATCTTTACGCCAAGTTCTTGTAGGGTGGATAAAGATAGCAGAATACTAAACCCTTTATCCTCATATATATCTCTTACTTGCTTTCATAACTTGTCACATAAATAGATACCGTATTACTGAGCTCTGAAGGTAAGAATGGTCTGCGCTATTCTGATATCATTTGGAAGGTCCAAAGTCTAGCAGCTTGAATTCTAAATTAAAGGATTTGGTATAGGGATTGGAGTTGTGGATGGGTATGGATATGTTAGCAGTGTATCATTTTCTATATAAATATTATTGCTAATAAATATATTGCAAGCATTTTTTTTCAAATAGTGGTTCCCGAGTCATGTGTATGGTGAAAAAGTTTGGCATAGCCAACATCGCAGAAGCTAAAGATTGGTTTACCTGGTGCATTCCGGATGAGTGGAGCTTTGAGGAAGCGGCAACCGTACCGGTTACCTATACAACCGCCTACTATGCAATGGTCAGTATTATAACATTGTTATTTTTTTTTTATTAAGCGTCATATGATCACACCAATCCTTTGGTACATCAAGCTAGTATACCCTGCGTTATGAGCAAATAGAAAAAGAACATTTGAGGAAACGACCGGACCCGAGTTATTACAGTTTTCTAAATTCTCTCGATCGGAAGTTTAATCCGGGATCTACAGCAATGTGCCTACCTTTGCATCTTGATGTCATCAGACTTATTTGCCAACCAAAAAATTATTACCCATCCACAACTCCCATCCCAACACCAAATCCTTCAAAAAGAAGAAGTTTTCCACTTTGGTTGTACTTTTTTACGTTTGCTACCTATCAATTAATTATAAACTGGATTGAAAAATTCTTTTTTATCTGAAAAGATATACTTACATTTTTTTTTCTATGGGTGATAATGGAATGGTAACACTGCCCGCGCTATCAGTATACACCGGCGGGGCACCAGTGGCATGATAGGTGAAAATGAAAGCAAGTCAGTTGGCCCACCATGATGAATTTGAGAAGAATTAACCATGATGGTTTCCATGGGGGAACTGCGTGGAGGTCAACCTGAGAGGGTGCATTGCTAGTAATGGGGCTATTAGACATCATTACTAACAAGCCCTTTCTCTGGATTCTCTTATGGAATCAATCTGTACCTTTCCTTTAAGTATAGGGGATATTTAAAGATTGATTACATAGAGGTCAATTTGTATTGTTTTTTTTTTTTTGTATAATACAACATTAAATTATTTTTTAAATTCTGATTCCATTAGGTAATAGTGGGGCATATGCAACGTGGTGAATCCATCCTCATACATGCGGGCTCAGGCGGAGTTGGACAGGCCGCTATCAATTTAGCGTTGTTTTATGGCTTGGAAGTGTTCACCACAGTCGGGACACCGGAAAAAAGGGCGTTTATCAAGAAAATGTTTCCACAAATCAAAGGTTATTGCCTCATCACCTTAACATACACCTTATAATCATCATATATCATACCAGCCTTCAAATGTTCACTGCTGAGTATAAGCCTCCCCCTTGGGAGGGTTTTGCCAGTAGTTTCCACGCTTTGCAAGCGGATTGGCAACCGCAGTTAGGCTTTGGAGATGTTTTAACAGGGACGCAGCTTCCTCCCTCCCTAAGTCCTCCCTAACTCTCCTCTTACGACACCCACAGGAAAGGAAGGGGTGGTCTATTCTATGCCGGGACCATACGGATTTTTTTTATACAACTTAGAATGGCAAACAAGCTGATGGCTCACCTGATGGAAAGTGGTAACCATTGCCTATAGACATGAGCAGTACCATGGACATAACAGAGTATACTGTTTCGCTCATGATACCCCCCATGCGTTACCATTCCTGAGGACTCAGGTGTTATTCCTCTGTACCCAATAAATTCACGCCATATCCCACCCTTCAAACCGAAACATAGCCATGCAAACACAACTGCTTCACGGTTGAAACACGAATGGGATAGAGGTACCCAAGCAATCGACTTTTGTACAAAGTCTCCCTCTGGTAATATACCTTGATATTTTTTAATAATCCTACTATAATATTATTGTAAATACAAAAGTTAATGAATATTTAGGATTTGTTCCTGCTTCTTGCAAAAACTACTAAACGGATTTGCATGAAATTTGGTATACGGGTGGATTTTATCTTGATACTCGTATATAGCATACTTTATATACTAATATATGTGAGAGAAACTATGAAAAATAACTAGTAATAATAATAGTACAGTTTTTAACGAAAGATATGCTCTTGAGAAAGGACTGTATATTTTATGAAATAATAAAACGGTCGCTGCTAGTGGTAGAGAAAAATATAATAATGAATCATGACATTGTCAGATATCAAAAAACAAAATAAAAATATAAAATTTAAAAATATTCTCTAAAAAGGTGCGTTCTGCACATGCTCCCCTCTTAAACAGATGGGAACAACCCTTTTACAGGTCTACGAATTACGCTTGCCTGGGTATCGATGTCCACGACCCGTGTCACGCCGTCCCTGCACGGGTACAAAGTCGTAACTAGGCCTTTAGGCTAAGTACCTCTTGATAACGTTCCGTCCACGACTATGACGACGTCTCCAACTGAAATTTGTGGCACTTGTCCTACAAATCTTCGTGGTGATAGTGTGGGCAAATACTCTGTAATCCAACGCTTCCAAAAGTGATCAGCCATTCGCAGTGCTCTTCTCCAACCAGATCTACTGCACATGTCACTGTCGGTTAAGTTGGCTGGAATAGGACGACCTGAGGAGTAGCCTAATATAAAATGAGATGGTGTGAGGGCTTCAGGATATTGTGGATCACATGCGACGTGCGTTAGGGGCCGTGAGTTTACCAATGCTTCTGCCTCGCAAAGTAGGGTGGTGAATACTTCATCGGTGGGCGATCTTGTATTGTTGCCTAAAGTTACTTTTAATGCTGTCTTTACAGACTTCACAAGCCTTTCCCATGATCCTCCCATGAAAGGAGCTGATGGAGGGATGAATTTCCATTTGATCATTTCACCCGCAGCAAACTCGGACATCGCTTCTGAATACAAGGCTCGAAGCTCTCTATTCGCGCCCACAAAACTGGTTCCATTATCAGAATGGATTTCTGAAGGTGTGCCGTGGCGAGCTATAAATCGTCTTAAAGCCATTATTGCTGCATCTGATGAAAGCGAGTGGACGATCTCAAGATGGATTGCGCGAATGGTCAAGCACGTAAATAAGGCCACATAACGTTTCTCTCTTCTTCGACCAACTGCTACTGTTACAGGACCGAAATAATCTAGTCCCACAAACGAAAAAGGTCTACAATGGTGGGCAAGTCTGGCCTTTGGAAGGTTGCCCATAGGTGGTTGGAAAGTAATAGATCTACGAACCTTACAAAACTGACAGTTATATGCGACTGACCTCACGGTGCTCCTAAGGTTTATTATCCAATATATTTGCCGCAATTCGTTCACGACCATTTCTGTGTTAGCATGAGCCGCCTTGCGATGGTAGTGTAATACAAGTAACCGAACAGCAGGATTCTTTCCATCGAGTAATATTGGATGCTTCATATCTTCTTGTATTCCAGAGACAGCTACAATGCGTGTTGATAGACGTAAAACGGAATGTTTATCAATAATAGCTGGCAGTTTCGATAACCTACTACGGTGTGACACGGGTAAACCGTTTTGAATACATTTGATCTCTTGTGAGAAAGAATCTAATTGACTTTTACGTAGCACATGAATTTCTGCCAAATGTAAGTCTTCCGCGGTAAGTGTGCTACGTATTGTATTGCGTTGTCGATCAACGTTTGAGTTGGATGGCGGACGAAAAGAAAAAATGCGGCCTTCTACTTTATGAATAAGTTCTATATTCAGGCCTTTTTTTCTTAATGAAGTAAGACGTAACAATGATAAGTAACGATGAGCATATGCTGTGGCACGAATTAAACGATTCCACGAACTAAAACGTTGTGCGTCTGCTGAAATTGGCTTATTCGACTCAATTTCGTTAATGAGATGTATGTGAGTCTCGGGTGTATTAGTATGGATGGTTTGATTATGGGAAACAGCAGGTTCCTTAGGCCAATCAGAAGTTAGAAGAAATTCAGGTCCTTTTATCCAGCGTGAGTCTGAAGTTAAAGGGCCTCGGCTTAAACGTGTTGAATCATCGGCAACATTATAAGCGGTTGGAACCCAGTGCCACTCACTAACATCTGAAAGTTCTATTATCTCACCTACTCTATGAGCTACAAATGTCTTGTATGATCGTGCATCATTACGAAGCCAACCCAAAACGTTCATCGAATCGCACCAAAATGTGCGCTTAAGTGGTTTAAATTTGACTGCTTCTACGATGGTTGTAGCTAGACGTGCGGCTATTAATGCAGCTTGCAACTCTAATCTAGGAATACTAGATGGTTTTAAAGGCGCTACACGTGACTTGCTACAGATCAATGCAAGTTGTACGTCTCCATTAGGATAAACGAAGCGCCAATATGCCACCGCTGCGTAAGCCTGAGCGCTGGCATCGGCAAAGACGTGCAACTCTATTTGATTTGGTTTCAACCTATGAAAGTTATAACAGCGCGGTATTTTTATCTCGGCGATAATAATTAATTCTTGAAACCATTCCTTCCAGGCTATGGCTTCAGAAGGAGGGAGCTCCGTGTCCCAATCCAAATTCATACGCCAAACGTTTTGAAATAAAATACGACCGCGAATAACAACTGGAGCGAGGATTCCTAATGGATCGAAGACTCGCATAATTAAAGACAATATAATACGTTTAGTAAGCGAACTAGGCAAAGTTTCTTGATTACTTTTAATAGAAGTGTTAAAGCCTATAAGGTCGCTAGATGGGTGCCAGTATAATCCTAGAGCGCGGATGCATGGTGTAGACGACGGAAAATTCGCTAAGTTTAGGTTAATATTAGATACCGATTCTGATAAAAGATGATTTGGCAACAGACGGAGCGCTTTAGGGTCATTGGATACCCATCCACGCATCTCTAAGCCTGCGCGCGCATGAATGTTGACAATATCTGCCGCCAACTGAGCTGCTTCATCACTAGAATCTACTGAACCGATATAATCATCCATGTAAGTATCGTATATAATACCATGAACCGCGTCGGGATATTGATCTTTAAACTCTAGAGCATTTTTATTTTTCATATATATAGCTGTAAAGGGGCTAGAAACTGCTCCGAAGATCATTGATGACATTCTATAGGTTTCTATAGGATCAGTAGGGCTGTCGCGCCAGAGAAAGCTTTGAGCATCTCTATCCTGTTCGATAATTTTGAACCTAGGGAACATTTCCTTAATGTCTGCAGTCATAGCTACTTTACCCTCTCTAAAACGAAGTAAAATGTCGATTAGAGATTGCAGTAAATCTGGACCCGTAAGTAGAAGTGAATTTAAGCTAACACCTTTGATTTTTGCGGCAGCATCGTGTACTACTCGTAGTTTTGCCGGTTTATTGGGGTTTATTATGCCAAAATGAGGTAAAAACCAACATACAGAATTAGAAGAAGGTTCATTTTGACATTTCTCGGCATAATCTTTAGTAACGAGATCGCGAATATTTTGTTTATAACGCTCAGCATAAGTAGGATCACTGATCATTTTCTTTTCAAGACTTAAAAAACGCGATAAAGCAAGAGGATAGCTGTTAGGAATGACAGGATTATTAGATTTCCATAATAAACCGACTTCGAATCTACCGCACGGAAGACGATTAGCTGTACGTTCTAAAATTTCAATAGCGCGTTCATCATCTGCACTACGCGGTTCTTTCTTAGTAATTCCTATCGAATCCAACTTATAATAATTTTTTATAAGATTTTCCAATAAATCTGTCTTGTTAAAATCTGTTTCATTACACTGAACATGATTCACTAAATCAACTGGACTAGTTTTACTACTACTAAAACCGAATAAAACCCAACCAAGAGCAGTGTTAATTGCAGCTGGTTGCGTTCTCGTACCTTTCAGTATGGATTGCGGTATGGTAAGATGCCAGTTATCGATACCGATCACAATTTTTGGTTGTGCATTCTCATAACATAAATAGGAAGCCAAATCGGAAAGGTAAGAAAATTTACTAATATCTTGGGGACAGACAGACTGTTTAGCTAATTGTAAATCTTTTATAGAACGAGCCTGCTTGACTTGATACGTCTTATCAACATGACAACCTCTAATATTAAAATCTACATACTCTATTTCTGTATGTTTTGATAACCCGCCGACACATTTTAAAAGAGTTTTGACAGTAGGTCCTCGGGCTCCAATTTTTGCAGCGAGCTCCGAGTCTATAAAAGTAGCGGTTGACCCATCATCTAACAAAGCGTAAGTATTCACACTACCACGTGGGCCAGAGATTTCAACAGCTATAATTTTTAAGAAAGGTTGACATGGATGTTGAACATTGCATAATGGAAGTGAGTTACTAGCATGAGCTATAAAATCAGTCGTTTGTTTGCATGATGATTCATCAGAACCTTCAAGTTCTCCAGATTGAGGAGTGGAAGATGATTCACCATGTTCAACCTCACTTTCAACCACATGAGCAATATGTAATAGTTTATGGTGTCTAGAATTGCATTTTTTATTGTTGCAGATTTCCTTAGAAATATTACAACTTTTATAATTATGTGAACCTTTTCTAAGACACTTATGACAAAGTTTTTTCTCATTAACAAATTTCCATCTGTCATCAACTGACAATGTCTTAAAATTATTACAATGAGATAAGCTATGATCGTCATTACAAAAATAGCATATCTTTTTATTGTGAGATGTTACACTAGATGATTGTTCATGAGTTTCAGATTGAAAAATGTATGGAACAATGGACGTGGATGGTTTGTTAATTGCAACCGAACGAATTTTGTTGCTTCGATTATAATAAATAGGTTCATTGAGGAGACCAAACTTGAGCTGTAGATCCACCTCTTGAGTGAGGAAGGAGGCTAAGAGCTCGAGTTTAGTTACCGCTTGATGGAAATGAGACGCTGCAAAGTCAGCCCAACGTGTCCGTAATAGAGGTGTGAGTTTACTAAGAATAGATTGAAAAAGTTCTGGTGATTCTAAATAACATCGTTGTTCTAAAAGTTTCATTACTTCTACTGAATTACGAACTCGACAAGCGAACTTATGAAGGTCACTACAATCGATATTGACCTTTGGCAGGGAACGCATCATTGCCACTTCTTGTAAAACAATTAGTTCAGGCCTACCAAACCTTGTTGCTAATGCTTGTATTACCTGAGTAGGGTCTTGAGCGGAGACTAACAGTACTGCTACAGCATCATGTGCCTCTCCCCGCAGCGCCATATTGATACGCGTTAGGTTGTCCGAGTCAGAATATCTTGATTTCGTGTTGTCATATACACGTTTGAAGGTTAACCAATCTAAAGGCTTGCCATCAAAAAAAGGTAGACGACCATCTCCAAATTTTATGTTGTGTTGACTTTCTTTTAAAAGTGATGTAATTGCTTCTGCTAACAAAGCTATATCACTTGGAGTTTTATTAATAGTTGAGGAAACCGGTTTGATTTTAGTCGCACTAGAACTGGCCCTCGCCGGGCTTGTGCAAACTTCGAAATTATTAGCCACATTAGATTCTTTTAGAATAGGCCGAAGATATTGAGTATCTGTGGTAGGCACAGGGTCGAAGCTATTGTTCGGTATTTGTAAATGTGCCGCTAATGCCGCAGAACAATTGCTATTAGTAGTGGGTTTACTACAGGACGTATTAATTTTAATGTTCTGCGGTTGCTCATTTACTTCCACTGAGGGTATAGCCTCTAGATATGTGTCTAACCATTTTCGTACCTCTCTGTTAGAGATGTGACTTGAACGACTACTACGAGTACGTATACTACCTCTCTCCTCCAAGGCGGCGATACGTGCTTGTTTTTGTAGTTCTAAAGCGGCGCGCTCTTGTTCCAATACCACACGCTCGCGCTCTTTGGCACGCTCCAATGCAGCGCGCTCCAGCATCGCAATTTTTTTAGCATAATCCGCTTCTATTTGTAAGGTACGACTCCTTACAGTAGTTGAAGACCCTGAAACAGAACTAGCGGCGCCGCTGGGAATTCCAACGGACTGCTGAGCGCCAGCAGTTGGTGTGGAGCTGGTAGGGCTTCCGTGTTGAACGGTAGAAAATTGGCCTTGCTCCATACTTGCTGCGTTCGCTTTTTTAACTGATCGCGTCTCTACCATCATGGTTCTTTTATTAGCGAGAGGACCAATATTTTAACGAAAGATATGCTCTTGAGAAAGGACTGTATATTTTATGAAATAATAAAACGGTCGCTGCTAGTGGTAGAGAAAAATATAATAATGAATCATGACATTGTCAGATATCAAAAAACAAAATAAAAATATAAAATTTAAAAATATTCTCTAAAAAGGTGCGTTCTGCACAACAGTAATAGGAATAAATAATATTAACTCTCTTTTTTCTCATTCTTCCTTCTTCTTTTGTACCCAGATAAAGTCATTAACTAGATATTATTGGATTAATATATTTAATTCTGTAAATAGACAGTCACATTGGAAACTCTCGAGATACGTCGTTCGAAGACATGGTCCGCAGAGAAACCAATGGCAAAGGTGTGGATATGGTTCTCAATTCTCTATCAGACGATAAACTTCAGGTGAGATTAATTCTACGTTCTTTGTATTACTAGCTTACTGCCCCGGTTTCGCACAGGTATACTAATAAAGAAAATCAGACCGAATATTCCATTTTTTAACTCATATTAGTAAAAACTAAAAGTATAACAAACATAAAATTTCATACAATAATTTCTTCATACAATGATTTAACATTTGTATATTGTGTCCCAGGCATCCGTTAGATGTCTCTCCTATCGTGGCCGGTTCCTCGAAATTGGCAAGTACGACATGAGCAACAATACATATATTGACATCGCTCACAAGGAGATTTCTTTTCATGGCGTCAGTTTGGACTATGTGTTTAGACAGTCCACCGAAACTGTTAAGGTAAATATGTAATTAACTGTACCCTTCTTAAGCATTAAGTGCGCTTTGAAACATTATTTTTACTTTTAATTCATTATCGTGTTTGAAATTATATTTTATTATCATAGTTATTTCGTCTGACAAAATCACAGTTGTGATTTTCGCTCACAGTGACCAAATATCACACATGCTACTACTTTACTATTAAGAGTGAAGTATGAATAATGATTTCTATCTGCGTTATCCAAACGTAGGGGGGACAGGGTTTGTTAGTAGTGAAATCTAAAAATATACCCTAACAATTCGACCTCCACGTGGAAACCTCCCTGAAAAACATCGTGGTTGATTTTTGATGAATTCATCACGATGGGCCAACTGACTTGCCTTTTCATTTCACCTATCATCCCTCACTGACGCATCATCATCCCGATAGCATTCCATTTTCATCCATTAAAAAAACACAGTCCATAATTATTCACGATTAAATTCGAATGCAACGACACTTTTCATTTAGTGCTAATTTATAGTGGTTTTTAGGAACGTAGAAGATGTAACAAGTAACTTGTGAAATAGCATATGTTGATAGAAATATATTCAATGACTATGAATGATTAATCAATTTTTATATAAGTTTCTGGTCCGTAAGAATGAGCTGTAAGATTAATCAATCAGATCGAATATCCAACACCGTTCAAACGTTTTTTTTTATTTTTAAATAAAATTAATATGAAAGATAGTTATTCGTGAATTTCACTATGTAGGGCAGGAGTTACTAATCAGTCGATCGTTATCGACTTGTCGATCGCGATTATTAGTCCAGTCGATCGAAGCAAGGCTAAAAATATAATATTTTGCTAATGTAACGGAAGATGCACAGACGTAATGCTCACACTAATATAAATAAGTAGTTACTAAGAATAATTTTCAGTTTTATGTTTTTCCTTTTAATAAAATAAAAAGTACTACAATACTATACAATTGTGTACTGAAATATGTTGTGATTTCAAAAAGTATGTATTTGGTAGATCAAACAGTATTTCGTCAGTAAACAGTAGATCTTGCGTTTAGTGAAATCATCCCTGATGTAGACTATTTACAAAACATTTTGGTATGCCTTTAGAATTTAAATCACTGTTTTTACACAGCATTGTGTACTTTTTCTAAGTTCTATATTACAATGTATGCTTTTTGTCTATTTTGGGCAGATATTGCAAGAAATTATATTATTGGGTATACAAACTGGTGCTGTTCGGCCACTAACTTATTGCACATTTGAAAAGGATGAAATGGAGACTGCCTTCCGTTATATGGCATCTGGAAAACATATTGGCAAGGTAGGAATATACAAATATTTTCGGTTTCAATTATGAAACTATTTCATTATACAATATTTAAAAACATTGGATTTGGCAATAAAAATAATCTTTATAAAAGAATATATATATATATATTTATACAAAGTTCGTTAGAAGAGTTCGTTATTTAGAGATAAGGTCGCCATCATTGCATCTTTTTATACATATTTTATATAATTGTATATTTCCTTGAAGGAACCAATGATGTTTTTATTTATTCATTAAAACCTCTAATCTCAAGTAAATAAGATAGTAAATCTCTTTTAGAATTTTCTTTATTGTCGCAAATTGTTAATTGGTTTGGATAGTCCAATTATTTATTAATATTTGCTTTTTTAATGACGAATATTTAAAAGAAACTGGCCATTTTCTATATTATTTTTCTCTCTTCCTCTTATATATGTTTTACTGATATAAAACTGAGATGACATGAATTGCAGAAAGCATTCAGAATATCTGATGGTATACGATTCCTATAGCTTATGTACACGCAATTCCAAGATGAACATTCGTGTGTTGTCAACCCTGAAATATTTTCTCACCCCTCTCACTCTCAAAGAACTTCTTTAATATCTTAATTATTACCGTAATTATAAACTTTAATATTAACCAATACATGTTCCGTGTATGTACCAGGTAATGATTAAAATTCGGGATGAAGAACATAACAAATATGCGAAACCAACGCATGTACCTATCGAAGCAATTCCAAGGTATGTATATTAGGTATTGTAATGAGCGCTACTTTTAGTTCATTATCATTTATTGTAATTATTTTTCATTATCGTTGCTATTTCACATTTGAGAATCTGTGATTTTTACTCACGGTGATTTAATATCACATTTGACACTATTTTCTAATGTGTTTTATGTGTTTCTTTTCGCTCTTGCACGGCTTCGAATCAGTCATTGTTAAGGGGCCGATTGTGGGGGCCAGAATACCGTAACACAGGATATCCTAGTACGGATTCTGTCACGGAATAAAGTGCCATTGTGATAGAAATAAATATTAGAATTAATGGGGTTTTGAATTTGAAATCCTAATATATGTAGATAGAGTTGATTTTTACTTTTATGTATTACTAACGACTTTAATTTCACCGCGTATGCGTATATTTTAACAGATACATATGCCACGAAGAATATGTGTACATAATAGTTGGTGGTTTGGGAGGGTTTGGGCTAGAGTTGGCTGACTGGTGCATCCTGAGGGGTGCAAGGAAGATTGTTCTAGTTTCTCGAAATGGAATCACCAACGGTTACCAATCTTACAGAGTAAGGTAAATTATTACAATTATTTTCAGATAGAAACATTATTTCACCGTCGTTTGATTTTATTTATATTGTTTTATGAGGAAAAAATAAAGCATACATTATTTTTATTCGAAAAAAAAAACTAATTCTTCTCTAATTCATAGTAATGTAAGTTACATGTTACTTATACCGTGTGATCCCAAGATATCCTTATATCCTTCTTTTTGAAGTCGGTTAAAAATATTTTCAAGTTTAGAAGTTGGTGTACTGTAACATGTAACTTCGTCATGTTATCATATCTGCCATTAACTGTCCACTGCTGAACATAGGTCTCTCCAAGAAGTGGGGTTTTGCTAGTAGTTGCCACGCTTGGCAGGCGGGTTTGCAACCGCAGTTAGGCTTTTGAGATGTTTTATGTGTTCTTATGACACCCATGGGAAAGAAACGGGTCATTCTATATCGAGACCACACGGCATATATATATATATATATATATATATATATATATATATATATATATATATATATATATATATATTATAATGGAGCTTATAGTCAAATGATGGGCAGCAACGTTCCTCTTAAAACAACCCACCTGCCAAGCGTGGCAACTACTGGCAACAGTAAGTGGAAACTTACTGTTTTGCAAGAAAACCATAGTGCAAACTTAACTAATACTTTACGAGTTTTTTATTGACAGAACTTGGACATCGTATGGAGTTAATATCCAAATATCTACCCACGATGTCACAACGGAATCTGGCTGTGAAGAAATGTTGAAGATGGCCAGCGCGATGGGTCCTGTTGAGGCGATCTTCAACCTCGCCGTAGTTCTCAAGGATTCCATATTCCAGAATCAAACCGCTGAGACGTTCAAAACGTCATTTGGACCGAAAGCTCTGGCTACGATGCATTTGGATAAACTTTCAAGAATTCTATGTCCAAAATTGAAGTAAGTTATATTAAAAAACTGTATGTCGTAACTTTACCTGCATAAGTATTCTCTGTGTGAAAGAGTAGCAATCGTCCATCGATCGTTCCAAACTTTTACATTTAATAATCATCATCATATCAACCTTCAACTGTCCACTGCTGAACATAAGCCTCCCCCTTGGGGAGGGTTTGCCAGTAGTTGCCACGCTTAGCAGGCCAATTGGCAACGGCAGTTAAGCATTGCAGATGTTTTAAGAGGGACGCTGCTGCCCATCCCTCGGCCTCTCCTAGTCGCCTCTTACGACACCCATGGGAAAGGAAAGGGTGGCCTATTCTATGGCAGGACCAAATGGCGTAATATTTTTTTTTATACCACTGAATTGGCAAACAAGCATACGGCCCACCTGATGGTAAGTGGTTACCATAGCCTATGAACACCTGCAATACCAGAGATATTACGTGTGCGTTGCCGACCCTGAAGAAACCTCTTTACCCCCCTTTTGTTAAATTAGGTTTATTGTCGACAGAGAATATTTTATAGTCAATATACAAAAATGACAATAAGTTATGTTACGTACGTACATAACATATGTTCACCTCAATTAAGAAATTCTTAGGTTGCTCTTTGGAGTTATTTTAAGTGGATGCCATTAATTTTTCCACAGAAATTTTGTAGTATTCTCATCAGTATCTTGTGGTCGTGGTAACGCTGGACAGACCAACTACGGTCTATCAAACTCTGTGATGGAGAGGATCTGCGAGATACGGAAGAAGCAAGGATTACCTGCCCTGGCTGTGCAGTGGGGAGCAGTTGGCGATGTGAGTGTTAATAGACAATTTTAATATGAGTTCTGTTAATTTTTTTAAATTTCTTGAATTTTCTATACATTATGAATATGATAACAAAAATCGACTATTAAAAATAATAACATTAAGAGCCAATAAAACGTAAAATTTAGGTCCTTTTTGATGCTGTTTAGAACTTTTAATAGAAGAAAGAAAATAACAGATTCAATCCAACAGTCTTCCCTGGAAACTATTATGATCTTGTACTATCAGCTTGTTTGCCAGTTTAAGTTGTACAAAAAAATCCTGGTGAATTTTCCACGATGAACCAACTGATCTACCTTCATCAGAGCGAGACTTTGTACAAAAGTTGCTTGGGCACCTCTATCACATTCGTGTTTCTACCGTGAAGCAGTTCTGTTTGCATGGCTGTGTTTTGGTTTCATATCCCACATATGGCAGTGAATTTACTCGGTACAAAAGAATAATACCCGAGTCCTCAGAAATGGCAACACATGGGAGGTATCAGGGGTGAAACAGTACACTCTGTTATCTCCATGGTACGACTCATGTCTATAGGCGACGGTTACCACTTTCCATCAGGTGGGCTGTCAGCTTCTTGGCCATTCTACGTTAAATCATCATAAAAAAATCATCTATCGTCACTCACTAGTACTCTACCAGCGACACCTATACCACAGGCGGAGTTATAATTTGATTTGAAAAAATACTAACAGCAAATTGCTCTGCAGGTTGGTCTAGTAGCCGAGGTGCGAGACGAGGATGTCCAACGGGACATTGGGGGAACACTGTTGCAAAAAATATCATCCTGTTTGTTAACTCTAGACAAGTTTTTAAAACAAGAAGCACCAATCGTTTCCTCGATTGTCGTAGCTGAGAAAACCGCTAATAGTTTCGGCAGTGGAGTCATTGTGAACGCTGTTGCTGAGATTATGGGTATGAATTATGTTCTAGATATTTTAATATCGTTATATGTTTATAGATATATGATAAATTAAAGGTAAAAGTACCCGTAAACGGCGAGCGTATATGAAAAGATTGATGAATGTGGAGGAAGCGAAAGAGGTTTGTTTGAACCAAAGCTTATGGCGTTCCATTGATTCTATCTACCCTAATAGGAAGCAGGCGTGACATGTATATACGTATTTATGATAAATTTATAACTGTATAAATAATTTCGACAAACTTTTAATTTGACGAATTCGATATTGAAAAATTTTTTGTCGAGAGAAGTAATAATAATTTAATGCGAAAAATCATCTGCTTGTACATCTCGGTCCTACCTGTGTTATTGCCGGGACTAACATATTTGTTACTGTTTTTGTTTTTCACTTTGTCAGTCTGTATATCTAAGCACCAAATATAATATTGTAAATAAAAAAAAATGTCACGACCAATAAACACAGAGACGTTCATGAGCAAAAATGTCAGTTTCACTTTGTTTATTGACTGAGTACACAATTGTACTATTATTTTTTCACAGGTATTAAGGATCTGAAGATAGTATCACAACAATTATCTCTAGCTGAATTGGGTATGGACAGCATGACGGCTGTGGAGATCAAACAAACCCTCGAAAGAGAATTCGAAGTCTTCCTCACAGCTGAGGAGATCAGGAACCTAACCTTTGCTAAGTAGTGTTTCAGTAATTTGCCCTATTCAATTCACAATATCGACAGACATAAAATATGTTTAAACAAATCAAATATCATTATTTAGGACAAATATAAGTTTGACATTATTTGACTTTATACTTATATCAAATACCAAATCAAATTATTTTAAAAGATCTGGGGCTTAAAAATTCTGTTGTAACAGAATTGGTGCTGTAATACCCTCCAATGTAAATGTACCAGACAATTGACATTACGCTTTCAGTATAAAAAGGTTTCTGCAACTGAATTATTATAATAGGAAAAAGTTATTGCACACCAAATTCTAGCCATCTGAACTAAATAATACGAAACGCTCTCTTTAAACTCATTAAACATTATGTTTTAGATTATACGCACTAACAATACAATGCAATGATGTTGCATCGAAAACATCAATTACTTCTGACTCGGAAGTCTCGGCCAGTTTGAAGGTTTTGCTTAGAAACTTCGGAGAAGAAAAGTTTGCGAACGAACCAATTCTTCACATGCCAACTTTGGTCAGCAACGGAGATAAAGTAAGTTATCTAAAATTTCTTATTATTTATGACACTTAAAATTAAACTACATGGAATGAAAGAAGCTGCCAAGCTAGTTAATGGAAAATAGTAACCGTCTAGACATAACGTGGACATTACAGAATTCACGATAATGTTAACGGTACCTCTAGGGCTATAACATTTTTCTTATTATATGTATGTCCTTTAAAGTTATTTGTGAAAGGTATTAAGAATATTTTTTTTTTGCTCCTGTGGCCCCAGCATAGATTATGCCATCCCCTACTTTCCCGTGGGTGTCGTAAGAGGCAACTAACGAAGGGAGGGAGGACGAGGGATGGGCAGCAGCATCCCTCTTAAAACATCTCCAAAGTCTAACTGCGGTTCTCAATCCGCCTGCCAGACGTGGCAAGAACCAGCAAAACCCCCTTAAAGGGAGGCTTATTTGCAGCAGTTATAAACTGATATGACAATGATGATTAGGATTTTACTAACTCAAAAGGTACATTAGCTTTGTGATTCCGGTGTACAATGGCCCACTACTTCCTTTTCTTTGGGTGTCTTAAGAGGCGTCTAAGAGAACTTAATGGTCAAGGGACCGCAACGTCATTCTTAAAATATAACCAGAACCTTCCTGCCGAGCATGGTAACTACTGGCACGAACCCCTTTAGATGCAAAATAATTTAAAAAATTTCATGATTTTGACCATGTTAAATATAATTCCTATTTTTGCTTTGTAGAGTATAGAACCAATCCACAAAGACGTGCTGATAATGTTGCCTGGATTGGAAGGTTGCGCTGCAGCTCTGGAATCACTGTGCCGCAAGCTCAAGGTCAAAGTGTGCATGTTGCAGCTCGGAACTGAGCATAAGAATGAGAACTGCGAACAGATGGTGGACAGACTGTATGAGGTTTGTCTTTTGTTTTCCACTAAAAACTTTACATATTTTTGTATATTTTCCAAAGCAGATATATCATTTATATACGAGTGGGCTGTAGCCACAGATTATGTGCTGTGGTGTTTCTTTTTTTACTATAAAAAAATCTGTAAACCATTTTTGGGCATAAGTGTAGTTGTTCCATGTACTTATTTAGTTTAGTGTAGTGTCCAGTGAGAGTCATTGTTAATACACAAATATTATTTTTATTCAAGAGAGTTAATTTGTTTGAGTAGTTTTCAGAAGACCTCTTAATCAGGACTTTCAAATGCTTATGAATATTGTGACTGCAAATTTCTGTAAAAAATATGTTTCTGAAAATATATTATGTCAAAACTAGGTCACCTTAAACTGTCAATATTTTATCATTATTAGAATCTGTGATGTACAGGGACGAAGAACAACTTTTAACAAAACTATTAAATATGAATGTGAATGACTATAAGGATAAAAAAGTCCTAAAAAAAACATGGATGGACTACACAATCCATCCAAATGGGATGATATTGCCAGAATAGGAGTGAATATGGAAATTACTCCAAAGAAAGATGAATGGAGGAGAAAAACATCAACCCTAAATATATGATCGAGATAAGAGTAGAAAAATGACTATATAAAAATGTAAGCGATAAAACTAAAATTGTTTTACTATATTTTTCAGTCAGCAATGCTCTGTTTGAGACCTGTTTCCAAGATTTGGTTACTTGGATATAGCTTTGGATCCCTTCTTGTATTAGAATTAGCGGCAAGATTAGAGTGTCAAGGTAAAGATTATTTTCAATAAATACATTCATATATTAAATAACATATGAATCAGATCATAACTTTGTTGAAATAACCTTCTAACAAATATTTTCTATGTTCAGGTTATAAAGGGACAATATTCTGTTTGGACGGCTCTCCCAATTATCTCTTGTCATTGATCAATACGATGATAAACACCAGCGATGACGTGCAAATCCAAAATAGCATCATTTCCAATTGCATAGACCTAATAACACCTAAAAGTGATATTACTAATAATTTAATACAAAAACTCGGCGAGATGGACAAGATTGACGAGAAAATTGAATACATCCTCAAGATGCCATCTGTTGCAAATATTTATTCGAAGGAATTCCTTATACGTATGGTCCAGGTGTGTTATGATCGTTTGAAAGTAATTATTAATTATAACTTTGATAACGTCAAAAAGCTTCAGTCGTCAATTATACTCCTAAGGCCGAAGAACACTGCTATTTTTGTTTGTGATGATAATTATGGTCTGAATAAATTTAGCGAGTGCCCTGTAATTGTGCACTTTTTCAATGATAATCACATAAGTATCGTTGATAATAAAGATGTGGCCGACGTCATTAATAACGTTATAGCTGTTCACGATCAATAAACAGGAGAGCTGATGCAAAGTAATGTTAAACGTGTTGTTAAAAATTGTATTGAAGGTATAAAAAAATATTTTTAAGGTGTTTTAGACTTGATAATTTTATATATTTGTTTTGGTGACAAATTTATTGGTACAAACACACACACACACACACACAAATTACGCGCGCGCGCGCAGGCACTTATGCACGCAAACACACACATATACACATACACATACACATACACACACGCAGGCACGCACACACGCAGCACGCATTAGCACGCGCACTTGCACATACACGCACGCACTCACATACATACATGTGATTATTTCTTGTAATTGTTTATATCTAGAATAAGTTTACTATTGTAATCTTTTGAAGGAAACAATAAAGAGTATCTATCTATCTATCTACAAAACTTGAATATTGTGAACACACATTGTGCTTTATAAGAAATATATATGGTAAATCCGTAATTGGCTATGAGTATCAGAATGTTATAGCTTTCAAGAACTGTGGATTTTATAATAAATAAATAAATGTAATCCAGTCAAACTGTTTATATTTACTGTCCTCTATCCAAAGGTTGCCTTGAAGAGATCTCTTATAGCCGCCCACTGTTTTTCAGTGAAATATTTTCTTGTAATTGTTTGTATTTATAATAAGTTTACTATTGTAATTTTTTGGAGGAAACAATAAAGAGTATCTATCTATCTATATATATATATATATAAAACTAAACGATAAATATAACTAATGTTTATAAGATGGAGATTTTGTACAAAAGTCGTTTGCTTGGGCACCTCTGTTCCATTCGTGATTCTACCGTGAAGCAGTTGTGTTTGCATGGCTGCGTTTCTGTTTAAATGGTGGGATATGGCAGTGAATTTACAGGGTACAGAGGAATAACACCTGAGTTTTCAGGAACGGCAACGCATGGGTATGATGGGTGAAATAGTATACTATGTTATGTCCATGGTACTGCTCATGTCTATAGGCGACGGTTACCACTTTCCATCAGGTGGGTCATCTGTTTGTTTGCCATCTATTTCTTTATTTAACTCTTTGTTGCACCAAAAAGATAAAAAGAAACAATGATATATAAATGTATGCCATACAAAGTTGCATAAAAAAATATGTGAATAAAAATACTGTGCAATTATTAAAGCTATTTAAAATTACACCATTGTCATAATTTTTCTTGAACACCTTCTTTCTTAGAGTTCAAATTGGATACAAAATTATATTTTGTCCACATGCTGATTATTGGACCTATTGTTGTGTTATTTCGTAAGGAACTGAAAAGTGCCGATGTTGCCATGCATTGTTAATCTATACTAGCTATTTATAAAAGAAATAAATATGACACCTGTCATACTTATTTCGCCGTATGGTCCCGCCATAGAATAGGCCACTCCTTTTCCCGTGAGTGTCGTAAGAGTCGACTAAAGGAGGGTGAGGGATGGGCAGCAGCGTCCCTCTTAAAACATCTCTAAAGCCTAACTGCGGTTGTCAATCTGCGTGCCAAGAATGCCAACTACTGACAAAACCCCCAAAGTGGGAGGCTCATGTTCAGCAGTGGACAGATAAAGGTAGACATGATGATGATGATGAAACTAGCTGTTTGCCCACTACTTCGTACGCGATTTTGGAAGTAGAAAAGCAAAATTAATATTAATAGGCCAGTTCTAAATTTCTATAAGTTATTGCTTCTATTGGTCTTATTACAACAAATTTATATAGAAAGATAAGCAAGCTGAAGCAGCAATGGGCTGGTCACGTAGCTCGAACAACCGAAGACCGATGGGGAAGAAAGGTTCTTGAGTGGCGACCCCGTACGGGCAAACGCAGTGCAAGACAACCCCCCTATATTAGATGGAGTGATGACCTCAAATGCGTTGCAGGGTGTCAGTGGATGCACTGTTGCAGTCCACTGCTGGACATGGGCCTCCCCCATATGGGTGGGTTATGCCAGTAATAGCCACGCTTGGCAAGCTTGTTTGTAACCACAGTTATGCTTTAGCGATGTTTTAAGAAGACGCTGCTACTCATCCCTCGACCATTATGTTCCCTTAGTCACCTGTCACGATACCCACTACAAAGGAAGGATTGGTCCATTCTATGCCGAGACCACACGGCACTATTTTGTAATATTACTATTTATATAAATTAACCTATTTTGTTGAAATAGACCATGTCCTAGATTAAAGAGAAGTCTCCGGAATTTATGTACATGCTTAAAATGAATTATAAAAATGTAGTAACCAGAGATGCATGTAAAAATTTTGGTACTCCCTTCGCTCTGCCTATCCCATATAGGAGACTTGGCGTGATCGATAAATATATATTATCTAAATGACAACAATGTATGTATGAAATTTATCATACCAACATATTTGAAACAAGAGAAACAGGTTTTGTTTTAATGGATGAAAATGGAATGGTAACCCCACCTGAGCTAACGGTATACGCTGGCGGGGTACCAATGAGGGCTGATAGGTGACGGATGGAAAGGCAGGTCAGTTAGACGCAGGTTACAAAAAGAAAAAACAAGACAAAGCAGTATTTATTTCTTTATTTGACACTACCCTCAATCTATGACTTATTGTAAAAATTATAAAATCTTTATTGTACATAATTTATATTGGACATATTAAAACATTTAATATATAAATGGTAGATTTATCCCATAAAGGAATCTCTTACAGTCAACCTTTGAAAAGCTAAAAGAAAACATAGAATTTACAAGGGTAAAAACCGTACAGCTGAAGATAATTCTTTTTTTTTTATACGACTTAGAATGGCAAACAAGCTAACGGCCCACCTGATAGAAAGTGGTAACCGTCGCCTATAGACACGAGCAGTACCATGGACATAACAGAGTATACTGTTTCGTTCATGATACCCCCCATGCGTTGCGATTCCTGAGGACTCAGGTGTTATTCCTCTGTACCCTGTACATTCACGTCATATCCCACCCTTCAAACCGAGACACAGCCATGCAAACACAACTGCTTCACGGTAGAAACACGAATGGAACAGAGGTACCCAAGCAATCGACTTTTGTACAAAGTCTCCCCCTGATGATTATTATATACATATGTAATATATACTATATATGTAAATAATAATAATAATACATAAATAATAAAATAACATTAACAAATAAATAACAATAAGCCTACACACTACTACCCAAATATTTAAACGTAGATATATAATTTATTTGCGTTACTTACAATGCATAAACAACAATAGACATAAATGCACAGTGAAAAGAGACAAAAAAATATTTTTTTTATATTATATTATATTAAAGTATACGTATGATAATATAGAGCTATAATAAACATAATACCTCATCGTTTCAGGGACAGCACGTCTCACCTGAATTCGAGGAATGACGGGCCGCTACGCTGAGACGAAGCGAAACTGAGATTGTCTGAATTGTTATCCGTTGTTAACGTATGTAAGGAATGTTGTATTATATTGTGAAATATGATACTGTATCTGTTATAATGCAAAAGAGTTTTTTTATGTATTTAATTTTATGTTATTAAGAAAAGGATAGTAGATATACCAGGATACCAGAGGGAGACTTTGTACAAAAGTTGTTTGCTTGACCGTCTCTGTCCCATTCGTGTTTCTACCGTGAAGCAGTTGTGTTTGCATGGCTGTGTTTCGCTTTGAAGAGTGAGATATGGTAGTAAATTTACAGGGTACAAAGGAATAACACCTGAGTCTTTAGGAATGGCAACGCATGGGGGGTATGATGGGTGAAATAGTATACTATGTTATGTCCATGGTACGGCTCATGCCTATAGGCGACGGTTACCACTTTCCATCAGGTGGGCCGTCAGCTTGATTGCCATTCTAATTTGCATAAAAAAACTTATAGTTTTATTGTATGTATGTTGTTTACCATCAGACGGGCTGTGTATGCTTGTTTGCAACCATGTGGTAGAAAAAAAAACAATTAATAAATATAACGACACAATTGTATAAGTACAGAAAGGCGGTCTTATTGCCAGCGTCCCTCTTAAAACATCTCCAAAACCTAACTGCGGTTGCCAATCTGCCTGCCAAGCGTGGCAACTACTGGCAAGCCCAGCAAGGGAGAGGTTTATGTTCAGCAGTGGACAGTCAATGGCTGATATGATGCCCACACCAAGTAGAAACGGAAAATCGGTTTATTGTTGGAATTATTCGATTTACTACTAATTTTATTTAGAAAGTGCTTCTATGACAATTCCAACGAAACTTGGTTACTTTTTCATTAACTTCCATTGATACAGACTGTACGCTGATAATTTCGTTTCTTTCGATTTGCCCTTCTATAGTTCTTTTTCCCGATAACTCAATTCTACTTTTTCACTGTTGACAGGCAAAGGGCTACACAATTATTTATATACTAGCGACCCGTCCCGGCGTCGTACGGGTGGACATTTTTACATTTTAAAAAGTGGCCATTAAGGCTGCACACGCGACGGAAGCTTAAAAATGAAGTAATTTCTCCAGTTTTCCCAACATTTCCCTTCACTGCTCTGATGTGATGAAAAGTATACTAGAATAATTGTACCAAGTTTCGTTAAAATCTGTCGAGTAATTTTTGTTTCTATAACAAACATACAGACAGACAGACAGACAAAAAATTTACTGATTGCATTTTTGGCATCAGTTCGATCACTAATCATCCCCGGATAGTTATTTTGGAAATATATTTCATTATATTTCCAAAATAACTATCTTTTACTTTTATAGTTATTTCCAAAATAACAATAAAATAACTATAATATATATACAAATCTGTATGTATATATATAAATATATTACATACAGATTTGTTATAAGTATAGATTTAACACTTTATTGCACCAGAAACATTAAAATATACAATAACATTTGAACAATTCAAGTGAAATACAGTAATATAATATACAGATTAAAATATATACATAAAGGTACAACATAACCTTCGAGAAAAGAGCATATTCCCTTTTAAAAGGCCGGCAGCACACCTGCAATGCCGTTGGTGTTGTGGGCCACCATGGACGGCGGTAGTCACTTACCATCAGGTGAGCCGCATGCTTGTTTGCCTCCTGTGTTGTAAAAAAAAACTCTATCCTATACATAGTGTGTAATAGAACAAGCCCTATGAGAACTACTGCAGATAATACTTACGTATACAAATGTATGTATATTATAAAAACATACATACAAATATAAATATACATGCAAACATAATAATATAATACCAATAAAGCAACGATAGAGATCACAGGTGATGATGATGATGAGCTGCTTTCTCAACTTCTTCGTAAGAGATTCATAAACTTTTCTTCAAATGCAAATTCGGTAGACACTTGTCTTATGCCAATGGGCAGCGCATTCCAGAGTCTTGAGCCCTCTAAAGTGAAGGAGTTGGTATTAAAAGCAGAGCGATGAACTGGAATTAAGAGAGAAAGATTATTCGTTGATTTTACATTTTCATTAAGTTATGTAACTTTTCTAGAAGTGTTAATATCGATCTATTTTCAAAAAAATATAAT